GTTCTTCACTATCCTTTTCATCTGGGCATAGGTATTTGAAAGTTCAAGTTCGCGAGCTCGATCGGATGGGGAAAGTCGAGCTTTCAATGCTGTGAGAACCTGCCATATGCTGTTGGCATCTTTGTAGAAAGTAATGTTGTTGTTATGGACCGTTGAGTTGATATACGCCTGGCACTTTTGCAGACACTGATGAATTTGTACCGCTTCCTTCTGATCTTCCTTCCACATCATCATGTCGATTTTGAAGATCTCCAGCTGTGTTGCGGGCACTTGGGCCCATGTTGTAGCCTCTAGGGCATAGTCGGATGGCTTTGGCCAAGAGGGAATCGCTGGTATGGCTGGTTCTTCGTCGAGTTTTGGATCTATGTATTGCCATACGTCGGTAGGCAAGCTCTTGGCGTACAGCTTGACGTTCTGAAGCCATTTGAACCAGTCTTTGGAGTGCAGAATCATGATCTGCTTGGATTGGGCCTGTTCGGCCATTAGTACGGTGTGCAGCGGGTCCGGATTGAACCGTATCGCTGGCTTTGATGGGCGATGGGCGACGGTATGCCCTGCTTTCGGTTTTTCCAGTAAGGGCTTATGGTGCCTTCTGGAACTGGTCGGTTTGTAGAGAGCTGGTTGCCCTGCTACGAGGTGGATTCGTTCTTCGATTCGGTCTGAACTGGAGGTGAATCACCGAGTGAATCATATGCGGAATGCTATGCCGGGCTCATAACTGTTGACCGAGGATGGTCACTGTTGGGGCATCGATGCATTGAATCGTATTGGATTGATTGATTGATTGAAGAGCATCGTAAGGATGTTCTTCTTCTGAAGCTATATAGTGATGCAGCTGATGCAGGAATGACGGTGTTGTGTCGCCTAATCAGGAAACCACGCCCTGGCTGTTTGAGTCCAACACCATCTCCTAGGTTCCTAGCCTATAGGAAGTGAAAGGAGGTCCAAGGTCAGAGTACCCCTATAGACAAATTATGTCATAACTTAACCAATCTTGTGGGTAACTAAGGAGCGATGACGTGTAATGAATCATAGAGGGTTGTAGAAGCTTTTGGAGCTATCGTTCATGTTCCTAGGCCTCTAGTTGATAGAGATATGTCATGTGTAGTATTAGCCCAGTAACTAAGGAGTGATGTTATGTAATGAATCATAGAGGGTTGTAGAGATATGCTATGTGGTCATATCGGCCCAGTAACTAAGGAGCAATGATGTGTAATAAATCATAGAGGGTTGTAGCAATCGTTGAGTAGTATTGCTCTTGTTGTTGGTGTGACAAGCCAAAATATGTATAGTGACTTGTAGGTTTGAGGAGGAGATTTCTAAGTTTGCTCTTGAGTTTGATAGCAAACTGAGTGCAACGAATGTCAGTATGACACATATGAGAGTGCGAGTCGGAGGCCAAACGGATGCTATCCTATAGGTTTACTACGAAGGATACAAAAAAGATGAAGGGGGAACCCCGTGAGTCAATTCCCTCAAGTACCTGAAAACATCCGACTCAGTTCCGACTCGGTTAGCCCACCCAAATGATCACACGTGACCAGGGGGAACCCTGTGAGTCAATTCCTCAAGTACCTGAAACCCGTCCGACTCGGTTAGCCCACCCAAATGATCACTCCTTAGTTACTGGGTGTCATACTGACATTCGTTGCACTCAGTTTGCTATCAAACTCAAGAGCAAACTTAGAAATCTCCTCCTCAAACCTACAAGTCACTATACATATTTTGGCTTGTCACACCAACAACAAGAGCAATACTACTCAACGATTGCTACAACCCTCTATGATTTATTACACATCATTGCTCCTTAGTTACTGGGCCGATATGACCACATAGCATATCTCTACAACCCTCTATGATTCATTACATAACATCACTCCTTAGTTACTGGGCTAATACTACACATGACATATCTCTATCAACTAGAGGCCTAGGAACATGAACGATAGCTCCAAAAGCTTCTACAACCCTCTATGATTCATTACACGTCATCGCTCCTTAGTTACCCACAAGATTGGTTAAGTTATGACATAATTTGTCTATAGGGGTACTCTGACCTTGGACCTCCTTTCACTTCCTATAGGCTAGGAACCTAGGAGATGGTTCTATGGGATTCTCTTACATTGACTACAGTTACCAAGCCTGGTTAGTCATGGAAAGTCTTGGAAAATTGTAATGGTGGGTGCACCAGATATGAGAATCTAGCCACCCAAGGAAGGGATGAATTTACTAAGACAACACACTGTCTTAGGAAACAGAGCCAAAGGGTTGTAGCTTAGACTATTCCACAACGCAGCAATCAGGTGTATGATGTGGTGAAGTGGTTTAGACAAGTTGCAACAAATGTTGAGTCTGAGAACTCAGGGGTAAGTCAGAGGTTAGCACCTCACTGACTTTTCAAAAACAGAGAATAACAAGATCAATGCTTGGAAGCTTGGAAAAGACGTAGAAGTATGTGCTAGTCGATTTACTGTATTGCCTGCTTGCCCTTTCTTAAGGAAAGGGCAATCCTATTTATGCCAAAGGAGTGTAGTTCTCTCATTTTCCATGACTTTCCATGACTAACCAGGCTTGGTAAATGTATTAGAAATCAAGTGCGACCCACAACTAGCTTGCTAATCATGTAGTGAACGTAAGAGAATCCCATAGAACCATCTCTTGGGTTCCTAGCCTATAGGAAGTGAAAAGGAGGTCCAAGGTCAGAGTACCTATAGACAAATTATGTCATAACTTAACCAATCTTGTGGGTAACTAAGGAGCGATGACGTGTAATGAATCATAGAGGGTTGTAGAAGCTTCTAGAGCTATCGTTCATGTTCCTAGGCCTCTAGTTGGTAGAGATATGCCATGTGGTAGTATTGGCCCACCCCCTTAAGGAGGAGATTTTCTTAATAACTTGTTCAATGAGTGTCCAAATGATATGCCGTGATGTATGTAGCATAAATAGATGTAGTAGAAGAGTTTGCAGCAATCGTTGAGTAGTATTGCTTCTGTTGTTGGTGTGATAAGCCAAGATATGTATGGTGACTTGTAGGTTTGAGGAGGAGATTTCTAAGTTTGCTCTCGAGTTTGATAGCAAACTGAGTGCAACGAATGTCAGTATGACAAAAATGAGAGAACTACACTCCTTTAGCATAAATAGGATTGCCCTTTCCTTAAGAAAGAGCAAGCAAACAATACAGTAAATTGACTATCACATACTTCCATGTCTTTTCCAAGCTTCAAAGCATTGATCTTGTTACTCCTTGTTTTCTGAAAAGTCAGTGAGGTGCTAACCTCTGACTTACCCCTTATCCCTGAGTTCTCAGACTCAACATTTGTTACAACTTGTCTAAACCACTCCACTACATCATACACCTGATTGCTGCATTGTGGAATAGTCTAAGCTATGACCCTTTGGCTCTTTTTCCTAAGACAGTGTGTTGTCTTAGTAAAATCATCCCTTCCTTGGGTGGCTAGATTCTCACATCTGGTGCACCCACCATTACATAAACCACTCCACTACATCATACACTTGATTGCTGCATTGTGGAATAGTGTAATGCTGACTTCTAAACGATAGAAGACACAGAGGTTTCTTGCGTAAGGTTGACTTGACAGAGGAGGCAGGGGATTAGACACAAAGGCTTTCCAAGTAACACGTTACAGTATTGTAAAGAATACTATATTGAGTTGAGCACGAAGCTCCTATCTAAGGAAATACTATCTACTTATATAGTGGCGTCATGCCAAAGGGATATCCGTGGATAAAATGGATAAAATGGATAACATAATATCCATGATATCCAATGTTATCCATCACCTGATATTCCGTGGATCCCCGTGGATAACATGGATAACATAATATCCATGATATCCAATGTTATCCATCACGTGAGGTTGCAGCCGTAAGCGCTAGCCATAGCACTAGCACTTAGCCATAACAAATAGTCTAAGCTACAACCCTTTGGCTCTGTTTCCTAAGACAGTGTGTTGTCTTAGTAAAATCATCCCTTTCCTTGGGTGGCTAGATTCTCACATTGCACCCACCATTACAGTGCACCCACCATTACAGTGCACCCACCATTACAAGGATGGAACTATGAGAACTGTTAGAACTCATACAGTTCCTACAGTTCCTACAGTGCCGAGTAGGTCACGCTATAGGACCCTATGACACCCTGTAGGATGGAACTGTGAGAACTGTTAGAACTCATACAGTTCCTATAGTTCCCACAGTTCCTTAAGGGTGGAACTGCAAGAACTGTTAGAACTTGTACAGTTCCTTACAGTTCCCTTTGGCATGACGCCACTATATAAGTAGATAGTATTTCAGTAGATAGGAGCTTCGTGCTCAACTCAATATAGTATTCTTTACAATACTATAACGTGTTGCTTGGAAAGCCTTTGTGTTTAGTCCCCTGCCTCCTCTGTTAAGTCAACCTTACGCAAGAAACCTCTGTGTCTTCTATCGTTTAGAAGTTAGCATTACAACTATCTTGTAGGTTACCATTCTGTCATTAGTTAAGATAGGCTCTCTATCTACAACCATTAATGGGTATGGTTTAGTCTTTAGTCGCGTCCTGAATGTATGTGTCTGCTACTTTTGCCCGTTGCTCCCAAGTCTATCATAGCTCGGAGGTGTTGTTGTTGTATCTTAGCAACCATATCTAGCTACATGCCGCCTGTCGTGGCGCATAGCTGGTTCGTAGGGTTATTCTCGTTGTTAGGTGGGGCTGTCACCGCTTCGATGCTGCTGTCGATTTCCACGATTGGGTACTTACTGACAGCCATTCCTTCCTTTCCTTTGCCTTGTTGCATTCCACCACGGCTTACCTGGCATTTCACGGAAGCATTTCAAATCTGGGAATGTTACATACCATTTTTGCACGCCTGCAATTCGTCATAAATAGAGAATTGATGGCTTATATTTTATCTACGTTTTGAACAAACTCTGTATGGCACTCGACCTACGAGTCTCAAAGGACTGCAAGCTTCAACCTCCCCCTATTCAAACCCACCTAATCAAGAACCCCCTTCTTATCCATCCACGTCGGCTGTATACTCTCACAAACCCCCCTATAATCCTCAAACAACCCCCCGCCCCCCTCCACCCCCTCCGTCGTCCAAAACATCGTCCACCCACTCTCTGGCAGTCTCCACGTCCCGCGACTCCTCTCAAAATACCACTTATTCACCGGATTACTCGACCGACTGCGCCAGCACAGGCCCTCAGGAAAGCAATCCCTCACCATCACCTTAAACACCACATCCGCCACCCCGCCACTCCCCTGGCTCCGCTTCAACACTGCTAGCTTGTCGAGGTACGGCACCCAGCGCCCTTCGGCTTCGGGCCTGTTGGGGTCGATTCCGGGGGGGAGCTCCCATGTTAGGAGGGCCCCGCCTTCGTATTCTCCGGCGATGATGACGCCGGCTATGCGTCGGTCTACGCGCGCGAGGTAGGCGGGGACGTCGAGTTGCCGGTCGAAGGAGTCGTTGATTAGGTGCACGAGGCGAGGGAGGTCGAGGCGTGCGTCTCTGAGGCTGAGACCGGGGTTGTTCGGGCTAGGAGGGCGCCAAGGGTGTGTGCGTGGGTCGGGGAAGATGGTGACGGGCATACCGCGCTTGGCGAAAGTGGTATGGCAAGCCGTTGCTGGTGTGATGGTGGAGGTGGAGGTTGGCTTCGTGGGACCGAGGCGGCTGGGGGGCAGGGAGGAGGAGAAGACGGGCTTGTCGGTGAGGAGGTTGTGGATTAGGGGGTTGCGGTGGGAGCGGGTGCCGACGCCTGTTGTGAGGGCTGGGGAGGAGGAGCGGTTCCCGGAGTTGGCGGCTTCGGTGGGGGTTGTAAGGAGGGCGGAGGAGGTGGGGGGGAGGATGGAGAGGACTTTGCGGACTAGTTCAAGGTTGCTTAGATGGATGGTGCTGGCGCTCGAGAGGCGTTGGGAGAGGTCTGAGGTGGCGAGGGCTTCGGGTGAAGGTGTTGGTGCGCCGAATTCGGTTTCGACAAATTGGGAAAAGGGATTACTTTTTACCAGGTCTGTGATTTGGGAGGTTTTGGTATCGGTGGAATTTTGTGTGCTTTGTAGTCCGTGGGCGCTCAGAAGGTCGTTCTTCACCACCTGGTATTCTTGCTCCATGTTGAGGAAAACATGATATCCATTTGACCGCTGGGAGCTAGGAATCCCACCTAGCGGGTCAATGATAATGAGACGGTCCAGTAAGACCTGGCTTCGTAACGATCTTAGCTTCTCTGCTGTATCGTTTGGGTCTTCATCCGGGGCGGGAAGCCCATTAAACCCGAAGCCAGCGAATTCGCGGGTGAGGGCAAGCACCACATCATCGGCCTTGACTGGAACTGCCTGCTGGGATACATCGGTGTATCCTATGCATGCAACGACAGGTATAATACCCCTTAATAGAGGGGTCATAAGAAGCTTCCGATAACGAATATGAGTCCTCCCACCAAATTCCGATAGAGGCTGGTCTGGCAGGTCCTTTTCGATGACACCAATAATATTATCTTCCTTTCGTGCACCTGGCACTGATTGTGCATCAATCGCATCCACAATCCTGTCAACTTGTTTCATGACGAGGGCCTTCCACTGGGGATCAGTCCTGCCATTATCGCCATTGGAAGGAACGCCGCAGTCCACAACAACAGCACTGATCATGCCAAGCTTAGCCAGCTGTGATAAAGTTCTGGCAACACCATTGAGATTTTCGTCATTCATCTCCCAGGGTGCTCTGATCTTGACCAATGCAACATGTTGTGGGCCATTTTGTAGTCGAGAGGTAAAGTCGGTGTAGGGTTCCTGCACGAATCGTGGGCTATTTTCCACTGCTCGAGATCCGTAAAAGCTTCCTAGGTTCACACCTCCATGGCTCCGTGGCGACCCAGCTAATTTATTCGTTGTCCGCAACGAAGACGTTTCCGCCTTTTGTGAAGTTTTTTTCGGAGGAGCGAAGTGTTTGACGTAAGCTCGAGTGTCGCGCTTCGTCGTCGTTGACCCGAGAATGGACAAGAAAAAGTCCTAGAATAGAGTCAGATCTAATAAATATAGACAGTATGCATGGATTTATACCCTATTTGCGAATTTATCATGCTTTGCTCCATTCCATTTTGGTTTCACGTCGGTCATGTCCACCTTCTGGGGACCGTCTTCTTTCTTTAGGCGGGGGCATGCTGTCGATAGACATTGGATGCCTTTACTTTCTCGAGACGCCTCTTTAGCTGCTTTCAAGCTACAGGAGTGCTTCCAAAGTTAGAATCATTCATCGAAGCTCAGTGTAAATGTCTGACTCACCTGTAGACCAGCAGCAAGCCTGCTACTGTTGAACGCCAGGCTCTGTCCTTTCATAATGCGTGCCCCAAGGCCAAATTAAATATTATCACGAACGAAGCATTGTAAAGTAAACACAAGAACGAGAGTGGTGTATAAGCACAAGAGAGTCAATTGTGCTGAGGGTGCGCCATTTTTACAATTTGGGGTTTCAAATCAACAGCCCACTTCCGATAAGGACCTTGTTTGCGATGTTTGCTCTGTTTCCTCGGCTTCTCCCCAAAGCGCAAGGCTGAGTGCACGGACCCGGGACATTTGTACCCTGATCGTCTCATACAACAATTCATGAAGCTACGAGTATTTGGCTTGGAATTACTCGCAGCTCGAGGCGCTGATGCGATGCCGATTTGCATCGAGTGTCGGTATCCGGTGAAGACGCTCTACACCGAATATTCAGGCGCTGATGACAAGTCGACCGGCCATGGAGTGCGACTTACAGTATGCAAGAACTGTGGGCGCTTCTGTGACAAATATGTCGAGCATGACTTTGTCGTGCTGTTTATAGACTTGGTTCTGATCAAACCGCAAGTATGTAGCCATGCAGGTCCTCCTCTTGATGGCGATTGCTAATGCGCCCAACCAGGTTTATCGACATCTTCTCCATAACTCCCTTATGCGCGCCGATGATCAGTTTGATGTGAGCAATCCACACCCTCCTCTTGACAATACCATCGCTAACGAACCATAGCGCTCTATAATACGCCTCGGCATTCTTCTTCTACTATTCGATGTATATCTAACCTGGGCGCGCATTGAGAAGGCTGCTCCCACATCCTCCGCCCCCGAGGCCTCCAACTTCGGTCGTCTCGCCCAGCAACCTATCGGCATACAGTACATATTCTTCCTGGTTCTCTGCGCCCTCTCGACACTGGCCTTTCACCTTTCAATCCGCTTCCTGACATCCTCCCGGCTATCCCCTCTCCACTTTCTGGGCCTCTTACCGACCTATCCGCGACCGAATTCCGTCTCCACAGCTCTCCTTGTGAGCTCGAGCACGAAGTTGTTTCCTATATTGATGGTAATATGGGAGTATGATGTACCTGCTGCGGCGAGGAGTTTGGGATGGGCTGTTGTAGCGAATAATATCGAGGCGCTGAAGATCTTGCTGGATTGCGGGTATGTCCCTGCAGCGATCCTGGCCGCGGTGGGGGCAGTGAGCAGATGGCTTGTTGCGAGAGGAATTTTATGGGTTGTTGGGCTAGAAGGGCTTGATAGTGGGTGGGAGACTCCCAGCGATGGGAAGGCATTTTGGAGTGCAATTGGGATGGCTAGGGAATGGGGTGGAAGACTGGGCGGGTTATGATTATGAAACAACAATTCAACTATATTTCTTGAAAGACTGACATGACTGTTGTGTCCCGGGCGACTTTGGTGCCACCTTCGCCATTCGGCCGTCCTTATCAACCCTGAAAGTAGTGAGACACGAGGCAAAGGAAGTCGATGCTATAATGGTATCATTTCTTGGCTTCAGGCTCCAGGCATAAGCCCGCGACGACCCTAACTCAAAACGCAGCATGCCTATTAATACATAAAAGTAACAGCGCTAAATACGTTGTGTCCATAACGCCCCTGGTAGTCCTCTCTGTAGCTTCTAGCAGCTTGGCTCCCTACATTGCCCATATCAATGCGACGCATATTCCGGCCTCAATTCGCTTCTTTTGGGGTTGATGAGAGGGTGTAGTTGCGCGAGGAAGGTGATAGCTATTATATATCATTAGCGCATGCACTGGAGAGTATCAGAGAGAGAGTCAGAGATCATACCCCACATGATGTAGCAGCTGGCGAAGGAGAGGATCAAGGTGCTGCGCCAGACACTGTAGTGATTCAGTCAGCCGTTGTTTACCCACGAAACCCAACAGCGGACAAGAGGGAAACATACGTTTGATTCTCGCCCTTCGGAGATAAGAACCAGGCTGCAACGGAGGCCAGGACAATGACGACGAAGCCGATGAATATGTTCCAACTAGACAATCGAAGCAATCAGCAACCATAATTCCACAGGAGTATCGCTCCTGCCCAGAGCAACTACTCCAGATCAAACTTACCTGCCTGCCATCTTGGCTATTTAATTGAGCAGAGCGGGAATGAGATATATCCTCTAGAGTCCACGAGTTCATGTGTTAGCTGGACGTCCAGAGCTCAAGGCCCCGGCTGGCTTGGCACTACCAATTCACGTGATGCGCGATAAGGTCCTTATCAGCAACGACACTAATTGAAGATACGGTTCCAGACCATGCATAACGCGACGTAGGTGCCATGGCTACAATTAAGGCCATAGAAGGCCGAACGGTAAGCGGTGCTTTGGAAAGAATAAGGATTTCACTGACATTCTGGGGTGTAGATACATCAGATTCAATCTGGGCAGGTCATAGTAGATTTATGCTCCGTTGTGAAGGAGCTGGCGGAGAATAGTCTTGATGCCGGAGCTTCAAGTATTGGTAATTTCTCCTGTATTCTCCATTATAAATGAATGTTGCTCATATATTTCGTGTTGCAGAAGTGCGGTTCAAAAATCAGGGCTTGGAGTCAATCGAGGTACATGATAATGGCGCCGGCATCGCATCCCAAAATTATGAGACTATCGCCCTCAAGCACTACACGTCCAAGCTATCAACATATGCCGATTTAACGACACTACATACGTTCGGCTTCCGCGGCGAAGCGTTATCCTCGTTATGTGCGCTGTCGGACTTCACCATCACAACATGTACAGCTGAAGATGCACCAAAGGGCACAAAGTTGGATTTCGAAGTGTCGGGGAAGCTGAAGGGAACGAGCGTTGTCGCGGCACAGAAAGGCACCACTGTGACCGTGGAGAACCTGTTCAATAATCTACCCGTCAGAAGGCGAGAACTGGAGAGGAATATCAAGCGCGAATGGAACCGTGTCGTTGCTGTTCTTGGGCAGTATGCTTGCGTACAGACTGGTGTCAAGATCAACGTTACCCAACAGGCTGGGAAGGGCAGGAAGACAACCGTCTTTGCAACGAAAGGAAACCCTACGACGAGAGAGAACATAGCCAATGTCTTTGGCGCAAAGACCTTGGTTGCCCTTGTCCCGCTAGATCTCAACCTGGAACTCGAGCCCTCAAGCGGCCCGAGTCAACGTTGGAGTACACAGGATGATGGTGGCACGAAGGAAGTCCGAATCGTCGGCCATATTTCGAAACCCATATCCGGTGAGGGTCGACAGTTACCAGACAAGCAAATGTTCTTCGTCAACTCGCGGCCCTGTGGGTTACCACAAGTTGCAAAGGCATTCAACGAAGTGTACAAGTCCTACAATAATAACCAGTCGCCGTTCATATTTGCGAATATCGAGTTGGAAACGCATCTTTACGATGTTAATGTCAGCCCTGATAAACGCACCATTATGCTGCACGAGCAGAATAGCATGTTGGAGCAGTTGAAGCTCTCTCTGACGGAGTTGTTCGAGAAGCAAGATTACGCTGTGCCCATCTCGCGGCTGTCATCGCAGAAGCAACCGGCATATAAACAACTGACTATTAATCGAGATCACCTACCCTCTCCTCCAAGTGCCAGGCCAGCAGGACCTGCGATACTGGAAGTGGCAGAAGAAACGGACGGGGAGTCTGCTCTAGGTGAGGATCAAAGCATAGGTGATGAAGACGAGCAGCCTGGCGAACCCAGAGACGGCGAATTGGAGGTTCGTGAGGAACCGCGAGATGTCGCGAACCGAGATAGGGGTGCGATAGACTTGATGAGCAAGTGGCACGAAGCCAAAACGAAAGACAGGGCCATTCAGGGCGAGACTCGCAGCAAGTCTCGTACTACCGAGAAAGCTGATGGTCCTTCCAAGGAGGAGTTGAGACTTAGTAAGAGGCTGTCTAGGGAAGGAGAAATAGACGATGAAGCTTCTGATGATGTGGGAGATGCCGGTTCTGAACATGGTAGCATGGACGAGATGCCTGAAATATCTCACCATCTTCCAGTGCCTGTTCGGGATTTTAATGCGAGGTTGGCGGAGGCAGAGCACGGTGGACAAGAAACTGATGGATATAAACCCCCGCGGCCAATAACCCACGATGATCACATTCCTTCCATTGCGTCTCCAACAAGGCGCCCAGCCGCTGGCACTAGTAGTATCATCTCGAAGCATGTCCGACCTAGAAGGATGCCAGAAGAAACAGCTACTATCACGATTGGCGACCATACAACTGTTAGCTCCATTGGCACTCCACGCCCCAAGAAACGACGGTTAGAACCGCCATCGTCAAATGTTGCTCAGCAAGACTCAACACCATCATTTGGAAGTCGCCTGTCGCAAAGATTCGCGGCACCTGGGGCGGATACAGAGCAAATCGATAGCTCAATGGATGAAGGCGAGGAATCAGTTGAGGAAGGCATAGAAGAAGAGCAAGAAGTAGGAGTAGAAGAGGAAGACGAGGAAGAAGGAGAGAAAGTCGGAGAAGAAGAAGAAGAGTATCGGAAAGGTTTAGAAATGGAGCACTCTCCAGAAATGGAGCCAGAGGAACCTGTTGAAGCCCCAACTGAAGAATACGAAGAAGAAACCCCAGACGAGAGTCGAAATGAAGTGGATACTACCGAAGAATTTGCTTCTATGGCTGATGATCAAGATGGCGATTACATGGATGAAGAGGATAAGAAAGCTTTGGAAGATGCAAAAGTTCAGGAGATGATCAAGGCCGCCGAAGAGGTAGCAAGCCGGCCCTCAACAGACAACGAGAAGCGAGCCACTTCTTTGCTCAAAAATGACGCCCGACGAAAAGATGCTACTGTGCATCTTGTCAAGAACCTCAGCACAACTGTCGATGCAATCGCACAGCAATTGCAGAACCTCAACGAGTCATTAGACCACTTTGAAACCTCGACACCCTTCGAAGAACCTAGTGCTTCAGGAATAGATTCCGTGGACGCCGAAGAGAAACTCTCTCTGACCATCCACAAGTCCGACTTCGCAAAGATGAAAATCATAGGCCAATTCAACCTCGGATTTATCCTGGCTTCGAGAACATCACACGGATCTGATTCGACGAACAAGGCCTCTGATGATGTGTTCATAATCGACCAGCATGCTTCCGATGAAAAATACAACTTTGAACGTCTCCAAGCGTCGACTACCGTCCAATCCCAGCGTCTCGTCCAACCGAAACCACTCTCTCTCACCGCTGTCGAGGAAGAAATCGTGATAGAGCACCTGGACGCATTAGAAACTAACGGCTTCTTACTGAGCATCGATCATGACGCACCCGTAGGCGAACGCTGCCATCTCGTTGCTCTTCCACTGAGTCGCGAGACCACGTTCTCACTGTCTGATCTCGAGGAGCTGATTGTGCTTCTTACCGAGGCGCCGCCAGGGCAGATACCAAGGCCGAGCAAAGTGCGGAAGATGTTTGCGATGAGAGCGTGCCGGAGCAGTGTCATGATCGGACGAACATTGACGACGAAGCAGATGGCAAAGTTGGTGGGGCATATGGGGGAGATTGATAAGCCATGGAATTGCCCCCATGGGAGGCCAACAATGAGACACCTTTGTGGGTTGGGCGGCTGGGACGAAGAAGGATGGAAAGAGGGGCAGGGTGTGGATGGAGACAAAGATGGGGTGACAGATTGGAATGCGTATGTGAGGCGGAAGAAGAGAACGAATTAAAGGAGCCATGGCTAGAAAACGGGGCGGTACTTTGGCTAACAGGTTTTTTGGACGATTATTTCTCAAATTTTTTGATACCCCAGTTGAAGATAGCAGTCTCTCAGTCTCTCTATTTCCTACATAGCTACTGTAGCTGAACAATGGCCCAGAATAACAACAATACATTATCCTAACACCCGCTCCGCCAATACCGCGCCATTTCGCATCCCAAACTCCCAAACATGAACCCCCAACTCTCCCATGACCCAATTAAATCCCACTGATTTTCCTAAACCTAGCTCCCCATCCGCCACGTCCCTCTTCGGCAATCTTCCCACTCACATCCCTCCTTCCATCTCCAGTTTGGACGCCCATGTCAATGCCGGAGCTCACCTGTCGCCCCTTCACGCCGCTGACGAGCGTAGGTGGGGTACCCGCGCGTAGCTCGCCGTAATACCGCGCCTTAAATCCCACGGAGCCCTTAACAATGCCATCTCTGTCACTGCTGTGTCCGACAACCCCCTTTCCAGCGGCTCCAGGCCGCACGAGCGGTTGTGGTGTCAATTCTCTGTACTCTGACTGCCCCTTAGGCTCAACGGTTGCGTAGTCATAGCATCCGCGCTGAGGGCCATTGATATCTGCTACATCTCCGCTGTAGCTGCTGCTCCCTGCAGTAAAATTGGGATTCAGTGATATCTCCCCTAATGCGGACTCTCGTTTAACGGGAGGAACGCGTTGACCTGCGGCGACGGGGTGCGCGCTGAGAGGGTTGGCGGAGACAGTAGATGAACCAACATCTGAGTCGAAGTCGGCATCGTTAATGTCTTCGTAAGTCCCAAAGCCATCACGTAATGGAGTATACGCGGATTGTGGACGAGCCTCTATTGGGGATCTGGCGGACTTTACTGGGTTGGGTGGCTGGCTGTAGCGGTTGTGAGGGAGGGAGTCGGTGCTATACCAGTTCTCATTTTGGACACCCGCATATTGATCTGCGAGATCTTGGGTGTTCACTGGGGCATAGGAGCCGCGCTTAGGGGAAACCGAGGGAAGAGAAGATTGATATGCGCGCTTCAGGTCCGACACCGAGGCACGGGGAGAATTGGTGGCCGGTATCTGACACTGACGGCTGGGGAGGTCCAGCCTCGAATCTCGTGGCGATGAGGACGTAGGTATCGAGTAGTATGTCGAGAAGGATGTGCCGGAGTTGTTGCGTGTGTGCATAAAAGGCATCATGGGAGGCTGTGCGAGGCCCTCGTAAGGAGGGGCTGCAGCGCCAGCTACTGATTGCCTGGACCCCCGCTTGTCGTCATATATCGGCATTGTAGAGACAGAAGACTTGTTGCGCTTGTGGGCTCTGGAAGTGAGATTGCTTTCCAATGGGTTCATATCTGGAGGAAGATTGACAATTTTGCGGAACAGTACGAAAAGCCAGATTGAGAGTATCAGGGTTATGAAATGGAAGATCGCGCTCACCCCGAAGCATAGAACTGCGGAGAAAAAGAGAGTCTTCATGACATATGGGCCATCATCCTGGAGTATTGGCCAAGTTGACCAGGTTGTGACTGAGTCGGTTGATTTCCAGAGACCGTTCTTTGGATCCCATCTGTAGTATGCCGTAGTTGTGCTAAAGGCGTAAAACGCCATAATTGAAGCATCGCACAAGCTGGCAAACAGCATGTATGAGGCAGACGAGCCTGGTGTTCGACCGGAAGGTTTGCGTGATAAGTGATAAATGCCGTATGATGTATGCAAAATGGATATACCAGGCTGAAATGAGTTGTCAGTGACTGTAAAAAAACAGATTGCAGAAAGTTCCTCACCACTATTCTCATAATCCAGCCCATTTGAGTATCGACACCAGTAATTAGAACCATAGTAGTCAGAGCTCCAATTGCGCCTAGTAATTGAAAGATCCTGAAGAACAACACCGCCATCCTAGTTTCTGTAATGCGACCCTTCATCGATGCGCTCACTCTTGCGCCGGTAGCCTTTCCAGAAGGCATTATCAGGTAGGAGCTGTTTGAATGTCAGTCATGCAAATCACCTGGGACAGAGCTTAGGACATACTCGGGATGTCTGTTGAAAGATACCAGAGGGCCATCTTTCTTTGGTTTTTGCGGTTGCGACTGCATACTTGATCTTGATACGGCCTTTGGGTCAAACTCTTTGTACGAATACCTCGTTGTGTCCTTCTTAACAGCGTCGTAAATGTAAGGCGGCTCGACACCCATGGCTATCGAGGAGGTGGAGCGCTGTCGGGTCGACTAGATGGTATTTTGACGTCTTCAGACGTAATTGTTTGGTATATATAAGGCAATCTGTCATATGTCATAAGCATAGAGTACCTTACTATAGCAGTATTTTGGTGTGGGGTGGAGTCGTGCAACCCGCTCAGCGGTAAACATCCGTTGTCGCAGCAACAAGCCCCCTCTATCACAATCAACCTCTTATCGGGATTTTTGGTTTCGGGCGAACCGCTCCGTCATGAATCACAGGATGAGCGCAACCACTCAATATGTGTGTACAGGATGTACCCGGCATTTACGTCGCATAGTGTTTAATCCACGGGGCAGTTTAAGGGGTGCCCAGGTTTCTACTCGCCGAAAGTATAGTGTACAGAATTCTACTCAAAATGGCCGGCCTTTCCGAATAGCCGTCATAGGCTCTGGCCCAGCGGGATTTTATACGTCCTATAAAGTGCTGTCCAAAATTGAAAATGGGACAGTAGATATGTATGAGCATCTTCCTGTGCCTTTTGGCCTTGTCCGTTTTGGTGTTGCTCCGGATCATCCAGAAGTCAAGGTTTGTGAACTTCGGCTTCCGCCATCCGCCTTCAAACAAGGCTGATAACATATAGAACTGCGAAGATAAGTTTCAAGAAGTAGCAGAATCACCAAATTTCAACTTTATTGGCAATATAAGCATTGGACCAGACCCAGGGTCCTTGCCTCTTAAAGCTATTGCCCCTCACTATGATGCCATACTATTCGCATACGGAGCTTCACAGGACCGGAAGTTGGGCATAAAGGGAGAGGATACGGTCAATGGCATATATTCTGCTCGAGCATTCGTCGGGTGGTACAATGGGCTGCCAGAATACTCGGGTCTTGCGCCGGACTTGACAATGGGGGAAGAAGCGGTTGTCATCGGCCAGGGTAATGTTGCCCTCGACGTGGCACGCATACTTCTCAGCGACGTGAATTCGTTGAAGGGAACCGATATCACCGAGCAGGCCATAGACGCCTTGAGCAGAAGCCGTGTCAAGAGTGTGAGAGTGGTTGGGAGACGTGGGCCAATGCAGGTGAGTCATATCGTTCAATTCGTTTTAAAATACGCCCAACTAACCATCAAACAGGCTGCATTCACAATAAAGGAGGTTCGGGAGCTTATGAAGCTACCAGATGTAGCATTTCGTCCTATCCCTCCAGCCCAATTACCTCCAGATATAACCAAGCTCCCTCGCGCACCGAAGCGAATAATGCAAGTTCTAGCAAAGGGCTCTGAAGCATCATTGGGAGACGTGCCACGATCTTGGTCTCTCGATTTCAAGCTATCGCCCACCTCGTTTAACCCGGATTCGTCGAATAATTTAGCCAGCCTATCCTTTGACAAAACTTCCCTAGGCCTCGATCCCTTTGACCCCAAGGCCAGGGTAACGAGCACCGGTGAACAGGCAGACCTCCCTGCTGAGATGGCGTTCCGGTCTATCGGGTATAAATCGGAGGCCATCGCCGGGCTCTCAGAACTCGGTGTCCCATTTGATGACCGATTAGGGATAATACCCAATGATCAGGAGGGCCGCGTATTGAGCCTCGGGTGGGAAAAGGGGGTAAAGCAACACGTTCCCGGGATGTACGCCGCAGGCTGGGTAAAGAGAGGCCCTACAGGTGTTATTGCAAGCACGATGAGCGATGCATTTTTAACCGCAGATAGAATTGCCGAGGACTGGAATAGTAAGGCGCCATTCAAGGGAGGCGAGGATGTAAAAACTGGATGGGACGCCGTCAAAGTCGAAGCCGAGAAGAGGGGGTGTCGAAGGGTGAGCTGGGAGGACTGGAAAAAGATCGATGCAGCTGAAGTCGCACGAGGCAAGAAGAGCGGCAAGAAGAGGGAGAAATTCACTACCATCGAAGAGATGCTCCGTGTCTTAGACTGATCAACTTGGGTTGGACTGTACACTTGTGTAACTATATATACAATATTTAAATATTTATTCTCATCTATTTATTTTTGGAGCTTGGACGTCAATTCTGGCACCTTCTCAAACAGATCACCCACCAAGCCCACATCCGCGATCTGGAAAATAGGTGCATCGGGATCCTTGTTGATGGCCGCAATCACCTTGCTATCCTTCATTCCTGCCAAATGCTGGATAGCACCGGAAATACCGGCGCATAGGTACAACTGTGGTGCAACCACCTTGCCCGTTTGCCCAACTTGTAAGCTGTTATCAGCATATCCGCTGTCCACGGCCGCTCTTGAAGCACCAACAGCAGCGCCTAGGGCGTCTGCAAGGGGCAGCATAATCTTATCGAACTCCTCCTTAGATTTTAAGCCACGGCCACCTGACACGACCTTGCTGGCGGTCGCCAGATCAGGGCGATCGCTCTTTGCAAGATCCTCAGAGACCCATTCGGTTGTGCTCTCGGATTTAGGGTCAACGCCTTCCTCGATTGTAGCCAAGCCGCCAGTGGTAGCAGCTGCGGCGAACGCGGTTCCACGGATAGTCACAATTTTGATGTCATCGGAGGACTCCACGGTTGCGATAGCATTTCCAGCATAGATTGGGCGGACGAAGGTATTCTCAGACTCAATGGCAACAACGTCGGAGATTTGTTGCTTGTCGAGCAGCGCAGCTAGGCGGGGCAAGAGGTTCTTGCCGAACGCAGTGTGCCCGGCCACAATGTGCGTGTAACCGCCTTTCTTGATGTTTTCGACTAAGAGAGGGGCGTAGTTCTCGGGTAGACCCTATTTGATAATTTAGCATCCATAACTGTATATACTGCCTCCCATGACCGCATACCCTGTCATATGCCGCATTGTCAACGGAGATAACCTTCTCGACGCCCTCGACCTTAGCTGCCTCCTCGGCGACGCTCTTAATGTTCCCGCCAGCAACGAAGGCAGTAACTGAGCCTCCGAGTTTCTTGGCGGCCGTGACGGCGCTCAGGGAGCCGGTGTTCAGCTTTCCATTGTTCTGTTCGAGGACGGCTAGTGTCGATAGTAGCCTCTGGAGTTGTGAGAGTGATTGGACCCGGAACTGAGGGCGTGCTTGACGCAGTACAGACCGGCTGACCGAGGAAAGCATATTGATGGCGCTGTTTGAGTAAATAGAAACAAACAGTCAAATCCAATTGTACTCCAAGGTATGTGGGAGAATGTTAAGCTTCAAGCATCGCAAGTCTTGATTGCCGGGCTATCATCGGCCCTTGACCCGAGGTTCGCTCGGAACAAACCGTGCTCAAATGCCAAGAAAAACACGAATATCACGTGATGTGTCTAGGATTGGTCGCTTCGGTCACGACTATTGTCGTGAGAACATCTTGAGGCTATCCATCAGACGCGCCTCATCAAAAGTCACCTTGATCCAGCACGGCCGTTCCTCATTCCACACTATCAACGTTGTATAGTTGTATGGTCGCATAAGCAGATTGAACTCAGCCCTACGTGCTCAACTTGCGCCCAAGGTCCTCCGCCGCAACAATCAGCAAAATCGATTCGAAGCCTGTAGGAAGGGACTTAACATTTCTGTCGACCACGCTTCGAGAAATTGGAAGAAAACATACAATATGGATAGCGAATCTCTTAGTGTTGGGTCGCCAGCTACGATAGCAACTCCTAACACTAATGCGCAAGGCCAACAGCAAGGGGAGGCTGGAACCCCTGTGGTGGAAGGGGCAGGTGATGCAGCAACCAATGGTATGTTTGAATGCCTCGTCACAATTGGCGTTCACTATTATGATAACAAATAGATATCTGACTCTGATACCGTGTTTAGATCCCTCTGCAACGGATGCCGAAACTTCAGAACCAGCTATCAAGCCGGACACCTCAACATCTACTCCTGCTGTAGTATCAGATAACCCCCTCGACGCGCCTGAAGGACCTAGGCCTGAAGACACAAGGCAGGATACGGAAATGGGCGAGGCACAGGAGGATGTCAAAGATGGGCAGCAACTTGTCACAACCGGCGAAGGAGTAGATGCGACTGCGGCAACTGGACAAGTTGAGCAAACGAAAGCGTCAATCGAATCTACTGCGCGTGAACACCTCATCTCCCAAACACATTCAATCATCCTACCAAGTTACAGTACTTGGTTCGATATGCACCAAATCAATAATATTGAGCGCAAGGCACTGCCTGAGTTTTTCAACAACAGAAATCGAAGCAAAACGCCAGCTGTGTATAAAGATTATAGGGATTTCATGATCAACACATACCGTCTAAACCCCGTGGAGTATCTCACTGTGACTGCATGCCGCAGGAATCTCGCGGGAGATGTATGCGCTATCATGCGCGTGCATGCGTTCTTGGAGCAATGGGGTCTTATCAATTACCAGGTAAGCTAAAAGGCAGCATCTTGCGAAGAACTTTAAACTAACAAAACTCAGGTTGATGCGGATGCTCGGCCGTCAAACGTCGGCCCACCATTCACTGGTCACTTCCGAGTAATTGCGGATACACCTAGAGGACTGCAGCCGTGGAATCCGGCAACGGACCCGGTCATTACACAGGGAAAGCCAAGTGCAGACACAGACGCAAAGGCGAAGGCAGACGGGAAGATTGAGCGTAATCTAGAGATTGGCCGCAACGCCTATGAGCCGAATGGCAAAGAAGTGACTCAAAAGACTGGAGACAAACAGGCGAATGGAGAATCAGCGACCAACGGTGCTGACCCTAGCAAGGCTCTCGATGCTCTCCTGAAAAGCCCGATCGCCAAAGTCAACTGCTACTCTTGCGGAGTTGATTGCACGCGCGTCTATTACCACAACGGAAAGACTGCGCCAGGAGTTACCAGCTCGGGGAAGGCGAAATATGACGTCTGCCCGAACTGCTTCCTCGAACTCCGTCTCCCATCTAACCAAGACTCATCGCTTTACGTCAAAATCGAAAACCCGTCTTACAGCAAGTACCCGGATCGTGATGCCCCTTGGAACGATGGCGAGCTACTGCTGTTACTGGAAGGCCTCGAGAAGTTTGACGATAGCTGGCAAGAGATTGCAGAGTATGTCGGAACCCGAACCCGCGAGGAGTGTGTGGTAAAGTTCTTGCAATTGGAGATTGAGGACAAATACCTCGACACAGAGCCAGCTGTAAATGGAAGCACTGGGCTTGGATTGCTTGGAACATCCGGTGGACAGCTTCCATTTAACCAAGCCGACAACCCAGTAATGTCTGTCATCGGCTTCCTGGCCAACCTAGCAGACCCAGCCGTCGCAGCTGCCGCCGCTGGAAAGAGCGTTGACGCAATGAAGAAGAGTCTGCGTCAGAAGCTAGACAAGGATTATGGCGGCGATGATGCGTCTGACTCGAAAGACAAGCAAAACGACGCTATGGACATTGACATTCACCACCACGAAACGACCACGACTACCACCACCACAACCACCTCTACAACCCTCGCCACTGCATCCCTAGCTGGAACTGCTGCCCGCGCCTCTGCCCTGGCAACACATGAAGAGCGCGAGATGACACGCTTAGTCTCCGCAGTTGTCAACACGACATTGCAGAAGCTAGATCTGAAGCTGCAGCAGTTCAATGAGATGGAGGCGATCATCCAGGAGGAGAGACGCGAGTTGGAGAGGGGAAGGCAACAGCTGTTCCTCGACAGACTCACCTTCAAGAAGCGAGTTCGTGATGTCCAGGCGGGCCTACGGGTAGCGGCTACTGTAGGTGGAGAGGAAGGGAACAGGATGGCGCAGGATGTTATGGATACAGGCGACAGGTTGAGCTTCCAAGGCCCTGGCAGCAATGACAATGTGCAGCCGCTGAGCGCTGAAGGGGCTGTCAGTACCTACGAGATTTGAGATACAGGGGATGGTTAGGGGTGGCGAGTGAGGTGTTTTGATAATGGCGTATAGGGGTTGAAATTGGTCAAACGGGCGACGACCGGATGGGCCGGATACGTGAGGATTTCATGAGGCAAAGCCGCCAGTTGGTTGCGGTTTTCTTCGAACTTCAATGTGAGCTTATTATTAGTTGTATTGTACGTCTAGAAAATGGGATAAATGTTATAATTAAGTTTAACCTATTCGTGCCACACGGAACTCTGAGCAATAGTCGATATGTCTTTCCAAGAGCGAGATAAGTGCTCTCAATAGTAAATATATCCATGATGCCTGAAGCTACCGTCTCTATCTTACATATAAGTGCAGTAACCACTCCACAACTTCATATCCATGGTCGTCGCTTCAATTCTGAGACTTATAAACTCGTAGCATCTCGTCACTGAGCCCACTCGTTATCATCACCAATATCATAGTCCAGTTCCTGTTGCTCTCGTGTCTGGCTTTGTGCAGGCCCTCTAGGCATATCTTGAGCCATAGCGTCACCCTCTCCGTTGCCTCCCACGCCCGTGTCCCCATTCTCATGGTCATTTGTCGCTGTGTCTGGCTTCGCAATTGGCGCAGCGGATGGTAAGGTAACAGGCGGCAGTGGCGTCTGAATCCATGCCAGTTCCACTTTTCCAACGCCAGGTATCTCGGAATTGGAAATGCCGTACATAAATTTTTCGGCCGTAAATCGGTCTTTAAAGGTTATGGAGGTGTTCTTTGGAGTGGTTTCGATATCAGCATACTCGCCAACACCCTGACTAGTTAGCATCAATCATATTAGCTGTATTCATGGTGACTTACGAGAAGATATTGCCGTAGGCTCTCATCTTTTTCGGCGTGCGTAAAATCCACTCCTGAAATGCCTATTTTCTTCGGTCGATTGTCCAGCTTATATGGATTGGGTCCAGGAGCAAAGCCGGCGCCACCGCGGCCGCGGTAGCCGCCTCGTGCACCACGAGGAGCGTATGCACCTCTCATACCGGGGGCGCCTCGTCCTCGGCCTCTTCCTCTACCGCCCCAGCCACCCCAGCTGTTCTCTTCAGCCTGGGCAGGATCCAGACCCAAACTCCTTGCCTCTGCTTCCAATGCGGCAAGTTGCTTTTTGAGAGCCTCTGCTTGACTCGGGGTTTTTCCATCAGCACCATTACTCTCTGCTGACGGTTGTGCCGTTCCCTCTTTAGCCGCTAATCTTTCCATCAACTTGCGCTTCTCTTCCGCCTGGCGCTTCATCAGGTCTTCCTGCCTCTTCTGCATCGCGGCAACAGCGGCTTCCATCTCGGTCTTCTTCTTCCGTTTCTCTTCGTGCGCCTTTTGGACCTCAGCTTGCTTACGGGTGAACTCTTCCACATCGATGCGGGTCTCTGAAGTTGCTCTCGCTGGAACACCTGAAGCCGCATCCCCTGAAGTAGTAGCAGTATGGGCCTCCCCTGTGTTGCCCCTAGGTGGTTGAGGTAAAGAAGCGTCATCCTTGTACCAGTAGACCTTGACAAATCTATTATCGAAGATAACTTTAGGTGAGTTGTATGCCGCCTGCGCAACATTCCAATCATTATACTTTACCAACGCAAGACGCTTATAAGCCTGCATCGTTACGTCACTAATTTCCCCAAACTCAGAGAAGAATGCCCGGACAGCTTCTTCTGAGAACTTCTCTTCTGGAATATTCTCGACGACGATGGTTGTCTTTGAGCGGTCGAAATTGGGACGGTCAGAGGAGAACTCTGCCCGCCCACCACGGCGACTGGGCGCTCCACCGGGTCCCCCACGGTTACCGAACTGCCCTCTACCACGGCCTCTGCCCCGTTCGCTTCCAGAGAACTGGTGACCACCACCAGGACGCATTCCCGTTGAAGTACCTTCAGCGCCAACCACAAGAGACGAGTTGGTAGGGTCATACTCGTCGACAACACCCTGGGGTACATATATGGAATCCTGGCCATGCTCAAACTTGCAGCTGTTACCACGTGCACAGAAGCCTTTGGTATCGTAGTCTCTGCATCTCCGTCCTTGCCCTGGCCTTCCATCAGGGCCTCTTGGGCCGGCCGCATGTTGATCGAACCCAGGCATCCCCTGGACCGGGAAGCCCATGGCTTGCATGGCCATCATAGCCGCCATAGGGTCGTTTGGGTCCATTGGAGGCATTCCCGGAGGCAATTGCGGCATTGCAGGAAACCCCCGCTGTGCATCAAACCGTCTGTTTAGTTGCGGCGTAGTGTAATTGCCAAAACCATCATAATGTCCACCTGGTACCATGTTACCGTTTCTCCGTGCTTGCTTCACTGCTCTTCCCGTAGTATCCATCGGCCCCATCTGAGCATCTGCATCGCCTCGGTCATTGAAAGATCGTTTCTTCGAACCATTTGGATTTGGCCCGGTAGGTACGCCAGTCATATCGAAGTTGTTGTATGGAGTCCCGAGCGGTGCATTCACATTGGGCAAGGTAGATACGGGATGCTGAGGTGGACGTGGCGCGCCAGGCATGAACGATCGGTATTGAACAGCTTCGAAGAGATCTTTCACGAATATAGTGCTGTCTACGCTTAATTGTAAGCAATGCACCTCTTGGGGGTCCATGGTTTTCACCTTCTTTGATAAAATCTGGGATTTCTTCCTCGCAAAGCTTTCGTACTATCTCAATATCGCCATCATGCCTCAGAAGTGCCAAAACATAATCGGCGAGGACATCGGCATCGGCATCTGAACTACACACAGGCATAAGTTCGTATTTGGCTCCTTCCAGACAAGGCTAAACGTGAACTTACGTATTTTCCAGTCTCTTCACGATCCAAGCCTTCAATAGAGGCGCATCCTCTTCAGCAAACAACATCATCATTAATGAGGTGTTTTAGCGCGTCCACAATGTAAAGCGTCCTTTAGTTCGATTGCTGGAGCTTGTTCATTGCTTTCAGATAATTTTTTCGCCTTCGACTTCAGAGCCTCGTCTCGTCGCGTGTTGGCGGGCGGCGGATAGCGGGCGGCGCATAGCTAGCGCCACAAGCGCCGGTGCCAAGTAAAAAACATATAAATCGTCTAGAACAGTACAAAACCTCACGACGAGTTGACACAGTCATTTGGCCTGCATATTAATAGTGATAGAGGGCGAATCATTTATTGAGATACTTTCACTTCCCAACACAAACTTATTATCGCGAAACAAAGGTTAAATTTCGACAGAAATTTTATTTAATATGCAAGAGTTTTAATGATTTGGCTCAAAAATATCACTATTTCTTTGGCGTAGGAAATCAATGTGCCTTATTTTGGGGTCGTTACTCGCTCTTCTGGGACAAAGAACCGCATCATTTTGAAAATGCGCCTAAAAAAATATGGACTTTGAAGATTCTGACATCGGTGGCCATGGCCACGATGTAGAACCGATAGATAACGATGATTCTGGGTCGTCATACCGCGCCTCTTCTGAAAATGCAGATGAGAGTCACAAAGTTGGCCGAAAGTCGGGTGGGCCGAGAAGGCACATGAAAACGGCTGTCACAGCGAAGAGAGGAGATTCCGAGAAATCTATTTCTGCACCCGCAATTTCACCAAGTGAGTATACGGAGGGACCAACAGCACCTGAAGGCAATGATCACGGCGAAGAACGCAGCATCACTGCAAGCCCCCGAAAAAGGAGGGCTAGTTCGACCAATTATGAATCAGAGTCTAATCGCCAGAGCCGTTATTTCAGGAACAAGAAAATAAAAGGGTACTACAACGATGGCTACAGACAGTTGCTGAACAATGACATCAAAGACGCCGCATCCTGTTCCCTGCCTTCGGACTATCCACCACTACCAAATAGCCAGATAGGCTCCAGCATGTGGACCACTGCTGAAAAAGGTTCCCTACTCACTGCTCTTGGAAGACTGGGCAAGGACAACATTGCTGGGATAGCAACACGGATAGGTTCGAAATCGAAGCTACAGGTTCAAGAATATCTTGACCTATTACAGCGCAACCGGGGAACCAAAAAACCTTTGGTGTTAACGGATCTCCCTGTGGCATTTGAGGTCAGCCAAAAATGTTCCCAGGCTTTGAACGAAGCAGCAGAGGCATTGGCTATGCGACAAGAACGGCATGAGGAAACGCTCGAGAGGGCAAAATGGGGAGACGATTCCTGGCTTCTAACTAAGGGTGTGAATGAATCAGTCGAGTCTCACCTTTCCGAGCCAAACGGAGAACAGGCTCTTGCGGAGGTGCTCCCTGCCGCCCAGCTTTTGAACCTCGGAAACTGGTTGGAGTTATCTACTCGAGTCTTCATGAACCCAGCTGGGCGCAAGGATGAAAATTGGAGATACCTAATCGAGGAAGGAGACGAACATGGAATTCGAGCTACGGCATTCTCTGACTTTCAAAACCTAGCTATCAGTGTCACCAAACGGCTAATATCGGCAACTCTACTCTGCGCAATGTCCAGAATGCGTGCCAAAGATATGGATACACAGACAAAGCATAGACAAGAAGATGTCATTGGCGCTGATGTCGAAGCAGCCGCGCAGATGATTGGATTTAGCATCAATAGCCATAACTTTTGGAAACGCTGTCCGAGAAGAAACAATCTACAAGTCTTCCAGCGCCTAACCCTCAGCCACGGGAATAGACCTCCAATGGAATACGATGCCGTCGAGGACGAGCTAAACAAACAAACCCCAAAGCAAAGAGCTCGATCACGATCACGATTCCGGTCTCGATCTCGATCAAACTCTGCTTCAGCTTCCGGCTCTCGTGCCTCTTCAGTTTCGACTATCAATGCATCGGACATTGATATCTCATCAGATGAAGAACAAGAATACTTGTCGATTGCACCAAGCGAAGCCAGTCATGGAGACTCTGCAATGGAAACGGATTATGATTCAGAAGCTCAACCCCAGCAAGGCCACGGTGACAATCCACCCTTGAGCCCACGTCCAGCAGCGCAAGAGCTCATGGATCACCATGCCACTACTATATCTCCCGAATCCCAAGAGCTAGCCTACGCAGATAAATTTGACATGGTGGCCAGTATGGACGAAGAGGCCCGCCTATGGGCATTACTGAACCAGAACCCGCCTATCTTAGTTAAGGACGAAGTAGATATCCTGACAAAGCCGAAAATAAAGACACGAGCTAAAGACGATATGGTTGATTGGAGGGAGAATGTCGAGTTCTGGAGTCCGTGGGAGACCCATGAATCGTTGCCTACTGAAGATAAATTTGTAGCAAATCAGAGAAATGCAAGGAAAAGGAGGAAAATTGTGAGAGAGGAGTCGGAAAGCGATGGAGGGGATGCGGCTGCTGTTGAGACGGAGGCATAGCAGGAGTATTAGGAAAGAAAGTAACTGAGGGGCTGTTGGAGAGCGACTATAGAGGTTGTTAAGGCGTAGTTTAATATCTGTATTGGTATGAATAAAATATTCCAGAGTACAGATCCAACAAGTTCATCCATCTATGAGCCTTTCAAGTTGCTATCCCGTGATATTTGGAAAGTTAGGTATTACGGAGGTGGCAAGTACATACAGAGAATCACATTATATCAGTCACTCAAATAACAAAACCGCAGCATTCTTTATACTTTCATCTCGATTCCTTAGCATATACCTAAAGAATGTCGAAGCTACTTAACAAAACAAAGAGCAAGCAAAAACAAAAATCGGGAAAAAACGGAACTGATGTATAATTTTGTTCTTCTGATCTGCATCATGGCGCCGCTTCTACCGTTCAACGTCTCCGTTGCCCGTCAGAGCACCGCCACGAGGGAACATGGCTTTTCGTGGGTGTCATTCAGTCATAGTACTGCATGAACCGCGGGAAACGCGGTGCAACACCTGGTGGAGAGGAAGTCTATCAGGGACGAGAGCAGTTTATAGCTTGTCGTAGAACTATGCAGTGTTAGTAATCTGTGCGGGATAGGTGGAGTGAAGAGGGAAAACTTACGTTGTCGACACCTGGAACCTCGGCCTTGATACCCTTGCGCTTACGCATCTCGGTGACGACCTGGCCGACCTTGGAGGTGGGGTCAAGCGGGGATCCACCGGGAAGAATCTGCCAATGATCGAAGACGGACTGGGGGAAGGCCTGTCCAGAGGTATGCGAGCGGAGATCGGCATTGAAACCGAAGGACTCGTTGACGGGGAGGTAAGACTTAATGGTGAAGAGAGGTGTGCCGGGGCGCTGCTCCTCAGCGAAGACGTGACCACGACGGCGGGTAAGGACACCGTAGACACCACCCATGGCGGACTCTGGAACTTGAATTTCGCACAAGAAGACGGGCTCGAGGAGACCGGGCTCGGCAAGAAGGGTGGAAGCGAGGAGGACACGACGGGCAGTTGGGATGATTTGACCACCACCGCGATGGATGGCATCGGCGTGGAGGGTGACATCCATGATGTTGAAGCGGATAGAGCGCATGGGCTCCTCAGCGACTGGTCCTTCTCTCGAAGCCCACTGGAAACCAGAGACGACGGAGTCCTTGATTTCGAGGAGATACTGGACGGCCTTGGACTGATCGACCAACAAGTTGGCACCGTTGGTGTCGGGACCGAAGCACCAAATCTTACGGGCATCAGTGACATCCCATCCGTGCTCATCAGCAAGGAGACGGGCACGGGTCTTGATATCGTCACGGGGGGTGATCTTTCCGGCCTCAATCAGGTTGGAAACCTCCTCAGAGAGGGGCTCAGCGATCATGTAGATACGGTTGTGCTTGTTGGGCGACTTGGAGAGAGCAGTGATGCTCGACTGGGTGGTGACAGTCTCACGGTAGGCGACAACGGGGTCGGAAATGCGGAGAGGGACACCAGCGTGGTCCTCCTCGAGATCCTTCAAGCAAATCTCCAAATGGAGCTCACCAGCACCAGCAACAACGTGCTCACCGGACTCAGAGATGTAAGTCAGGACACAAGGATCGGACTTGGAGAGACGCTTAAGACCCTCAACCAACTTGGGGAGATCCTGGGCGTTCTTGACCTCGACGGAGCGACGGACAACGGGGGAGACGGAGAACTTCATGACCTTCAGGTTGTGGGCGGTGTCGGAGGTGGTAAGAGTACCAGACTTCAACAAGAACTGATCAATACCGACGAGACCAAGGATGTTACCGGCTGGCACATCGTCAATGGGGTCGACCTTGCCACCCATCATGAGGACGGTACGCTGGATAGCCTTGATGAAAAGATCATCCTTCTTGCCGGGAACGTAGTTAGGACCCTGGATGCGGACCTTGAGTCCAGACTTGACGGTACCAGAGAAGACACGACCGAAAGCGTAGAAACGACCCTTATCGGAAGTGGGCACCATCTTAGAGACGTAGAGCATGAGAGGGCCCTTGGGGTCACAGTTCTTGATACCGAGGCAGGCCTCATCGTCTGGGGGACCCTCGTAGAGAGTCTCAGCACGGTAGTTCTGGGCGGTAACTGGGGATGGCAAGTGGAGAATCATCATCTCCAACATGGCATCGGCAGCGGGCAAGAAAGTTCGCATGACAATCTTGAGGAGAGCCTTGCCCTCCTTGTCGCGGTCATCAGAAGTGAGCTTGATGCTCAGCTTCTCGAGAAGGGTGTTGATCTCGTCCTTCTTGAAGTTCATGACAGCGTTGAAGATTCTGAAAATAGGATCCAAGATGAACTGGTTGAAGGCACGCTCCAAAGGCTTGCCCTCGTGGGTGCCCTTGTTGGTCCACTTCTTGGTGTGGGGGTTGAAGTAGTTATCGCCCCAAAGGCGCTCCATCATCTTGACACGGTCAACACCAAACTTCTTGGCGTAACGCTGAGCAAACTGGCGGATAGTGAAAGCCCATCCGTGAAGACCGGAACCGAAGGCAACCGTTCCCTTGTATGGGTAGACCTGGACATCACCGAGGGACTTGTCGAAGTAGGTGGATATAACGACGTTGACGGACTCGATGGTACGGGAGAAGGACTGGTAAAGGTCCTCCTTCTCGATCTGGAGCTCGAGAAGAGCACGATCAACCTTGTTGATGATAACAACAGGCTTGATACGCTCACCTAGAGCTTGACGAAGGACGGTCTCGGTCTGGACGCAGACACCCTCAATGGTGTCGACGACGACGAGAGCACCATCAGTGACACGGAGAGCAGCAGTAACCTCAGAGGAGAAATCAACGTGACCGGGCGAATCGATCAAGTTGATCAAGAAATCACCACCGTCGGTCTTCTGGCCAATAATGTCCTTGATGTCCTCAGGGTCGGTGAGCTTTCCGTACAGGGAGATGGCAGTCGACTTGATGGTAATACCGCGCTCCTGCTCATCAGCACGGGTATCAGTGGCTCTGGCCTCACCGGCCTTCGCCGAAGAGATAATACCAGCCTTGGACAGGAGGGAATCGGTAAGAGTGGACTTTCCGTGATCGACGTGAGCAATAACGGACATGTTACGCACGTTGGTCGGCTTGTCCATCAGCGCGCGGACCTCCTCGATAGTGAAGCTGTAGACGGAGCATGATTAGCAATGTGTTCACAGATGTCATAACCAGAATCCCAAAACTCCCATCAAGATGCAACTGAAGATGGAAAAACATCTCGACAAGCTCGAATTTTGTCGGGGGATTTTGCAGGAGAACTCACTTAACCATGATGGCGGTGGAGCTTCAAAAGCTGATTAATGGTGAATTTTTCTGGTGCCGAAGCGGGGTCGGATCTGAGACTCGAGGGACTTTCTGAGAGTCTCCTTGAGGTCTTTGTATTCTATCTTATACTGCCTTCGGTTGACCCTAAGCAGTGATGATAGAATGCGCAGAAGATGGCTTTGATGCTTCTGATGATGGACTTTGCGGTGAGAAAGGAAGGAGGAGGTCTTTTCAAATGGTAGGGTGGGAGAAGGTGAAGATATCTTTGGTTAGTGGGGCAGAGGGTTGTTTGTGGAGTCTAACCGGAAATGGACTACTATCGCCCGCAAATGTCTTATCCCAATGTGAGTCGACGGAAAGAGGTGCGGAAGTCACTAAGTACTGTTTCCATAGCATCATACAGCACCCGATGACGCCGCGGCGTGGAAATTGTCAAGACACAGGTGATTTTTGGATATAAAGCTGATATAAAATACCAAAAATACCATCTACACGCTGAAGAATTGTATCTTGGACCCCGCCCCCTCCTGCCATCATATGAGCGAAAGGCTCTACAGCGAAGGAATCATCGGCCAAGCTGCGAGGGGCGGAGCTAGTTATGGTAAGGTAAGCTCACTCTACTCCCTACAGTACCGAGCTTGGACAAGAACACGGCATCGCCACCACAACCAATCACCGCCTCGATAATCAGCAGCTGGCATTCTATTGTTGTAGGTTGGACATATAATTATATTCAGTATTATGAGGCTCGTCCTGAGCCAGCAGTGATGAAAAGTGCTTCATACCTCCCAACGCCCCCGCTAAGACTCCTAAAAACGCAACGCAACTTCATACCATACATGATAACCCGAAACGGGCTATGCACAATCATACTATACGCCTTACGAGGACCCCAGTATCTTCAAATACGCATCCTCCACCTCACCGGCCAGCTCCAGCAATGTCACAATCAGAATCTGATGTGTCAGATTCGGCAGCCGGTCCCTCTGTAGCCCAATCCACTCCAATGGCGGGGTGGCCTCACCCATCTCTCTCAACTGTGGCGTTTCAATGATTGGAGGTTCAAGGGCGACATACTCATACTTTGACTGTGGCACTGTGACCTCAGCCGTGATCTTCTGTTGTTCGCCTGTTGCACGCTCTTCGCCGCCCTCGTCAGCCTCCGGCACTCCAGTAATCTTGACTGCTGATGGCGGCAGAGGCTTGCCAAGACGCTGGGCGAGTGATTTCGCATGATTGCCATACATGCCGCGGATGTAACTGATTCGAGAATAGTTCCAGCCAACCTCGACCTTGCCCTCGAATGATGATTTAAAGATGTAGTCAATCTGGTTCGAGCCTGCCGATTGCCATGTCTCCATTGTAGCCTCCACCCTTGGCACCTTGAGGATCGTGCCGCCTCTAGAGCCGGTGGCGCTGCTGACGACTTCTTCCACAGACAGTTCATCGGTGCTCTTGGGTTGCCCAGGTGATTTGACTCCTGCCAGTCCGATACGGAGCTGACCTAGGGTAAGACCGAGCCTACTGTGCACTATTCCAACTGGGACTGTAACTGCAAACCTGAACTCTGCATTGAGTGCTTCGATCTTAAAGATCTGAGCGTCGAAAAATGTGCTCGGATAAGCACCCATGTTAACTTCTTTTAATGTCACAACCACATCTGTATGCAACGTAATAGGTGCCTTCGCGAGCTCTTCTTGTGGAGGTGGGGTAACTTCGGCGATTTCAGGAGCAGGAAATGTTGATGGCCTCCGTCTAATAAAGCGCTCTATCTCTTGCAATGAGGACTCGTAATTTGATTTCCTTTCCTGCATCAACTTCTCAAGTGCTTGATAAAGTGCTAGCGCCTGAGAAGCACTTGTCGTGGTACAGAATATCTGAACAGAATCGCCGTCGAGCATTGAAACAAGTCTATCACCGGCCGCGCTGGGCCCGTTGCGGACATTGTGCAGCATTAATTGGATGGAGGTGATGTCTGCTACTAAAAATGCTTGATAGTCAAAGGCAACTTTCAGATGGAAGTGACTGAAAGATATAGCTCCCTGGACTAGCGGTGTCTGATTCAACGCCTTTTCTCGCTCGGGCCATTGAATGGATGTCCGGATTCGGAAATTCTGTAGAGACGTAAAGCCGCTCATCCTGCCAGTACTGTCGATACCGACCTTTTCGAACCCAAGACGTAGATTTTGCTCCCAGTCGGAAGTTTTCCTAGAGGAAATCCAGAAATCTGATATTACAAATGTCGATCTCCCAATAGCTTGGCCAAGGTCCAATTGGACATCGAGTTCTTCAATTGAGATAGTTGCGTTCCAGGAAAACGCCGCTGTTGCTGCCACCTGCTGGTAACGCTGAACAAGATATGTCTGGGCTTGTGAGGTTCTTTCCTGTTGAGGTACAGGTGGGGGTGCAGGCCCATTTCCCAAGTCGGTTGGCATCCATATGTCACGGAACAAGAGAAAATCTTGTATCTGCTTGGCGTTTACAAGGACCTTCATGGGGCTGACTTTCAGTATGGCCGAGAGCCCGCTAGTACCGCTGACATGCTTGCTATTCATCAACGATAAGACAATCGAGTCGACATCAAAGCTGCCGGTAGACTCTCGTGAATATACATGCTGAACCGAGGCCTGAAGGTTGTTTATGGAGGCAGACAAGGCGAAGAAATGGCCGTGGTCCACGGAGCGTACTGTGTTCATTGTGATGTAAATGTCGTCTAGCCTTGCTGTTGCAGCCACCCTCGCAATTGGTTGGCAGCTGAGACCGAATTCCTGGGCACAGATACGTATTCCGAGGTTCAATCTTGTTCGCCCCAATACCGCGCTCGGGTCTACTGTAAGAATATTATCGTCGGCCACGCTCATTATCTTTTGCGATGTGGGAGGTTCTCCTTCTGGCTCGTTATTGTTGCTCATAACGGCTTGGACATTTGATGAAATTTCCATTATGAGCGGGACCACCTGCGGATACAATATGTTTTTGGACGCATTGACTTTGACTTCGGCGTTCAGCGATGGATCATCGAGACCGTTGTCCTTGTATTCGACTTTAATCGCCAGGCCCGGGGAACGTAGCATAGTTGAACCGGTCGCTTCATCTTGCGCGAATTGGCCATATCTTCCCCCCTGAGGCGCTCTACTACGCTTATCTGGAAGCAAAGACATTGCGCTGTCCGACGTTTTCATCCCTTGAAGATGAACAACGGCGCCCGCAAAGTCCGCATCAACCAATAACGACTCCATTTTCTTCTTCCCGAAGAAAATGTTTTTCGCCGTGTCGCTGGGCTTCTCTGAGGCAGGACTCGTCATCCAGGATGCCGACGCCGAGCGAGCCTTTTGCGCCGCGCTCACGATAGATTTCCGAATATTCGATCCAGGGGTAATGAATTGTGACGTGAGTCGTAGATCTAACGATTTCCCGGCAGCTTGGAAGGCAAGGCGAGTCGCATCTGCTGTTGATACTAATCCTATGTTGAAAACAACTTCAGGCAAAAGAGCTGAATTTTGAGACCGTAAATTCTTGGTTTGATCGGGAGGGACCATCTGGAGCATTAAGTTCTCGATGCTAAGGCGCGCGGACTTCTTCTTCCTGGTTGATAAGCCGATCCGCTGTATAGATAGGACCAAGTTCTCCATGCCCTCTGTCTGATCTACACATGGCGAAATAACAATCCAGCTAATCTGCCAATTGGCTAGCTCCAGCGAAAACATGGCATCAAACAAATTCAATGATGCTGCTGGACTCTCAGGGGTGCCCAGGTCTTCTTCGACGGTAATCCGGGGATTGCGAAATCTCTGAAAGTAATGTACCTCCCGCGGCAGTTCCAACTCTTTGATTTTAGTCTGCAGATGGCCAACGACATTCACTATCGTTGAAACTGTATCGGCAAATAGGTTGATCTCCAAGCTATCACTTGTCAAGTGATACGAGCGGACCTGGCCCCTGTCTTCAGCTTCCTTTGACCCGGCGGTGAATTTAGCTGCAAATGCAAAGTTTCCGCAGCTCTCTCCTTCGCCTGTATTGGCAATAGAGGTCAGATTAGCTACCACTCTGCGAAGGTTTAGCTGAAGCTCGGGAAATTCTAGTGGGGGCCCAGCCATAGCAACGCGGTTGTGTGCTTCAACTTGCACAATTCCGAGGTTAAAAGTTAAGCGTGCTTTGCTATCGTTATTGTTGCCGTTCGATGCGTCGGTAAACACCTCCAAGCCTGCCAATGACAGATGGGCATCGTATATGAAAGGTTTGGGAGTATCTTTCACGATTTCTTGCTTAGTCGGTACTTTGCCTGGATTTGTGCTCTCTGGTATGTGGCTCTTAAGGGTTCGAAAGACTCCACGGGCTTCATCCATCAGATTAGTCATTTCGGGCCTGTTGAGCGCCGCAACAACATTCTGGATCTTTGCTGCGTCGAGGAATATAGGCTCGACCGAAACAAACACCGAGAATTTATGTTCATTCTCATTTATCTGTGCTATAACGCGACCATTTGTTGGAGGGAGCTTTAGCACTGAGATTTTTTGAGACTTTCCCGTCGTTTCAGTCTGGATATCGTGCTCGTTTTCTTTGATGTCAAAGTCGAAAACAAACTCCTCCCCCTGCCTTGCTGCCAAGGACGCTCTGGCTACGATGCCGGCAATATCATAACGAACTGAGTTCAGTAAAGGGATGCTAATATGGTACTCATCGAGAAACAAAGCAATGTTTATCTTGTCAATAGCAGTGGAACTGGCCACAGGGCTTTTAACTGGCCGTTGTACCGGTTTCTTGGGCAAACTCCGCAAAATTTGACTTATTTGGCGTACTTCGTCTCCTAGTATGCGGTCTACGACTTGTAGGAGAGCAACGGGATCTTGTTTGACAACGAGTGATAATTCTTGCGAGTTACCGGCAACCTTCCAAGCGTTTTCTTTGACTTTGCCCACAACGCGACTCTCTCGCGAGACGTTTATTGTCGGAGCGAGAAATTGATGGATAGCGAGATCTTGGTGATGGCTTCGGAATTTGGACGTTGCCGCGTCGGCAGTGATCAAGGCAGTAGCAATATTCCTACCATCACATAGCCCTTCTGCAATCATTAACGATACTTTGAGACCTGTACTAAGCGACCTCGCTCGAACGTTGATGGTGTCAAGCGTAACGGATCCATTATCGGAGGCAAAAATAATATGCAGCGATTGCCTGGGTTTGTCTATTTGGGTCGCTGTTGGAGGCTTTACAGCTGGCGCTGGTTGTCCTGATGCTGGACTAGCCTCTGTTTCATTGTACAATTTGGTGGTAACTTCAATAAGCTCGCATAGCTCCCAGTTTAAAGTTATTGACGATTCCATGCAATAGATCTGTACGATCGTGCAGGTGTCATGTGGAGGGTTGGCTTGATCCGGTGCATCATCTGCGTGTGGTTGGTTTATAGAGGCATTTGCAGCCAAAGTTGCGAGAACAATCTCGTTTTGCTTTGGCCCTGGATCTAAAACGAAGCTGGTTCGAGTTATAGCGGCCCCGAACTGCGCTGGTTTCTGAGTTTGAGGGGACGTAGTGTCATCTCTTATGAGCGATCCAAATATCTTCGTCATAAGGACACATTCAGTCAGATTTTCTAGATCCCAGCTTCGCCATTTCTCGAAACCGGCTTGAACTTGCTCCCGGATATTTTCAGAGTAATAGGCCGAGTCGCGTTCTGAAAGAAGCCTTTCTATCCTCTGTTTCTCATCGTGCCCGAGGGACGAATATACATGGCGGAGGCGGGTTATTAATTTCCAAGAGTCGGTTGTCCTGAGATGGCCCGCAGCAGATCGTAATACATACGATGGCCTTGTCATAAACAAAGGGTCGCCTGTTCGCTGACCCTGGGTGGATAGAAGGAACACAGTGTGCCTTATTCGATTGGTTTGCCACCTAGCCAAGCTGGCGAAACCATCGCCAGCTTCAGCGGCCATGTGGGTAGTTCGATGTAGTAGCGACGCCAGGTACTTCACTTTAGAGCTTGCCATCTCCACATCAACGGCTTTAATCTTGAGGTGTCCCGACATAATTTTATCAGATGCCATCCAGAATGAGATATCTTCGACGCAGCCATTAATTGCTGCTTGGGCATCAGCCCTGCCATGGCTCCTTTCCTTGGCGGAGACCTCCGCCGAAAGCACACGCACACGAACTGCGGACGCTTCGTCTGATTTAGATCTGTCGACATTCTCTTTCGCAGCTGACCTTTGGCGAGTTATCACTGACATGCCTCGAGCGGAGAAATCATACTGGTCGAGGGGCTGATCAGAACGCTGGCCGGACTCAGATACAACCGTATTGGCGAATCGAAGCCGAATGATAGGAAGGACGATATTAACGTCCGTATTCTTACCCGCCACCACTATCTGCTTTTTTGCCGCGAAGATATCGGTTATAGACTCGACTTGAACAGAATCAATAATATCTTCCGCGGAAGTAGGCTGCAGTACTTCTATAAGACTTGTAACTGCCTCTATCGCCTGGGGGTTCGAGAAAGCTCTGATACCCTGCTTGAACTCAACAATGAAACTCGTGTATCCAGTATTGTCATCGAATATCTTATCAGCCGGTTTCATTTCGGCACTGGGAGGTGGAGCTTGGTCCAGGTCATGTTCGTTAAGCTCCGGAAGATTGCCCATGTCTGGCTCAACATCATCGAGGGGAAAATATGGTGACATGAACGGGCTCGAAAAAATAACGCGGGATGAAGCGCGTGCCCGCAAATCGTTGTGATCAACTGCGCTGTAAAAGGAAGGCTGGCGGCCAGTAGATGCTGCTGAAACATCGCGTGGTAGTGGCGTTAAGCGGAGATTGTCACCAAGTTGGCGGCTCCTCGATGGCGAACCCGATGAATTATATTGAACCTTAGGCTCAGAGAGACTACTGTGAGTCCGAATGATGCTTTTTTGGCTAGATCGTTCGGAACTCGTTAGGGACAGAAAAGAGCTTTTGCGACGAAGATATTGCTTTGAGTGTAGTGATGATGCGATGCTCGAGGTGCTACGGTCGGAATGGTAAATATTGCAGTCCTTGATAGGTAGCGGAACCGGAGGGAAACACATAGCGGGAGCGTCGACTTGTATTGGGGGCGGCCTAAATGGGCCATCAACAAGAAGAAATTGCGTTCTTTGTGTCCTTGAGTCCTCGTGCCTAATATGTGCTTGTTGTAATCTCTTGTCGTCATTGAATCCGGCCTTTCTATTCACGATGGTAAACTCAATTGTCGTTGTGATATATGCATGAGTTTCCACCGGATGGCTTGCTCTCGATCTATGACGTGACGCCGAATCGGCATCTACACATCCCAGGGCTAGATCCGGAATAGTAACCTTTAGTTTCTTCGAATAAAGTAGCCCTGCTAGATCGTTGAAGCTGACGCGCAAAGGCCCGGTTGAAAGCAGAAAGGCAGCATCCTCCACATGGGCCCAAATATGAACATGTTCTACTGATGCCCTGAGGAATGTCGCGTCATGCAAGATTTCAGGGGAAACATGAGGCAGAGCGTTTTCGTCGTCATCAAACGAGAACGCAAATGCCTTCACAGCCGCAGACAATTTCATGAGAAATTCTGCCGTCATCTCTCCTCGTACCAACCCAACTGTAAAATCCCAATTGCAGAGATATGTAGGCTCGGTGGGTGGCAGGCCGAAAAGTCGGTTTCCAAATATCTCCACCCCGTCAACGAAAAGCTGAGAGCCAGTGATAGAAGTCATCGAGGTTGGCAAGCCTTTTTGCATCCCCAGCGAGAATACTAAAGGGCTGAGGCTGATATTTAGGTCCATATAATAGTTTGTGAACCGCAAATCTGCGGACAGACTTGCTATCTCAACTCGTACGTGATCCTTTGCTGAATACAAGTTGGCCGGCAGGAGGGCACCTGAAGTCTTGCAGCCAATGCTTATTATGACATCCAGATCATTACTCTTCTTAGGTGGAGGTTTGTTGAGAAGAGCTTCCGTATCTGGGTCTTTAGCATTTATAATTTGCTGGTACTCTTCCAACGTCCTGAAATGAATGTCTTCCCCAAAATAGTTGTCTTTGATCTTCATAAAATAACGTATGAGGAATCCGTAGAGCTGTACTTCTAGGTTGCGGCCAGAAACATCCACCAGCAGTGTGTCCGTGTTGCTTGGCGACGTAGTATCACAGTATTGGTATTTCCCCTCGATTGTAACCCCTTCCACCTGTGCAAGTTCATTCGAGGGCATGAAGGTAGCTTGAGTTTTCCATGGTGGTACATGGAGAACAAGATTTGCTCTATCAATCACCAGATCGAAGGGAACATTATTCCTATGCGGTCGATACTTATCAAGTGGTATACAAAGGTTTGCTACCAATCCCGTCCCATCTAGTATCAGAAAAGAGTTGTCGTCAAAGTCTGATGGATTGTTGATTATATTTGAGTCATTGACGTTCAGGTAAAGCTTGAAGTCGCCAAATTGGAGTTTCAGGAGATAGTGAAAGGGCGTAAAAGTGAGATAATCAGGTGGTGGGCCAGACGTCCAATCATCTATTAGATCAATGAACAAAAAGATATGTTCTCTCAAAATGAATAATTCCATCCCGTTGCTGACAAAATCGAATTTCCAGGTGTGAAAGGCATTCCAGCCAAGGGGGTTTGACAGATTGCATGACAATCTCTGGTTGAGAGATCGACACAGAATTCCATGGTTGACACTCGTTGTGATCTCTAAGTTTGGAAACTCCACATCCAAGGTATTCGAGAACCCGGAAACTCCAGCTACCATGTCCATGTTATAATGAATGGTGGCATTCTTGCAGATCTTCAGGTCTAGCCAGCCAAATGGGCGTATCCCTGGGCCTGCAGTACCCCCTTTCGCTTTCTGTTTCCGCGAGCTCTTGCTGCTGCGTCTATTCTGCTCTTGCATTTGGGATGTCATGGTATCTGCTTGCGACTTCCATTTCCAGTTCTTCGACTCCTCGCGAATAGGAACACGGAGAGTTGTATCATCATCTAACTGGATGTAGATTTTGAGGTTTGAAGCCACCCTTGTTTCTCCAGGCTTCAAATTATCTGCCGGGGTTGCATCTTTGCACAGGCTGGGGAAGAATACCCTTTGTAAGTCTGCCCGTTGTCGATCCGCCCATGGTCCATAATTTACCAATGCCCCCTTAATGATGACGTCTATGCCCCATTCGGGTGGTAGGTCTCCATTGATATCATTAGTCTGCCACGGCTGTGGCTTGGAAGAACCCATTTCCACAGGAACTTTTCCAGGTATATCCCAATAATAGCTTACGCTGGCTTCAGGGCTGTCGAGAATGGTCGTTACAGTGGCGTATTCGAAAGACGACCATTTCGCTTTACCGTCTTCTTCATCATTAAGGTAGCGCGAAAGACCTTGCCATTGATGTAGATTCCCCTGTGTGTTTGAATCTGAGAGCACAGGCTCGGCAGTTGAACTCGAGAATGTTTCCACAGAGCTACTAAAGTACGGTACAATGCTCTGGAGTTTGTGCCATGCATTTCGCCGATACTGGTGAAAGAAGCGAGACGGGTGGAGGACGCCATCAACAGCATCAGTGCGCTCCTTGATATCGTCTTTAGCTCGATTCGCCGTTGCAGTTTGGTCCTCGTTATAGTCCTCATTGGGCTTTAACTGAATCATAGGATGGTCAAGCTGTAGGTCGAAAACTTGCTTGTATAAATCTGGTCCGCGGCAAGCAGTAGCATTGATGTTAGCAGAAAATTTATCAGCTTTCGTGATAAACACACTCTTTGTGTTGTCATTCCCCATAACTACAGCTGCTTTGACGCAATCGATGTGCAGGGGAAGAAGATTGAGTATAAAACTCTTTTCGATTTCCTGGTTGTCCTCGTCATGGTATGCACTGCTATCGTCAGAGTGCAGACTGTCCGGGCTTCTTGAAGACTCTCTATTCGTATGTTTCTCCGTTAAGGGCGGGAGGCCTGAACTGTCGTCAGTCTCCAACGAATGTTTACTCAACATGTTCGCGAGGACGCTAGGTTTGGGAAATCCACGTTTCTTCGACCCCCTATCTTGCTCCTTCTCTGTCGGATCATCTACCAAGGTGCTCTCTTGCTTGGTCTCGTCTGACTTTGCGAGCCCAGCAACTATGGAGTCATATGCCGCACTCCGATTATAGATGAACCATTCCAGCCCTTTGATTTCAACATTAAGGCGGCAAGGCAACGCCGACGTGCCGGCCTTCCTACCGCTCTCTGTCGCAGATTGGTCCTCATGATTTTCGTCATTTTTGGCAGAAGATCCGCTCCATACGTTGTGAAGGCCCCTTCCGTGACAGAGATCCAGCTCTCTCACATTGCGGCGCCAATATGCCCAAGTAATAAATCCACTGTGTATGAGAATCGTCTCGTTGTTTCCATGGTACCGAAGTCCCTTGAAGAAAATGCGGCCACCCAGCAACGAAATCTGTAGCGCCTGTATGTCCACATACACTCGATATTTGTGCCATGACCACGCCCGGAGTCCGTACGATACAATTGTAGCGAAGAGTCTGTTGAAATAGAAGAGGAAGAATAATGTGCTAACGACAACGTTTAGCGATATCCCGAGCAGGAGGGATAATGTCCTTACAGTATTCCACAAACGATTAGCTCGACCAAGAACACCCTTGAAGCTGTCAGCACATGAAATATCACGCTGCCATTGCATCTATGCCTACCAGTTAAATGCTAGAATTGGGGTCAACGACACAGCTGTCAAGCCTCCCGCCATCTTTATCGTCTCCTGGAAGGCCTCTCTCGAGTCTTCTCATGATCATGGGCCGGATACTGGTGTCTGCTATACCATCTCTTAAACAAGGCAAAAGCTGCCTTCACCTTATAAGGCGCGTATTGTCCAGAAGCATAACGGTAGGTTGTTTTATTTGGAATTCATGAATTGGGAAGCTATGCTAGCTCATTGGGATGTTATCCACTCAGGTCAACATTTAGCATGTGGATTCTGCCACCGCCTTCAGATACCAAGGTGATTGTGACAGGGGGTTGCCAGGCGTACGACATCTTCCACCCAATCTCTTGAAGATGTTCGACATAAAATATAATCACAGAATTTGAGCGACGACTGAATAATCGGGTGTACCTACAAAATAACATGCCTCCGAACTGTATTGCTTGCGTTGGATGTCCTTAGGCTACTCAAGGGCATCAGCAAACGTCATTATCCCAAGTCCCCACAGCCATGGCCGACAATATGTCCCACGGTACGCATAATAACAAACACTCTGGCGGGACGGGACAAAAGCTGGCAAATGGCCTCGTCATTGTCGCTGGCGTCGCCTCTCTTATCGCGACGCTGATTTCTATCGTGTAAGCTTTCAAACAATAGCTTCCAGAGTTCAAGTTGCTGACCAGGCTCCCACAGGTCCATATGGCTCCAAACGTATGAGCACGCGCCCTCCCACATGAAGAGGCACACATATTGACGAACTGCCTCACAGAAAGAACTATCGAAAGCCCCTTCTTCAGAGATATGTGGTTAGGATTTTGCTCATGTAGGTTCTATGAACTTCTAATGAATTTCGCTCTCTGACACCACCAGGGTGCCCATATACTCCATATCGTCTTGGTTAAGCTTAGTATCCCTGAGTGCAGCCTTCTGGGTAGATCCCATTCGAGATGTTTATGAGGTAAGAACAAAGCTTCCGAACCTACTGCCGAGAAAACTTCTAATTCATGGTAGGCTTTCACTATATATACGTTTCTCCAGCTTCTTATCAACTTCATCGGAGGCGAACGAGCTCTAATCATCATGATGCATGGTCGCGAACCTGTGCATCACCTATGGCCCATGAACCACTTCCTACCGAAAGTCGACATCTCTGATCCCCATAGCTTCCTCGCCATAAAACGCGGTATCCTGCAGTACGCGTGGTTAAAGCCTGTTCTCGGCCTGGCATCCATTATAATGAAAGCAACAGGGGTATACCAGGAAGGATATATGGGATTGACATCTGGATATATGTGGAGTGGAATTGCATATAATATCAGTGTTACAGTCAGCTTATACTCCCTGGGGATGTTTTGGGTCATTATGGCAAAAGACTTGCAGCCATTCAGGCCAATGCCGAAGTTTCTAAACATAAAACTTATCATCTTTGCTTCGTACTGGCAAGGGTTCGGACTGTCGATATTGGTGTGGCTTGGTGTCATACCAGATGATGTGCAAGGCTACACTCCAGACAATATTGCCGCAGCTATCCAAGATGCACTAATTTGTTTGGAAATGCCCGCATTCGCCATTGGCCACTGGTATGCCTTCTCATGGCATGACTACGCTGATGCCAGTATATCAGCGGCGCGTTTGCCAGTCAAGTATGCCCTCAGAGACGCGTTCGGTATCCGAGATCTTATTGAGGATACCAAGGAGACTTTCAGCGGCAAAAAGTACGAGTATCGTTTATTCGACTCTGGCGACAATATAATAGCTCACGAAGAGTCCAGCTCTCGGGTTGCAAGAATGATGGAGGGCATGCGATACGAACGTGGTGGTAAGGGGAAGTATTGGATTCCAAGGCCGGGAGAAGCCAATGCCCGAACTCCATTGCTTGCCGGGAATGGAGGGCCCAGTACTGGACGCACATCAATCACTGGTCTCCCGGAAGAAGCGACATCTTACATTGAAAACCCCAACGATGGAACTGTCAACTCTGACGGCCTGGGTGTTGACGAGGAGGAGCTTTACGCAAAGGCAAGGAAGCTTGAGTTTGGTGACTGGAATTACCCAGTAATTACAGCACATACTGCCAAAAAGCGCAGCTGGATGACGGAAGAACCAGAGTTGCTGAAAACATCTGCAAATCGGCACTTAATCCAGCCAACAAGGAGTCATGAAGTCAAACGCAAAAAGAACGTCAAGAAAACCGTGCAAAAGGTCCAGTCCCAGACCCAAAGGTCCGAGAGCGAAGGTTCCAAAGGCAAAGGTAAGGGCAAGGATAGTACCGGAGAAGAAGGCCGCGCTCCTCTGTTAAAAGGTATGCTTCGACACCATTCGTTAGAATCTAGTTCGGCCAAGTCAGACAGGAGCCAACTCGTGGACCTTGTCGTTGAGGACACCGACGCAGAGGAGATCGAACGGGTGCGCGCAAGGAAAGAGGGCAGCGCAGGCTGGAACGCCGTCGAGCCAAAACGCTTCGTGTAAGTGCCAAATCCCATTCTAAACATGCACGTGCTAACAACCCCATAGTCGCACGTACGAAAACGAAGGCGAAGAAGTCCGCGAAGGCTTCGAGCCCGAGGACGGATCTCCGGTCATTGATCCCAAGGAGGGTGATGACGAGAACACCAACCCGAATGGTAGATTTGCTATTGGTGAGGACGACTCGGAGAGTCCCGGTGCGCACGAGTCGCGCGAGTGGCAGGAGAACAGGGAGGAAGTGACGCCGATATTGAGCCCGAAATATGGACTCCCGGGTGAGGATCTGGAGAATGTTTGGAGTGGTGAAAGTCCAAGTGGTACGGCGAGAGAGAACCCTTGATTTGCATAGATATGTGTAAGATACCACAGCTTGGCATAGCGCCGGCGTTATGATGCAGCCTACGAGAGGCCAGTATGAATGTATTAGCATCATCCTACCAACAGTATACGTGCTCCAAATGCTGAAGTAGTGCAATGTATGAGATATTGAAAGCCGTGACCTTATAGGATCGAAAAAACTCCCTAATTGTGATGGTAATAAACGAGGACTACTCTTGCTGCTGAAAGTCTGAAGAGGTGCTGTGTATAACAACAGATATTACAGCAACTGTAATTAAAGTACAGGCATTCAATCACTCAGGGCTGCAATCAACAAGCCAGTCACTCATAAGCAGAGGTGAAGAGATGAGTTCTAGCCACTTAAATAGTTGGTATTAATCCTCACCAACTGTCCCAAACACTTTAGACAAATATATTCACACTCGTAAGGAGCGAAGCAAACGAATCAACAAAATGACTTAACACTAGGGACTCATGCATACAATCACTCTATATGCTACTTAAACGCTCTTGCTACACGTCAATTGCTTGTTTTGCTTCTCATCCACTGCATAAAGCTCAATGACCGAAAGCAAACGATCTTCTCAAGCCGCCTTTTCAGACCCAAAATCACAAGGACGTCTCAAGCCATAATTCAGGACCATCCTGGGATTTCCCACCCAATCCTTTTGATCGTCGTCTGCCGTCTCCTCCGAATACGCCTTCCTTGCCCCCAGGAGCTCGCGCTGCGGAGGCGGCATTGGAAATAGAAAGGGAGTAGCAGAAAGAGGAGCGCAAGAGACGAAGAGAAGAAAAGCAGAGGATGAAAGATGAGGCTCCTAGTCTTATGGAGAGGATATGGAAGTCAGTGTTTGGGGATAATAAGCGAAAGTCGGCAAAGAAAGAGAAGCAGCCAGAGACACGGAAGGGCACAAGAAAACCGAAGAAGGCTCCACAGAAATATAAGAGGAATGGTGGTGCAAACGAGAAAGAAAATAAAAAGGGGAAGGCAGCAAATACAAATAACAAGGCCTCAAAATTGAAAACCAAACCTGCAAGTTTAAAGAGTGCAGCAGCAAGTCTCAAAAGCAGAGCTGCCAGCTTAAAAAGCCGAGTTGAAAGCATCAAAAGCAGAGCCGCGAGCATCAAAAGCACCATCCGACAAAAGCTAGACGACGTCAAAGCAAAAATCAGAAAGAAACCAAACGTCGAAACCAGTGACAACGACTCTCAAAACAGATCACAAGACGACGCCGATGTCGACGAGCATGAGATGAGTGGTGGCCTGGACAGTGAAGTCGAACGTGGCAGGGAAGAACACGAAAGCGAGGACGACATGGTGAGGGACGTCGACCAGGAGAGAAGAAAAGAGCAGCGCAGGCGTCGAATGAGACAAGCGCGGCGGATAAGGAGGCGAAAGCGACAAGAGAGACGCGCAAAACGGAGAAGGACGAGCGAGAGCGAGTCAAGTGAGAATTCGGAGTATTATGTCAGTTATGGACCCGTTGGACGTTGGGGATGTCTTGTTATGTAGGGTATTATCAGATTAATGAACTCGGACTGGTAACCTTTCATCCTCCAGCGTTCGATTGCTATTAGTATGTTCAGTATGGTATGTCGAATCCGGTGCTCTGCTTCTAGCGCAGCCCAGCATGATAGTACCACTGCCTCCTCAAAAATGTCTCCCGTGTGCGTCCCGGTGATGTTACTGCCCGTCCTGTGCTTGGGAGCTAATCTGACCCCTTGGGTACTCTCGCCATTGAGGTCCTCCAAAGTGCCGCTCTGTGGACGCTCGTAGGCAGCGGGATATATCCGTAGCGTCCCAATAGCCCTCTTCTTGCCCTTCCCATCCATTCCGGGGCCCGCACTACAACCCCAGTGTTTCTTCTCATACGTAGCAATGAGAGCGTGATCAGAAGTCCTCACAAGCTTCAACGACATCAAATCAGCGTCCTATCCAGTTACACGGCAGTCACCCACCCCTCAATCGCAAACTAAAAGACCACAACCGCCAAATAGACATGATGAATCACATACCTTCACATCATGACTATACCCCCTAACCCCCCTAAACCACGACCTCGCCATCCCCCTCGTCCCACTCCACCCCAACCCCACCCTCAGCCTCCTCTCCATTACAACCCCCAACACCAGTCCCAGCACCTCCACCTCCTCCATCTCCTTCACCGGGCGCTCTTTCATCCCAAACCAGCGTCTCCATTTCCTCTTGCTCGCTTCGGAACGGCGTAATCGCTTAGCGGAGCGATTGTGCTCGACTTGCGCTACGCCGTCGCCTAGTTCGAGGGTTAGTTTGGACCAGAAGGAGGTAAATCGTAGGGAGCCGATGATGGGGATTAAGGATAGGGAGGAGGCGCTGGGGCTTTCGGGGGGGAAGAGGCGCTGTTGCCGCGGTGGAGGAGGGGCCGATTTGGAGGCTGCGATGACGTATTCTGCTGGCTCGGTGATGGAGGATTCAAAGGTGAAGATGCGGTGTTTGGAGTGCCGGTAGATGGTGAGTGACTTCTCAGGGGAGGGCGCAGTGGTGGTTCCTGTCGTTGTCGACGCGAGGTTGAGGTACTCTGGCATCGCGGCGGATGGGTAGTCTCTGGTCTTCTACCATCTAAGGCATATTCGATCGATTGCCGACTTCACATTTTACTTTTGAGAAAGAGAGAAAAGGGAGATTGGGAGATTTTTAATGAGTCTCGATCGCGTTCAGCTTGAGGTGTGCCAAGATGCGCTGCCCGTCGTCGGTGCAGCTATCCCTGTCTTTGTCTTTGCCGCGAGGGGGATTTCCGTTTAAATTAATTCCCATGCAGATGCAGGGTTCGTGACGTCTCGGTAGCGCATCATACACCCCTGGAAGAGGTTAGCTTCCACAAGGAAGAATGACGGGTTAAGAGGAGCGAATTAAGAATGTTTGCTCTGCATCGTGTTGATGGTGGAAAATGAGAGATATACTCCCACCTATAAAAGTGATAATTATAATGCTAGGAAGCTAGAGCCAAGCCTAAGGCTGAAGCCGGAGACAGAGAACGATATCGTTATTAGGTCTTCTTGTCATCCTCGCAAGTATAGTAGAGTGTAACGCTGCTTCCTATCCAATAGGATGCATAGAGGTTTCTTACGTAGGGTTAACTTAACAGAGGAGGCAGGGGATTAAACACAAAGGCTTTTCTATGTAACACGTTACAGTATTGTAAAGAATACTACATTAAGTTAAGCACGAGGCTCCTATCTAAGGAAATACTATCTACTTATATAGTAGCATCGTGCCTTTATAGATAGTTCGGATAGTTCGGATAGTTAGGAATAGTTAGATAGTTGGGATAGTTCTGATTTTCTCAACTATCCAACTATCCACTAGCTAGGTCACGCTACCACCTAGCCCTGCTAGCCTAGAGCCTAGCCCTACTAGCCCTATAACCATGATGTCACGTTACTGTATGTAAGGATGCCTCCTTACCTAGATACTTGAAGAACCTGCCTCAGAGCTGTTACGGTCACTACAAGCATGAAATCCGACTCGGTGTGGTTTTGAACCAGTAGAGGAGCACATAGCGAGTTACACTATAGTGGGGGACGGTAAGGGTGTAGGGTTCAGGGTCGATGCTGACCTGTTGTGGTGGAAGGTTCAGGGCTAGGGTTGGGATAACCGAGTCGGGCCCGTTTCGGGTACCTAAGGAAACAGACTCAACGGGGTTCCCCCTTCATCTTTTTTGTATCCTTCGTACTAGACCTATAGGATAGCATCCGTTTAGCCTCCGACTCGCACTCTCATATGCTACTACTGTGAGCTGGGTGCCCTGTGTCCTTACACTGTAGCTATAACATAGAGGACGAAGAAGAAGAGCGCTGAATATAGGCTCGTGTAACGCTAACTTCTAAACAATAGAAGACATAGAGGTTTCTTACGTAAGGTTGACTTGACAGAGGAGGCAGGGGATTAAACACAAAAGCTTTCTAAGTAACACATTACAATATTGTAAAGAATACTATATTGAGTTGAGCACGAAGCTCCTATCTAAGGAAATACTATCTACTTATATAGTGGCGTCATGCTAAAGGAAACTATAGGGAACTGTAGGAACTATACGAGTTCTAACAGTTCTCATAGTTCCATCCTAAGGATCATGTAGGGTCCTATGGCATGACTCACTTGGCTAGTAGTTCTCCTAAGAGCTGTAACATATAGGTTAAACCTAACAGTGTAGCAGCAAGCTGCTACACTGTATTAGCTTTAGACTACACTAGGAAATAGTGGCAACAGGGGTGTCATACTGACATTCGTTGCACTCAGTTTGCTATCAAACTCAAGAGCAAACTTAGAAATCTCCTCCTCAAACCTACAAGTCACTATACATATTTTGGCTTATCACACCAACAACAAGAGCAATACTACTCAACGATTGCTACAACCCTCTATGATTCATTACACGTCATCACTCCTTAGTTACTGGGCTAATACTACCACATGACATATCTCTACCAACTAGAGGCCTAGAAACATGAACGATAGCTCCAAAAGCTTCTACAACCCTCTATGATTCATTACACATCATCACTCCTTAGTTACCCACAAGATTGGTTAAGTTATGACATAATTTGTCTATGACATAATTTGTCTATAGGGGTACTCTGACCTTGGACCTCCTTTTACTTCCTATAGGCTACGAACCTAAGAGATGGTTCTATGGGATTCTCTTACGTCGACTACAGTTACCAAGCCTGGTAAGTCATGGAAAGTCTTGGAAAATGAGAGAACTACACTCCTTTAGCATAAATAGGATTGCCCTTTCCTTAAGAAAGGGCAAGCAGACAATACAGTAAATCGACTATCACATACTTCCACGTCTTTTCCAAGCTTCCAAGCATTCATCTTGTTACTCCTTGTTTCTGAAAAGTCAGTGAGGTGCTAACCTCTGACTTACCCCTGAGTTCCCAGACTCAACATTTGTTGCAACTTGTCTGAACCACTTCACTACATCACACACCTGATTGCTGCGTTGTGGAATAGTCTAAGCTACAACCCTTTGGCTCTGTTTCCTAAGACAATGTGTTGTCTTAGTAAATTCATCCCTTCCTTGGGTGGCTAGATTCTCACATCTGGTGCACCCACCATTACACCGAAGATGCATGAACTTGACAAAAGTCAACATGCCACAACCAACACAAGCTCAATCCTCTAATCAACAGGGTAGAATACTTTTAGCTAACTAGGCTATTAAACAAGGCCATATTCAGAATGTTAAGAGTGCTGCAGTAATATACGATGTCTCTTGAACAACACTATTGTTACGGCTATAGTAACCATGAAACGTTGTTGCAAAATATGGTATCTTAGAGCAGGATATCTACAACTTTAATGAAGTAGGTTTTGCAATGGGAGTTATTGCTACTACAAAGGTAGTCATAAGCTTGGAAGCAAAGAGCATCTAAAGACTATATAGCTAAGAAATAGGGAATGGGTGTTAATTATCTTAGGTGTTAATTGGTACGGATAGGCACTCCTGCTATTCATCATTTTCAAGGCACAGAATCACCTCTTAGCTTAGTATAAGGACTTGGGATTGCTAGACTATTACGCTAAGTAAGAATAGGTAGACTTCAAATTCAATTAGGTACAAGTGGATTCAACACTTCGATCGACATACAAACAATCATATTATCAGAACCTATCGCCTTCTCATTCTAATAGACATGAGAGCCACCTCTTAGCTCAATTTTAACACTACTATATAGAACGGAAGATAATTACGCTCTATATGCTACTACACTCCTTGTATATCCTTTAGCCACTTATGTTAGCTGCTTTGCTTTGCTAAAGCTTTCATATAGACGTTAGATTAAAACCTTCGTACGGAACAGGCTAAATCATATCACAAAGCTCAAGCTTCTCTCTGCATTTAAAGAAGCATTCAAAGCTGCATTTACAGAGCAGAACATCAAGAGCAGGTTCCGAGCTACAGGACTAGTTCTGTACGAGCCGTAGAATGTTCTCTCTTACTTAAATCTACACTTGAGAACTCTAACTCCTCCTATAGTTAAGAGTAACAATTAGACTTCAAAGACTCCTCAAACTATAAGGGGCTTGACTTTCAAACAGAGCATATTAAGAACCGCATTATACGGCATTAGAATAGCTCTCCTAGCTTAATTAATAATGCACTAAGCCAACTTACTAAAGGATCTTAGGTTATGATGCATTCTGCTGTTCTACTTAAGGCAGAAGTTAAGGCTCTACAAGCGGCAAATGAATAGAAAAAGAGGAGGGAAAGGAAGCACAATAGACGTATAATGCAAGGGGGTAGTCTCTCTGTACGAGAGGGAGAGGATATCCTTCAGACTGCTAAGGTTAATGCTCAAATCCGTACAGAGGTGGCAAGTGAGACTACTTGGCAGGTGGGTTCTAAGGGCCGACAACGGCGCCGTGGCCGATGTGAGAAGATCGGACATAATACCTGTACGTGCAAGAGATGCTGGGAATCAATTGCAGTTGAATAAGGGTCATTATGTAAGGTGGTGGTGTAGTAGTAGTAGGAATAGTTATATTTTGGTTGTTTTTGTGGCCACTCGCTGGTGATGGCCACTCGCTTGTGAAATACGTTTTAACTGTTCTAACATAATAACCCCCTTCCCCTACAACCCCCCCAACAACCCCTCAAGCGTAATCGGCTTCCTCACCGCATTCGAAAACCCCTCATGATACGTAACCCAAACCTTATTCTCCCCCTCCCCCTTCAGCCTCTGCGCATTCCCATCCACCTCCCCCAACGGCCCAGCCCTAACACTCAGCACCCCCCCAAAGAAATCCTTCTTAACCTTCAGCGGATTCTCATGCGTATCCACCGGCTTAGGTTTCCCCCCATACCCCGTTTTAAAAGTATACGTCGTATCCTCGCCCAGAAGGTTCCCCTCCTTAAACCGCATCTGTCGCGTGGCGTTGGCCATTAGTTTCATGGCTTTCTGGTATTCCTGGTCGAGAACTTGGCGGACGGCGTAGCGGATGGGGGCGGCGGAGGAGAAGGAGGATTCGGAGCCTGCGGTGGGGTAGTCGACGAGGGTATCCAAGGGTCTAACAACATACATCGTTAGTAAAAAGAACAATATTCCGAGAATTGAAATGGACTCGAGGGAAGAACTTACGGCTCCATCCTGTACACCCACTGTGTGCCTCTACTTCCGAAATCCCCCTCTAGCTTCCCGCGCTGGTAGGTGACGCCGATGGAAGCCATGACATCCGCAGCGCGCTTCACCATCTCGCGTTCGCCTTCTTTCCTGACGCTCGCGATGCCCTTGGAATCTCCACTGCCGCCTACGACAACCGGCTTCACATCTGGGCTGAGAATCCGGACCAGGTAAGGCAGTAAGTCTGTCGCCATATCTTCCGGGCTCCTGAATGATCGGAGAAGCGTGGCGTTCTGCTCTCTGAAGAGATGATGCTCATCCCGCAGGCTGTCTTGTAGTTCGACCAGCATTGCACGATTCAGCTTCTTCGCCTCAGTCGCCTCGTAATCTGCTCTAGGGCCAGTGAATGGGATTTCCACCTCCGCCTCTCCATCGTCATCTGTTCTCTTCTTTTCATATTCCTGAACAGGCCGTCTCGTCGAGCTTGCGAATAGGTTGTGACACGCCAAAATGGGCTGGCTGAGGTAAGGCATCAACTCCCAACTCTGCTCTTGATACACTCCCTTACTGCACGCGTTGTAGAAGTGGAACCATTCATGCGCCGCGTCTGGTTTCGAAAGGATTGAATCGTCGTTGAAGGGTTGCGTGGGGTATGTGCTGAAGATATCGCTCATGATGCGATCAGACTCATCACTCGTATCAACCATCTCGCGGATCCGTTCCATGCCCGCCTTCTTCGCAACTTCGGCGGTGTGAAGCCTCTCACGGGGCATCTTAGCATCCTTGGGCCTCGCGGAAGCGTTCGCCGACATGGTAGGCTTGGGGAACCCTGCGCCGGTGAGGAAGACGCGAGAAACGATTTCTTTGGCTCCGCCACATACAACACCGCGAGTGCCTCCGCCGCCATAGCCTAGCATGCTAGCCATATTGGCCTCGACCCATTTCTTGGTCAGTTTTGGCTTGCTGCTGGTGTCGGTTTTTAGTTTCCTGGCTACCCATTCGCCAACGACGAGAACGCTGCGAAGATCACCTTCTGTGCCTGAAGATTCGAACTTGGCTTCGGGACCGGGGGATAGGCCCCATGTTGCTTCACAGAGTCTGCGAACTCCATCAGCTTCACAAGCCACACCTTCCTTCTCAAAGACGTGTTTCATGCGTGCAGTAACGGCGTCAATGGGTGGCTTCCGGATGTGGATTACTTCCGCAAAAGAGGACTGGCGAAGTTGTCTGAGTGAAGGATGATAGACGTCGTTGCAGATAAGAATCATTGGCCGTAAAAGGCGGAAGAAATCGTCTTCCTTCTTCTTCCTGCCCGGTTTAGCCACTGTAGCCCTGGGCACAGCATTCTTTGCGTCCAGCTGAACCAAATCAATCAGCGCCCTGATGAAACCGCCTTCCCCTGAGCCGCCTGACCCTCCTACAACCCCGTCGACTTCATCAACTACCACGCAAACAGGCCGAACTGCTTTGGGTTTGTGGCCATCCTTTGGCTTTGCGCCGACATTCTTGACACTTTCTGTGCCAACACTGGTACGTATTCTGCCCTTGACCACATTTGCGCTTCGGTCGTCGCTCGCGTTGATCTCCATAATCTCGTAGCCCGCTTGCATAGCACAGACATGGGCCAGTGTAGTCTTACCAAGCCCCGGTGGCCCAGTAAGGAGAAGAATCTTTCGGTGTGGCTTCTCTTCCTGCTCGCCGTGCATCCCAGGCTTCTTGGACAAGACTGGCTTTGGCTTCCCGGATCGCGGGAAGACAATGGGATCCCACCCCTTAAGCCAGCGCAGAACGTCGCGATGTGTTCTGTCATCGCCGACAAGGTCGAAAAAGCGGCGTGCCCGATACTTCTCTGTCCACATTGGTGTCCGCCTAGTATGGTACACCGGTTCCACGGATGGCAGTGGAACTTCTGGCGCAACAGGCTTTTCCGTTTTCTTCTGTCGGATTTCTTTTGTGGCGTCTTCAACCAGCTGGTGTATGTCTATTCCGTAGTAACTCTTCTTTGCCCTCCCAGCTTTTGTCGTTGATCTTGCTGCGACCATTTCTTCATAAGGCACAGCAGCAGTTTTCTGCCTCTGCTTGATGTTGAGCATTTTGCCAGAGCAGGTATATCCCTCTTTCAGACCAGCAGACTTGCGTAGGAAAGACGGCATAATTGGCGAATACAATTGTTCTTGGTCCTTATTTAAGACTGGTGCATTGAAAATATCCGTATGCGCCTGATAACCCGTAGATGCTCCAACTAGGTCATCATTGTCGTCTTCTGTTATGCGGGAAGGTTTGGCGAGGGAATTCGGCAACAGCTTGTCTGCTTCAAGCATACGCCGCTTTGCTGCGGGCTCGTCAATCCGAAAGTCATCCTCCTCGTCGTCCGAATCGCCATCAACAAAGGCTCCAAGGTTCTTAGGTCGGCTTGTAGGTGCTTCGGCTGGCAGAGGCCGTTTGGCGGCAGGAGGGGAAGATGTCAGAGGATACGCCACCGGCGAAGAGAGTAAAGAGGGCATGTATTTAGGGGTGACGACGATTGTGCGATTTGGGCCGTGTTCTTTATGATTCGGGATTGCACTGGAGTTACTGTTTGGTATCAGCACTTACTTCCTCTCTCGAACCGGGGAATTGCTACCAAGCGGGTAGTCCTAGTCGCCGAGGAAGACCTCTTCAAGCTTCCAAGAACGGTGCTGAATAACCTGTTGTCGCTCAGATGTAGTCGGCAAGAAAGGAGAAGATGGGTAGCAGTCCGTTAAGTGGTCTACGTGGTATTCGTTATAATTATCGTCGTTGCTCGTTGATCACTGCCTGTCCACAGAGACAGAAAACGCGTCTGGACGCGACTTTGTAGAGCGACTTCGCGTCTTGGAGAGTAAATTGAGCGGAGCGGGGTGGGGTGGGGCGGGGTGGGGGCGGGGTGGGGTGGGGCGATAGCGTTAGGGGCGAAGGAAGAGTGGACAAGACTTTCCGCCCCGCCTTCTCCTCACTTGCTAATGTACTCCATACTCTGCACCTCCGCAACCCTTTCACAGTATTCCCGATCAATATCTGAATGCAAGTCCTTATTCCCATCAACCATTTCCTCTAAATCCAAAAGCCAAGCTCCAGCTAGGAGGATCCCTTTAATTATCCTTATTTAATGGAACATTTTGTGCCAATACCGTATCCTACTACTCTGGGAAGTGGCAACAATGTTCCCCACAGGCCCGATTATCACCAAGGGGCCGCGCATTTCGATAATTCTCAGTCGGAACATCCTAAAAAGAGACAGAAGAGGAATAAGCCGACTTTATCATGTACGGAGTGTGTGGGAAGGAAGACCAAGGTTCGTGAGATTATTTATATTTCATTCAAGCCCCCCATCTGTTGCTTCCAACGTCAGGTGGCGTAAGCCTGGTTCTTTTTCAGCGGTCGGGGTTTGTCGATCTATCGTTGCTGCATCAGTATCATTCAATTTCTTAAAATGCACTTCATATATGAGAACCCTTTTATGCTCTCGTTCATCGATTGGTTGTGGGGACTCCGTAGCCTGGTTTCTTTGCATGGATGTGTTCTACGTCGGCGCGGGGTTCTGCTTTGTGGCGACAGCTTGCTAGAGGCATATTCTTCAATTTGCTAACTTCTCCGTTCACAGTGCGATAGGGGGCGTCCTCATTGTTTAGCATGTAAGATTTTCATCCCCCGCGTCTCACGTGGTATATTCTAATACCATGTTTCAGGTCTCAAGCGGCAGACAGAATGTCAATACGACCGGATGGCAAATGTTCTCGAGTAAGTTGCTCATGAGCTTCGTAATGATATACGAGGCAGAGATGCTTTGAACGTAGCTAAACCGACTCACAGAGAGACGAACCGTTCAGCGACTGATTCCCGTCGCATGACAATCCCCCCGAAACGGAGGCTTCCACAACAGATCCACAATGGTGCCAACCAGCCTTCACCCAAACTTGCCATTCATCCCATAGAACAGAGTATCCCTCAGACATCGTTAAACTCCCCAACTGGTGCCCCTCCAGATGTTCCAAACACCAACCAACCGGCATCAGCATCCAATGTTTTCGGCATAGGTTCTGAACATCCATTCGCCAATTACTGGACCTGTCAAGGAGGCCTGGCAGAAGTGATCTCGGTACTACCTGAGAAGATTCAAGCAAACATGCTGTTAGAGCGTTACTTCGACATTGTTGATTGCGTCTACCCATATATGCACCGCCAGACCTTCTACGCCGACTACTCACATTTCTGGTCTCTTTCCACAGCCGACAAGGCCAACTCCGACGCCGCCCTAATAGCCCTCATATTCTCCATGCTAGCAATGGGCACGCAATTCGTCTCTGCATACTCCTCAACCACCAAACAAACCGCCGAATTCTACGTCTCCGCCGCCCACCAAGCCCTCCGCATGTCCTCCTACCTCAACAAAACTTCCATCCGCTCCATCCAATCCATGGTCCTAATCGTCTACTTCCTCATCAACGACAACCACGCCTCGGACGGCTGGGCCTTCGCCGGCATCCTTATCCGACAAGCCTACGCCATGGGCCTGCACCGCGACCCCAACATCGTCTGTCCCCACGCTAGCACCTTCGAAAAGCAACAGCGCCGCAAACTCTGGCAGGCCGTCCTCTTCCAAGACACCTTCCTCACAGTCCTCCTCTCCCTGCCCCCAAGCGCAACACACACCGACGTCGCGGTCGCCGACCTCGTCGACGACGCATCCTCCATCGCCTCGTCTTCGCCCACAGACGTAGCCTACATCCGCGGCTGCTGGACCCTCGCCAACCTCGTCCAAGAATCAATCTGCTCCCCGCGCTCCCTCAGCCTCCCCATCGCCTCAACCCCACGCCACAAATCCACGCTCCTCGCCTCCTTCCGCGCCGTCTACCGGAGCTTCCCTGATCAATTCCGCTGCTGGGACTCCGCGTCAATCGCGCACTTGGCTTTAACGAATAAGCGGCTAGTGCGCCAGACGCTGTTTTTGACGAGCAATTATTGGCATAATGTCATGCTCCTGCATAGCTCGGAGAGTAAGGAGGTGCTGATGAATGTTAAGGGGACGCTGGAGGCGGCGCATGAGGCGATTAGTGCGTTTTTTTTGCTGGTGGAGGTGTTTGGCGCGGAGGCGAGGGTGTGGTGGGTGTTTTGCCATAGGGCGTTTTTGGAGAGCGTGTGTATGGGGAATATATTGAGGGGGCAGAAGAGTCATGTTGATAGTGGGATGTTTGCTCGTGCTAGGGGGGATATCAGTAAGTCACATACTCCTTGCACATTGCAAATAGTTTAGCTTTACAAGAAAGGTACTAACAGACCTCCTTTTTAGAAAAAATGATCGACATAATGACGAATATGTCCGAAGGCGAGAATGGATGCGAGTTTGCCAGAACACGCGTCTCTGCACTGAGTAACTACGTATAAGGGAGGGTTTGGTCACATAGGATGGTTTTGCTTGTTGTTATTTAGCGTAGTTTGATACCTATCCCATCTTGTTTACTACTGTCTGCTATCGTACCTGGTAGAACCCTCCGCCTCTGTTGCGTGCTTTTGCAACCGTATTCCCCGATCATATCTCTGATCTTGAGTCATTACGCATCTATAGGCCCAGCATAGTCATGGAACCCGTCACCCCCTTCAACCAGCCACCACACCACCCCCCCATATCCTAGAACCCCACTCCCCACCCCCGTGCCCCATAAACCCCGTCTTTCTCCACACCCCCTCACTCCCCAAATCGCTCATTCACTCCTCCCACCCCCCCCCCCAAAAACCTCCTAAACCAACTCCCAAACGTACCAGCAATGCTATCCGACCTATTATTGCTATGGTCCGAGCCTGGTCTCGCCCCCCTCTCACCACTTCTATCCAGCGGCGGCGCGCCCCTCTCATGATTTCGATTCCTCTCCCTCTCGAGCTCACGCTCACGCTCCTGATCTCTCCTACCCGTGCTCCCCGCATCGGTATCGGACTCCTGGTGGCGGAAGATGGTATTACGATTGTTTAAGCTGGAGAATGCCCCTGGGATATTCGACAGCGGCGATGCAGAGCGTTCGCGCCGGGAGCTGGGGTTCATCCTGGAATCTGTGCCTCGGCCGTTGTATTCTGGTTCGAGACCGGCGGTTTGACGGATTGACGCAAGACGGGTTTCATTGTTGCTTGGTCTGCGCCCTCGAAAGGTTGAGCGGTGAGCATACGGTGGTAGACCTTCCGCGCCCTCGAATGGGTCTGGGCTATTCTGTCCGCTTGGGTTTGGAGGGCTTGACGGGGGGTTGGTTCCTGCTGGTACTGCAGTTCCATCTCTGGCCATACCGGTTCTGCAGATGGGACAGGTGTTGTGCTCGCTCAACCAGGCTTTGACACACGCTTCGTGAAACCAGTGACTACATGGTAGTGCCACCACCTCCTCGTCGAGAACCACATCGTCCATGCACACGCTGCACTCGGCCTTACCCTCCGGTCCCAGCATCTCCTTATCGATTTTCTTCTTCGGCAGTGCAGCAATCGCCTCTGCTGGTGCTGGGCCGGGCGCGTTGCTTGTGGAGTGTTGCTCCATCAATGTCGAGATAATTCGATCGAGTGCTTCTTGGCTGTACACAGCGTCCCCATGCACCGCATTAGCAGGGTTTAGAAGGCCCGCAAGGAGGCCATGTAAGCCGCCTAGCGGGTTCTGTGCATTGGTGCCGCCAGCGTTTGCGCCCGGAGGCTGCAAGACGAGCATTAGATCACGCAGGATCCTGGGTGCTTCGTTAGGACGACCTTGTAAAACGAGGATAAGGACGGCGGGTGGACGCAGGGAGGGAGCGTACGTGGTTAAGTCTTGCTCTTGCGGCCCCTGCTGGCCCTGTTCTTCGCCACCATTGAAGGTGCGAGGAGGTTGCCCGCCAAACTGAAATGTCATTCGTGTGCCCCAGACTCGGGGTTGAGGGCCAGGGCGATAGTCTCCCCAGCTAGGTGGCGCAGAATGGGGTGGCCTAGCTGATTCACCAGCCTCTTCACCATGGCGCGGCCCAGGAGGACCAAATGGGGATCCAGGGTATTCGCCCTGTGGGCCAGATACACGTGTGTTTGGTCCGAGTATACCGCTTATAATTCCTTCAAAGTCTCGTAAGGTTTGTGATGCGGGGTCATCGGGATTGGGTGGTTGGCGAGAGCTTCCAGATGCAAAAACTTCGCGGGGAGAACCTCTGAATGTCCTCGATATGAAGGTTGTCCTACCCAGTGGGTTGTCTCTAATAAACTCGCGGATATCACCCTCTTCCGGGTCAGAGTCATTGTGGTACTCCCAAGGATCGTGCTCGCGAAGGCCTCGAAGCTCGTCCGCAGATAATGGAGCTGGTAACGCTGGAGGCCGTGGGTCATTCTCTGCTGAGATCTGAGTGAGGTTAGTGTAAATTCCCGAGCCTCGCCGTCTGGAAAGAGGCCATACGATTTCCGTGATCTCACTATCGCATCGTGGGCAAACAAGCCCACTTTCGTCACGATACCAGTCGTTCTCGCAATTGTGGCAATATACTACCTCTCTGGGTCCGCTGGCATCCAGGCGCCGCCTCTGTTCTTGAGGTTGGTCCGCCATGACGTCTCGGACGCCTTGGTACGCTGCCAGGGCTGTAAGTCCGAGACTCAAAGCCAGGCCGGTCCTTCGGAGAGCTTGAAACGCCACTTTTGGTTAGTTGCCTGCTGAGGCTGGTGTATCGGTGTTGTTATATGATCTTGGCAAAGAAGACCGATAACAGATGAGCAAAGGCTCAGAAATCCGTCATCTGTTGATGTAGCGTAGCCCACGATATTCAGGGTACTGCAGGGTAGCCTAAGGTAGCGACGGGGTCTCGTTTGTACAACGTGGTTCTAATGTTGGACAAGTTGATCAAGGGTGAGTGCATAAGGTCTCGGTTTTAAAACACGCTGACGCTGTGTATCAGCCAGTTGTAAGAGAATCAATATGAAAGACAGTACAAAGTGTAGTGGGACAATCATGGGTTTTAGCTACTACCAGAGCCTGGACGGAAGCGCGCGGCTCATGACGAGCGCCACTAGGTGGGTGGATTGCTCGGTGATTCCAGCGATCAATGTTCTACCAGGCATCAAACAACCCAGTTTGATTTTAGCTGGCGTGTACTTTGATATTTGCTCTGTATACTCTATTTTTACGTTCAAACATAGCAATTATACCATCGCTAACCACAGGAAAATTTATTAAATTCGAGTAGAAAGTCACGGTCTCGACTGCTCTGCGGCATCCCAGGTAAACACCATCTTGCCCACTGTTCATCTCTTCCTCGCAACCCCTCTAAAGATCATTCCTCCAACAATACCAGCAGCAACAGCCACACCGCTCAATATAGCGACTCCCATCAGCCCCTCCTTCGCGACCTTGTCGTCAATCAAAGCCCTCAGACTCCCCGCCTGCATATTCGTCGGTTCCCTATCCAGCAATAAATCATTATGCCGCCTCGCCTCCGCATAGTTGCCTAGTTTGTAGTTGCCGAGGGCGATGTAGTAGAGGCATTCTCGACGGCGCTCTGCCGAGTCGCGGAATATGTCTGAGAGGAGGCGGACGCCGGTTTGTTGCTCGCTGCGCTCATTGGATTTTATGAGGCCCTGTAGGACGAGTTAGATATAGGGTCGCTCGGCCGTTGAGAGGTTGACACGTACCCATGCATAGTTGAATTTTGTTTGGACGCCGACGTATTCGCCTTCTTTTTCGTATTGTGCTCGGAGGACCTGTAGCTCAGACGGCTTGAGCGGGCTGTGGATGTTAGAAGGCGGTCACAAACTCGACAATAACCCAGTTTGGTCCGGGGGTTAAGCAAACTAACCTCTCTGCGTCTGCTGCATCTAAAAGTCGCGATTGCACTCAGTAAACTCTTCCGGGTCCAGTAGAAGACGAGGTCAAAGAAAGGCAGTGATGGTGAACCATCCATGGAAGCAGCGGCTATACTTACATGGTAGAGTTGTCATGGCGCTATGCTTGAAAAATAAAGAGTTCGAATAATGCGCAAGTCTGAACTTTTAAGTAGGTAGGAATTTGATTCAGATAGTAGAGTTCGTGAAGTTCAGACGATCGGGGTACGAGTACATAGAGCTCGGTACGACGTCACCTGTGGCGGCGCACGTGCAACAACACCTAAAACTGATTGTTGCTGTGGCGACAAGGGTTTTTATTGACAGCCGCCCGCGCAACCACGATGACGATTATATTAACATCTCAAAACACAACCAAGAGCATTCTAATATTCCAATAATTCTCGCTATTGCACTCATCTCAAATTTAAAAATCAACGTTATCAGCAACGATGCTTCTCGACGAGGATCCAGCGACGGTATGCACATTTCCATTAAGCACATATTCTACACAACTAATGCGCCCCAGCTCATCCACCACACAATCGGCAACTTCAACATTCAACCCGACAAGCTCGCCGTCTCTCGCATCAATGAATCCCTCTCCACCCTCCAACAAGCCCGCGACCTGCGCCTCCGCGAGGCCGAGAACTCACTCAAGAGTATGTCCCCCCCGCGCGCAACACCGCAGCACATCCCCCATTTTCTGCAAGTCACTAACTCTTCCAGAGCTCACAAGAACCCTAAACACCCTGCAAAACAACCACCAAGAAACCCTCCAATCCCACTCCGCCACCGCGCACTCCTCCCTCATCGCCGAGCTCGACACCCAAAAATTCCGCATCGCCAAGTCCTTTTCCTCCCTCGAGATCGAGACGGACCACCTATGCACACAACTCTCAGATCTCAAAGCACAGCTCCAGGAACTCGAACTCCAGGGCATGGATGGCGGGGAGGAGGCCAAGAGGAGCGAGGTCGAAGATGAGGTGCTGTTGAAGTTGCGCGTGTATAGGAGTCTGGGGATTGAGGCGGAGAGGGAAGGGGGGGAGTGGAGTAGGGCGATGGTGAGGGGGAGGGGAAAGGGGGGGAGGGGGGAGGTGCAGGTGGTTAATGTGGAGAAGAAGTTTAGCAAGTTCTTTTATGCGAATTACTTCTGGCAGGCGCTGTGAGGGGAGGGGAAGGCAGAAGAGGGAAGGGTGGAGGGGGGGTGGAATACCAGGTGCGACGGCGTCCGATGGGGTTATAGGGGTGTGATTTGGGTTTTAAGATGGCCTTTTGGGCAGGGGAAGGTGGTGATGGATACGATACCCGTGCTGCGCGAAAGTGTTCGTAGGGGTTGTGCATAGTAATGAAAAAATGAAGTTCATGATCAAAAAAATTATGAGACAAGTTTAACAAAAAACGGCAAAAGAAATTACAAACAAAACATACTAGTATGTTGACCATTTCGCGTCATTATATAAAGTATAAATCCGAAGACGTTCATCTCCAGTAAGCTCTTGCTGTCGCTTTGGAGTTAATGGCGGCTCAACTTCCATTGTTGTTACTTGTATTATAATAATATAACGCGTCACGTACGTACGAGTGGTAAAGCAGCATAACATTACTCGGGTTTTTATTGGACTATACTTCTACAAGGGGGATCATTGCACGTTTAACAATTATTAATAGAGCAAAGTACGAGTACTGTACAACAGTGGGTATTCGCTAGTGGTCACCCCCCAACTACTGTACTACAGTACAGCAATCCTCTGGATAATTGCAAAAGATCTATATACCCTGCACCACCCCTGTAAAGATCTATATACCAAACGCTAACTATAATTAGATTCTGCCGCATTTAGTCAGCATCGCTGGCCCCAGCCAACCTCGCTGCTGCCACTAGCACTCGAACCCCCCCCCAAATGACGTCCCTTCCGCTGCTTGTCGTGCCAGTAGATGGCGCAGAGTTCCTAGACCTGGATGCCGTTGTCCTTGCCCTCGACGACTAGGCAGTCAAGGAGAAATTCGTCTTACAACATCCTAATGCCTCCATTGACGTTTCTAAGCTTAGAGCTCACGAAACAGACCCATGTTTCCCGCCTATAACACGGGTCCCACGGGGGAGGCTAAAGAAGGAGAGTTCCGGAAGGAGGACCCACGGAGGAGAGTTGGGAGGGGGAGAGGGAGCTTCTGGTGTTGGGCGCTGTTCTACTTGTGGGGACCAGGGCCACAATATGAGAAGTTGCTGGTGCCCGCATGAGTAGGGCGCTTTCACGAGTATGGTAGGAGCAAGGTCAGTGGAGCAGCGGTGTCAAATGGGACATCAGGGTCAATGGAGTCAGCAGGGTATATGAATCTTTACAGGAGTGGTGCCGGGTATATAGATCTTTTGCCCTCGTAAGAAACCATGCAGAGGTAAATGTGGAATGGGAATGGGATCGTCATAGTGTCCATATAACCGAAAACTAGACATGTCATTGTGTTTACTCATCGTCCCTGCAAAGTTGATAACGTAGAGATGATTGATTTGGTATTAGACCTTGCACAGATTCCAGCTTCATATCTCATTTACCGCCCATTCGAGAGGCAAATTGTCCCATACGGCGTAGCAGGCGATGTCGCAGGACCAGGAGATTCATTCAAGACTGTAAATCCAGAGCTCTTGTCCGGAATAACAGATCCTCCAATACGGTAAATTGGACGGATCGAAGCGGAGGCCGGGGCAGATTGTTTCGTGGGAGTCGACTGGACGGATACCTGGCACCATTCGCGGCGGCCACCGACCTCTGGCTCTATTCTTTCCCCTACAAGGAAAGGCCGGGACTCCGAATTGCTGGTGGAATCGAATACTTGTGACAAAGCCTGGGGGAGATGGAAGCCTACCTTGCCAAGGGGGATGCTGAGGCCATGGACAATCTATAGTTGTTAGCATCTCATGATATCAGTCAGCCCAGTGGATGAATTCTTACGATGCTACAGACTGTAAGGAACCAGACAATAACAGTCATGACCTCAGCAAGGACCGCAGCATCGGCTCGTTGCAGGCCGTTCTGGTCTGTTATACCATTTAGGAAGTCCAGACCGATATATAGGTAAAATATGGCGCTGACACCAATTGGACCAAAGAATCCGACGAAAATTGCTTGACGCTCATCCTCAATTTGATGGACGAATTTGCGCAAAGCAAATACTATCGGTAGGCGGCGCAGCAGTAGGATGAGGATGCCAAGGAAAATAAGGCGGTGTATAGGAAAGACGTCGTTGTATAGGAATTTTGGCCATGGGCAGATGGCACCAAACCACATGAAGATGGAAAGATTGAGCAACATATCAACCGTAGGCTGCAGAGAATCGTCGAGAGTCTTCAAGCGGAACCAGTCATCCCATGTAAACACATTACCAGCAATGAAGCAGGCTAGTACGTCGTCAGTACCGATCAAGCCGCAACTGCCCACGATAAAGAGAGCTAATGCGATAGCAAAGACTAGAAAACTTTCCCGGTCAACATAATTCTTCCCTTCGGTCCACTGGAGAAGTTTTCTTGCGATCCAGCCTACGGTCGCACCATATGCTATGCTTAGCAAGATCACATACCCCCACGTCCCTCCAAGCCAAAGACGCATAGCCTCTTGAGTCCCTTTGGTCTGCCCAAGAACCCCGTCGTCCGTATATTTGATGATGTAGAGAGCCAAAAACAGAAAGGGGTATCCAAGGCCATCATTTGCTCCAGACTCCGCGATGATGATCCTTTGAAGCCCTTTAGGCACGTTCTTGTCCGCAAATTTACCCTTAACTATGTTATTACTAAGGATAGGATCTGTCGGCGTGATACACGCGCCCACAACTAGGGCATGCAAGAATGAAAGATTTGGAACCATTGCCCAAATAAGCATGCTGCTGAAGAGCCACATGCAAGTCATTATTGGGCCAAGTAGTACCAATAGCGATTTCCATTCACTTTGCAGGTATCGACTGGGCAATTGGACACCAGCGACGACTAACTGTACACCAAGGACAAGGCGACTGAAGTTTAGAGTGATGGAATTGAGGTTGGCCAAAGAACCTCCAGCATAGCTCATCGGGTCTATAAAGTTCATAGCATATGGGGAGAGCGCAACTCCGGCTAGCAACGAAATCACTATAAAGAGTTAGTCCTAGCCAGCCTTGTTAACCCTGTTGACACCTACAGGCCTCGGAGAGATATAATTTCTCTTTGAAAAGATAGGATACTAGTCCAAAGAGCGTGATGAAACCACCAAGTACCCAGCACACAATGTTAAAGTCTGTAGTAGCGAGAGCAGACATGTCGATGAGACTTAATGCTAATAACTATTGACCTGTCAGTTGAATACACTAGATCATGAACAAACTCTCAACGTCAACGCAGGCTCGAATCTTTCCCGGTTGCAGTGCGAAACGCTAGATATAAGTAGGGAAATGTTGGCTCTTTGATGTTATGAAGGTATTTGGGCAGGGAATCTTTCAGAGGTCACGATTCGGATAATGTCTTATCGGAAACACCACGCCAAAGATCGCCAAGGCAGTCCAATCACAGCCACGCAAGCAAGCACGTCATGAGGACAGGTTTTGTTCAGTTGCACATGTCATTCTGTCAGTGATGGGCACAGCCGTCTCGTCGGGTTGCAGCGGCATCTGCAGCGGCATCACGATCATCCTACGAAGAAGATCAGCTTGCAAACGCTTGCTAAGTCCTCGATTCTGAGTGCCAACCGTGACGGAAGATTATCGAAGCCATCAACAAGGCTTCAGCTTTCTCGCCCGAGCGGCCAACGCTCCAGAAGATCAGCGAATCTGGGGCAACAAACCCTTACTTGTCTTCGATTGCTGTGTAATATGTGGGGAACGGTAAAAGGTAAAACGTTCAACAAGCCTTGTCATATTCTATGTAATACTTTGGCCCTACCAATGTAGTGTTTGAAGGCTGAGCAGTGTTTTGTTACGCGCTTATGAGCGACACACATCTCCGCGATAGAATCGAAAGAAGTGCACTACAAGCCCATTACTAGCTCTGAATGAGGGCGACCCACGGCCAAAGTGATTATCCATACCATATAGTGACGACCAAAGCGCCCAAAGCCGAGCTCGCTATCAAACTCTGCTAAACAGCTGGGCCCTATGCATTTATAAAAAATAAGTTGGGAATATGGTGTGAAAGAGCATTCATCGTTAGGGCATGCTCGTTGGATGGATAATTAAAAGAGCTTCTCCATTAGGCTGGACCGAGGGAGCTTTCTGGTTCTGATTTCTCATCTTAGACGCCTCCCGGTTATCTTTGCCCCTCCACAAATCAATTCATCAAATCGAGGCGTTTCGGCAAGTAATCTTTGTCGGGTTCTTTGGCCCGATCGCGTATCCGCTGTCTTCTACATCTATATCAGTCTCGGGTTTCTTGAAGCCATTACAGTTGATGGGGTTTAGCGACCCGATGTTAGGAAGCTCGGTGAGACCCTCACGGTTGTTGTTTGGTTCCTGGTTATATGTAGCATCGTAAGTCTGAGACCTAAACTTCGTAGATATTAGCTGACAAGCCAAGGTCGTACACGGCCTCAGTATCCCCTTGGGAAAACCCAGCTTCTTTCTGCCACGAACACTGTCTCGAGGATTCACGTCAGAAGGCAACAACGAGGCCCAGCCCTTCCGAACTGAGGGCCGTGTCCGTACGTCGCTGGGTGAAGTTCTGCGGGAGCGCCAGAGGAGGCGTGGAGAACCTTCGGGAAAATCTACGCCTGATCCCTCGGCTTTGACTTTGACGCGGCCGGTTTATAGGATATGTGGGACGGGTACAGTTATGCCAGTCGAGAGAAGCGGACCATCAATTCCTCCAGCTGCTGCAACTGATCGCTCGATGCGAATCCCGTCTGAGAGGGGGGGATTTGACTAGCAGCCAATCCTATCAATGGTCGACCTGTGAATCCGACTCGGAGATGCTACGTTGAAGCCGAATTTCTGGATTTGTGTACTATTCCATGAAACTAAAGAATGACGGCTTCCGGATTAGATGGTTCATAAGACGGTTATCACTCATAATTCCACATCTGCAAGATAACAAAATGGTCAATGTTAGTACTCGTATACGTCCTGCGCAAAAATAAAATACCAATCCAGTCCACAGATCCAAATCGAGTTTCCTGATTAAATCAAACCCGTCCTTCGATACAGCCGCTCTAGCCAAAGAATCCATGTGCACTTGGGTTTAAACCAGTTGCCATTCAAGAAGGCGCCTTCTAGTACATACAGTCGCGTCCTTGACTGTCTCACTAATCACTGTGGTGCCATGTGTCACCGTCGTCAAACGGGTTATCTTGGTCTTGGGAGGATTTGAGTCGCCACTCGAAACAACGGTCAAGATTAAGCGGGCAAGACGCGAGACACTCCTCCCCTTTCATCTCTGCCTGATGTGTTTGAAAGACAATAAATTTAGTTCGAAGTTTGAAGTTCAGGATGCTTCCACAACTGATTTGCGAGACAAATGCGAGGGATCAATGAAGCTCATCATCACCAACATCGGGCATCTGAAGAGCGGCTAGCACGCTGGAGACCGCCCGCTGAAGTAGATCTATCCTTTCTTTAGCCATCGTTTGTGCATAGACGAATAGTCCAAGCTTGGAATGATTCATGCAGACAAAGGCTAATGATTGTGGAAATCGAGGCGCTTCTTGCCTACAATATAGCAGGAGCAATCAAAGAACTAGGAAGGTCTATCCATGGCATACATCGGGAATTCGTGTACTTGGTACATGATTTCATATGCAAGATTCTCGCGCACATTTGTGTAGATGAGCGGGTTCGTTCAGGCCTCTGCTTATGTCTGGGGTCTTCCGTCACACTTCAGGGAGGAAAGAAACCCGCGGCAGATGGCTAAGTCGCAACTCAGGTATTTGATGATGGGGGGAAGATGGGTGGGGTGTTGGAGGCAGGGGAGGCGCTCTCTGCTTTGAGCCTGTCCTCGGAGCAGGTGCTGAGGATGGTGATGAGCATGTCCGTGATCATCTCGCTGACAAAGGGAGGGACTATGTGAAGACATCCATGAAGTTTCGCAACCAGTATGAGTGTGGCGTGCAGTTGAACTAGCTGATGTTCATGATGCTGCTCGGTACTTCAGGACGGCGGCCTTGTAGTAGAAGTCGAGTAGTTCGGCACCGAGAAGATGATCCTGACCCCGGGGAAGCCTGTCGCTATGTCTGGCGACGCGATGCATCTTCGCTTTCGCGATTCACTTGCACTTACGCCGACCACACTAAGGGTGGTTCGTCAAACGCCGACTATTATACTATGCAACTTAAGGATTGTGCCCCTGGAAAGAAGAAAACGGCGGTGTAAAATTTATTCAGTACGAAACTTGCTATCGTATATCAGCAAGAGATTATCTATTGTTTCACTAGTCTAAAGTCCACTATCATCGTCCTATGCTCCAATACAGTACTGATCTTGAAAGCTTTTCCGTAGCAAAATCGCCATGGCTCTGTAGCAAGAACGAGAATGGCCTTAAAGAGCTTTTAGTCTACTCAAACTCCACGTCAGTCAACAGGCGTCAGTCAACAGGCGTGATCACCTGGACATTCCCTATCAAATTCAGAGTTTTGACTCGATTCAATCACCAAGCAACTCTAGCGATAGGACCTTTAGGGAACAGGCGGACAAACAACTTTCTAATCTCATCCATCATTATAAGTGCAGTCGCCAAGCCAAGAGGTATCAACCAATGCTTGATAGGAACTGAGCCGGTGCCAAAAACATTTTGAATAGCCGGCGTTTCTGTGACAAAAATGGCAATACAGAGTGCAGTAAGCGCGCCGCATGGGATCCAGACATTCCGATGCGCCTTGCGGATAGGATCTGCCTGAGTGATGGAAAGGCGTTTGTTCCGGATCGATAAGAGATTGCCCCACTGCAAAATAACGAGGGTGACAAAGTAGACACATTGCCCTACATTATTGAAATGTGTGAGCTCGGCCTCGGTATAACCGTAGAAGCCCTCAGTGTAACCCTCAAACAACATAAGGAGAGATCTCATAGGGATGCCAGCTGCTTGGTACATGTAGAGAAAGAACATGGCATGCGCCATTACTGTTTCCATAACACCGATGAACAAGTATGACTGGGCATATATCTTGAAGTTGATAAGGTGGTCTCGCTTGTGGTTTCTTGGCGGCAGGCTGAGGAGATCAAATTCTTCTTGTTCCATGATTAAGGCCATCGACGAGAATACATCTGTGAAGACACAAATGATAATCATGAGGAAGGAACTGAGAGGCAACGGAACGCCAACAAAGACGTTAAGAAGAACGGGCCAGATCTCAGACCAAGACCCAGCGGGAAGAAGATAGGATATCATCTTTTGCAGGTTTTGGAAAACAACACGACCAAGTCGAATGGCATCAACTATCGAGTCGAACTTGTCAAGCAAGACCAAATCAGCAGCCTCTATTGCAACATCACTTCCGGAGACCACGGCGACACCAACATGCGCCGCACGAAGAGCAGGCGCGTCGTTGACACCATCACCAGTTACAGCGACGACGTTCTCTCGATCTTTGAACTCGTTGACGATTCGGAGTTTTTGCTCCGGGGTGGTACGAGCAAACACGATCTCTCTGTAGCTGCAGACAATATCCCAGTCTTCAGCGGTTAACTTTCCGAGACCAGTCCCATCAAGAACCAAGCTTCCTTGAAATGCATTGAGGGGTAGATTGCCAACATGCGTCTTTCTTCTCCAAAATCTCTTTTCTGGTTGGTCGTCCATCTTCACCAAGTCCCGAGAAATTTTACTGTCCCTGGCTTTGACAATATCTTCGTACAGATGTGGTTCTGTATCTCCAGTGATAATACCGACCTGTCTAGCAACGGCGACGGCGGTCGTGCCAAAATCTCCGGTCACCATGAAAAATCTGATGCCTGCGCGACGACAGCATTCAACGGTGTTTGCGGTCTCGGCTCGTGGGGGGTCCATAATGCCAAATACACCAATGATGGTGAGATCCTGGATGCATTCGCGGACGATCTCATCACCGAAGTAATTCGAGCCAAGCACTTCATGCGGAGTATATAACCGTCGGCACAAAATGATGACACGTTCAGCCTTTCGAGCCAAGCGGTCTTGTAATGCGGAGAAAAGCTCCTTCGACTTCTCATCTAGTGGTTGAATTTTGTTTGTTTCTGCGGAGAAGTATGTAGAGCAGTTTGGTAGCAGAACATCAGGGGCACCTTTAATATACACCACATATTCGGGGGGGTTGACGTCCGTGTTCTGGTCGCCGTTGTTTGATGAATGCATTGTTAGCATCCATTTGTTTTTGGAGTTGAATGGAATCTGGAAGGCTCGAGGGTTGGAATTGCGTAAAACGTCCCCTGATTTCGCCGTCTCCGCGAACCGAAAGACAGCCGCATCAGTTGCGTTGCCATGTATCTGTCGTTGTCCCACAGGAAGGTCCATACTGACGGGGTCAAACACTGAATCGTTGCACAAGAGTGCAGCTTTATGAAACTCGCTGAAGGTCTCTGGTGCGCCAGGGCGGGCCATCATATCCAGTGTGTCTTCAACACTGTACTGCTTGTCAACAAAGCTAGTGGAAGAAACAACCATTTTATTCTCTGTTAGAGTTCCAGTCTTATCAGAACAGAGGACGTTGACGCAGCCAAGAGTCTCCACAGTGGCAAGTCCCTTCGGAAGGATATTAGCAGCCTTCATTCGATTTGCAACCATCATGAGAGTCAGGGCGACTCCTATGGGCATACCCTCTGGGATGAAAGCAACAATACATCCCATCACGTTGTTGAGCATTGCCACTACAGACATGTAGCCAGGATGTTTGATGCGCACCCAACCTGCCCAGGACAATAGGATAAGAAGTGCCAGACAGACGGTCAAGAACACAATAATCTTGATAAAGCGGGAGATTTCTTGTTGAATAAGAGTTGGCTTGGCCTCAATCGCTGTAGTGGCCTTTGCGATTCTGCCCATAACAGACTTGCCACCGGTAAGAACTACCACTCCAGTTCCATTGCCATTGGTAACCAGTGTGCCCATGAGCGCGATATTTCGACTTTCCAAGAAACTCTCATTCGTACAGTTGATGGCGCCTTCTATTTCATCCGGTTCACCTGTCAACACAGACCGGTCAAAGCGAATATCTCCTGAGGTGCTGAGAAGTCGTAAATCGGCGGGTACCTTGTTTCCAATTGAGATTTGTACAATATCGCCAACCACAAGTTCAGTTGTTGGCATTTTTTTGGCCTGACCGTCGCGGATCACCATGGCTTCAGCAGGGAGCAGGTCTAAAATCGAGTTCATGACGCGCTTAGTGGACCAATCCTGGAAGGCTGAGAAGGATGCTTGAAGAAAAATGACAATAATGACCAAAATAGCCAGTGCCAAATTCGGAATCGAGGGAGGAGAGCTCAAGGGTTGCCAGCAGAGGAAGAAGACGATAACACCAAACCACAGAATTGAACAGAACCCGCCGAAGATGTACCAAAAGATTTTGCGCCAGTGCTGATCGCGGACCTTTGGTAACGTGTTGCTGCCGTCTCGTTCGAGACTCGCTGCTGCTGCTGTAGCGTCCAGGCCAAGTTTTTCTGAGGTATCCAACGACTTCAAGACTTGCTCTGCTGCGACGGAGTGGAAATCGAGGTTCGCGAAGTAATCGAGCTCCTCAGTGCGAGGCTTTTCCTCCTTGCCATCGAACTCTCGTGAAATTTGTTTCGATTCCGAGAGGCCTATTGAGAGTGTTCGGAACTCTAAAGGGATGCCAGTGTTGGCGGCTGACATGCTTCGTCGGCGGCTGCTGTCTCGCGACATCCTGCGCTGAGTTCGACCGGCGCGACCATTCTGTGGCGCTTCATTATCAGAAAGGTCGTGGAATCTTATGCGTGCCTGCTTCTCATCACTCTCCAGGTCCTGATTCGCATCATTGTCTCTTGGGGCATAGTATTCCGGACAGGTCATTATGTGCGAAAAAGCAGAATTGCCCTGCTTCTAGGAAAGAAACGAGAGCTTTGTCGAGAGGCTGTGGCAAGAATTGGCGGGTCTTTCTTTGTCTTATATCCAGGCTTTTTATCAGACCCTGGATGGAGAACAGTCTTATAGACTATTCGAAATTCTTAGACCTTTCTTTTTTGTGATAGTGCGCCACATTCTTCTAGCTATTACCATCGACAATTGCTCGATTTCTGTTACATCTTTGCCATCTAGTGAGAGCTGTATCCTGCACCATACATCGATTAGGTAACGCTTGAGGGATTTTAAGCCTTGCCCGCAGAAAATGACTGGACAAGCACTACTGAATTGGAAGGCATTGCAGACTAACTACGGGAAATATGGATTCGAACCACGCCAACACCGACGACTCGGACAGCGGTTGACTTCCCCTGATATCTTGCATAAATGGCCCTGATTGGTTCGCTTGGTGCGGGGTCCCATTGGCTGAGGGGATTTTACCGTAGCGACGAGGCATTTCTCCCTACGTAAATCTCTCAGGGTCGACAAGTTCGTAGCTGAAAGCGGGCAATACCAGCCACCCGGTCTATCAACCATACGAAGCACTTTCTGAGGATTAAATGGGCATAATATCAGCTCTCTCCAAGCAGACTTAATAAATGGGCGACATTGTGAAGATCAGTCACAACCGAATTAAAGATAGCGCAAAAGACGGCTAAGGGAGAGTCCCCTATTATCTCAAACTTAGCTCGAGGGCAAGGGGGAAGGGGGAAGGGGGAAGGGGGAAGGATCGCTACGCCATCATCTAACACTTCCACCATACGTTAGCTACTAGCAAGTCAGCCGCAGTAACCCCCATAGCAAGGGGCTAGAATATCACTTGTCAGCAAATTTTCACCTTGTACTCCGTATATAAATATTACCTTATTCCAATTCACAAAATCGAGTTCCAGCATCCAGACTGGAGGAGGCTAAAATCCCTCAGTTTTGACCATGTAAGATATTCATGTGTGGGGTCTGAGCGTGGGGGTCACTACTCACATACACGACGCAACTATGAAGAAATTGCATACCTAATCTGACTTGTATGCAGGTCTGTGCTTAAATTCCTGTAAACGAGTGTCTTTTTGTATGGAGAAGCACAGACCTGTAACTTATGCATATGGCGCCGTGCTGTACTACTGAACGTTGCTCGCACTCCACTGTGTGAGGGGAAGGTCAAGCTTGGCGGCGGCGGCAAATAAAACGAAATATGCGGGGAACATGAATAAGCTCAGCTTGCCTGCCATACTCGCATAGAAGACTTTGGCAAGAAATCCCTCATCGTGATTCCGCGGTGGTGGGGGTTATATTCCCATCTACTGGGACTGTGGCAGCAAGGATATGCCACTAGTGGCAGCGAGGACTGGATTTCTTCAGTAGATGCACTACACGCCTCTATTATACGAGGCGCTAGTCAGACTTTAGCACTGTCTTCGAAGTCAGACCTCCCTAAGTAAGGTGATGAATCTCTCTGTTGCGCTGTGATGGAAACGGTGGAGGGTCAGCTTTCTCAAAGATCTAGTAAAGGCTCGTGCTTGCGGGAGGACATAGAGCATAATGAGACCAATTTTGGTGACGTAGAAGGAGTTGGCATGAGCGTGAGAAGTTCGAACGTCGTTCGTTGGTTTTCGGAGATTTGGTTCATTCGTCTTCTAATCACGTGAGCTTCACAAATGTAGCCACCGGTTTATATTCTGCCATTGAATCATGGAAAATAAAGCAGCAAGGCACCTGAAAGGTAGGTAAGCTAAAACGGCCAAACTCTGGTATTATTACGAAATTGACGCGAGAGTAACGCGAAATTGACACGAAAACATTTCTTCGTCTCAATCACTCTGCTCACCCGGCTCCCGACTCACTCCCTGGCTCACCTAGCTCACCTCGCTCACCCTTTAGGCGGCAAGGGGCTCTGATTCCGCGCTGTGCCTATTAGCACGATTGAGACTATTATCCAGAGGATACGCAAGCTTGTGTATGGCAGAGCGGACGGGATGCCCAATTCTCTTGAGTATATGGTCGTATGTGGGTGTTGAAGGGATGTTAGGGGATAAGTAGTGGTGTGATGTGTCGTAGGAAGTTGGGGAGGGTTAAGGGGGTTGGCTATCATTTTGGATTTTTACGTAGACACACACGTGCTTCTGTTAGATAAAGAGAGGTAATTGCTAGTCTCTATCTGGTCTCTTTGATCGCCACACACGAGCAACCTACTAGGCCGTTCAAACCCGCAAAAACGACTGCAGAATAATAGACATAAACTATATTGGTATTTGCTTGTTACATTGATAACCTGTCCCACCTACTCCTTCCCTAGATATCCTCCAGTATGTTCCATATAACTCCTGGGGCCTATACCCATAACTGCATACGCTTCCCTGATAACACATGATCCTCGCCAACTGCATATCCTTCCCTACATCGCCACGCCTCAATCCTTCAGGCTCACAGAATTCCTCCTCGTCATAGTTGGCGTTCTCAGAGCACTCGGGCTTCAAGACCGCCCACAGTATTCTCCTGCCCACCCGCCATCCCAAAATACCCATCCACCGTCGTAAACCCACTCATCGTAAGCGTCGGGGTCCTAATCCTCTTCGTATTCGGGCTAAAGCTGCCATTCCGCCTCATCGACAATTCCGGGCTTCGATTCCTCTCTCTCTGGTCGCCAGAATATCCCCCCGCTGTCAATGACCTCTGATGATGATATCGCCGTGGCGATTCGGCGGGTAATTCGAGGCGTGAGTTTATCCTCGTCCATAGCTGTTCCTCATCGCTCGGTTGATCAAGACGCCATCCTCCCACGCCTTCGAAATCCCTCCCAAGGCCGACGGAATACTGTGGTAGGGGAAGAGAAACAGCAGACGCAGCGGGCGTGAGACCTGACATGAACGATGTATTACTCAGCCGTCTCGAGCGCCGCTCAATCGTCGGGGTCGTAGCCGGACTATTCTCGTACGTAGCGATCGGTGACAAGAACCTGTGCGAGAGCTTGCTATGCGGATCATCCGTCCTCAGAATATAATGCGGTATAACCGCAAGCACAAGCTCAACATACACGAAAGTAACCCTCACAGCCAGAATCGAAGCAGCGACCAAAGTCGTAATAACCGCCGTGCAAGCTAGCGGAATCGCGAGCACGACAGCCAGCGGGAGGCCAAAGGTGTATAGAGACAAGAAGCGTGGCATTGTGAGGCATGAGCTTTGAGCATGATTGAAGGCTCAGGGCCTCAATACATGTGTTTGCGGATTGTTTGTCAATGCCGACGAGCATTGGGGAATTTCTGGAGATGGATGTTGGCTGGCACGTGGACCAAAGGCCGTTCCCCGCCTGTGACGTACCTTGTGGGGTGTTGGGTGGTGCAAGGTCAGGTACGTACCACCTGGCCGGGGCACCTCGTTGTAAGCTAGCATGGCCCATGCAACCCTCTGTCGATCCAGGCACGTGCAGTTTGAACGTCTGAGGAGGGACCGTGCGTAGGTGAGGATTGATATTGGCATTGAAGCTGATGAAAGTATTGGGAATAATGAACAAGAACAATCGACACTTTTGTATTGACTACTGACTTAAAATACTTTTTTATATAAAGAAAACTTTGATATAAAGGAGTAAATGGCTGCACGATGGCGTCTGTTTTGATCAGTCTGCGCTGGCCTGGTTTTGAAGCTGATGAATTACTCTCCTTGCTTCAAAGGAGAGTTTCTGAATTACTATACTGTAGCTAATTGAGAGGATGTAATATATAACCACAACTCAGTAATTAAGCGCCTTTATTTAATCCACAGTTGCTGTAAACGCCCAGAGAGACAATGAGTTCTATCGCCTGTCCCCAGGTTCTGAGTGACTGTTCTCACCTCGATCGCACAACTACGCGAACAGCTTCACAACACAACCTCAAATTCACCTTCACCTTCACTTATTTCCGACCATTTATCTCCTCCCATTAGTTCCACAACAAACATTACATATAACTTTTACTAGAAATAGCACACTCCAAAGGAGGGTGTATGTGCCCTCCTCCGATTCACACCATGAGGACCAGAAGTTCTGGTCCAGCAAAGGACCCCATCACTGGGGAGATTTTCCCAGATTCACCACAGAGCACTATTCCAGCTTTCATCCATGAACCCGTACCTTTCAACCCGTTTCCCGAGTCGTCATTTCCAACACTTGAATTTCCAATTCCAAAGCCATCTGAACGACATGAGCGGGCTCGTCGTATAGCTCGTGGCAATCGAGGAAGTCCGACAACTCCACGTCGAAGTGATTCTCCGGGCTCAGTCGCCAGCGGCCAACGCGGACTTCAAGGAGGGAGCCCACTTGGACAAGGGATCACTCGCAGCATGAGCCCTCAACTGGACGAGATCGCGTCTATTTTAAGAAACCGGCCTCTACCGATCGGATGTGTCTCCCACGATAAGCCTGGAGTATTCAGTAATAATCCATATTGGACAGACAATAATGAGCTGCACCCACTAGTGCCTACTATTATGGAGATGGTAAGATAGTTCCGTCTCCTTTAAAACCTCGTGTAAATAGAAGCACTTGGACAACACAACTAACGTTTCATTCTTTGAAGGGATATGCCGTTATTCCTGCCTGGTCTGACCTCACTCCCGGCGTCCAGATCGTCGCTATGGCCGAAATGGTGCTCTCTTACGGACTCGAAAATGCGCCAAAATTTCTCGAACTGGAACCTGCAGAGATTAACCAGTTTGTCGACCTACAAGAGCGCGAGGGTCAAGTACAAGCGGCCGAAGAAGAGAGGGCAAAGCAGTATAATGACCAGCGTTTTCAAGAAATGTTGGTGGGGAAGATAGATGGCTCGAATACCGTGGAACTTCTCGATCTGCAGTTTTCCAATGGATCACTATGGGAGCCAGCAACATTAGGCATGAAGAGGGTGGATTTAAAGGCTGGATCACGCTTTCTGCTAAGCCTTGGCTTCGTAGACGAGTCCGTGAGACTATGGCAGTATCACGGAATGGATTTTAGCATTGCGTGTGAGTCTGATGATTCAGACCCAACTGCGACCAATGACCCCCAAGGAGTTGGTTCTCCAAAGATAGAGCGTCACCCGAATCAACTCAACGACGAAATCACTGTCCAACAAAACGAGCCGGAGAATCTCGGGATTGAAGTCGAACCCAGCCGTCACTTCGTGCCAAAAGCTACACGCAACCTCCTCCTTGAGAAAGTTAAGAAGCCGAAGAAGTCCCGACGACCAAAGAGGCAGGTATTACTTGGACTGGAGCCCTATAGTCCTGCTCATACACCTAGCAAGCTGCGCATGTCTATTTCAGTGGATGAAATACAGACCGACGAGCCGTCCGATGAAGAAGAGGCAAGTCCTGTCAAGGCTAGAGTAGCACGCCAGGTTCCAACTGGGACCGACCTGTCCAAGGCTGTGAAATACACGAAGCCGGCGAGACAATGGGCGGATGTGCCCAATGTTGGACGAGGTTCGAAGGAACAGTACATGCGGCAACAGAAGCCAAAGGCAGCGCCACAGAAACAGACTAGTTATATTGACCTGACCGAAACTGAGCCTGATTCACCAGTAACCGCGGAGAAACAGAAAGTTCAGAATGGCACCTACCTTCAACCACCATCTGAGAACGCTTGGTTTGCACCCGTTCGGGGGAGGTCAAGGATGGCGGCAGCCAGAGAAGTGATGGGCGAGCCCCTCCGTGACGCCGACTATCCAAGTCTCCCAGTGGTGAGGAACGTAGCAGGATTTGCAAATCATCTCCTCGCCGCCAAATGGGCCAAAATCCCCAAACCAAACGACAATCCCAAGTTCGAGAAACCGACAAATGTACCAGTTTTAAGACGTCGCTCGGCACTGGGTTTTGGGGCCAATGGGTCGGACGGTCCCTCAGGCAAGGAACTTCTCCCCGGTTCGTCCTTGCAGCATTTTGATAAAACGCCAAGAACAAAGCGTAAGACAATGACCACCGATGAGCTTCCTAGCCCATTTGACGCATCGACGCCGCGCCGTGGAAGCAACGGACGAAAATGGAAGGAGGGCACGGTAGTTAGGACTAGACAATTGAGCATGCAGGAACAGTATGTCGCAGACGAGGACGTACCATCGACGCCGCGCCGTGCAAACAACGGACAGAAATGGAAAGAAGGCACCGTGGTCAGGACTAGACAATTGAGCATCCAGGAGCAATATATCGCAGACGAAGAAGTACCGATTGAAATGCTGGAGGCAGGAGAACAAATTCTGATGACACATGTCCACGGATCGCTGAGGGGGACAGGAAAGATAATTGGACAGGGAAGAAATGGTAGAGGAGAGGGAACAAGAAAGAACAGTGGGCTCGTGACTATTGGGGAAGGAAGGAGTGGTAGAGGAGATGGAACAAGAAAGAACAATGGAGGCGTGGCAACGGCTGGAGAAGGAAGGAATGGAAGAGGAGAGGGAACAAGAGGAAGAGCAGAGAGGAGATTCTACGTCCCAAGGAGCCTTATGTGTGACCCAGAGGTTGAAGATGAGTAAGGATTCGGTTCAACTTGTAGGATATTGTTGCTGTTGTCTTCTTGCTGGTATTCATTGGAGTCGAGGCCTAAAATGATGGACCCAAGCTGCGGCTTATGTACGCTCTTTCGAGTGCTTAGCTGCACTTCAAGTTTCAGCCTGGCAATGAAAGTTTCACTAAAATAATAACGTATATTACTTTTTCATAATTTTTAAAAGTGATTGTTTTCAGAAGGTTGGAATTGGAACAATATTGGAAGTTGCGGTGGCATGTTGGCCATTCTCATCGCCGACCCCAACTGTAGTCCCATTTAGCTTTAGCCTGCACAGCCACACCTGTAAGTGACGGCCAGCCTCGCGGTTCACGGTGGTCATCAAGGGAACTGGGATTGGGATTGAACCACAGTTTGCCTCAACATCACAGCAGACTTACACTATCATCCTCCTTCTACATCTGTCAAGGTTACGAGCGGCGCCCTAAAGCTTTGCATAGTGACGGCAGCGGAGCCACCTCAACCCCCGACTTCTTTACAGGCCAGCGACCCCGGAGCCTCATCATCATGGCGAAGCGCATCGAGCAGCAAGAAATCGAAAAGTACTGGGAAATCTTCGCCTCCCTCTCTCATGGCGGAACGCACTTGACAGGCTCCCAGGCGGCGCCGGTGCTGAAGAACAGCCAGCTGAACGATGATAAGCTGGAGAGGATATGGGACCTGGCGGACGTCGACAACGACGGGAGTCTGGATTTCGAGGAATTCTGTGTTGCGATGCGATTGATCTTCGATATAGTTAATGGGGTAAGTACTATGGGTTCTGGTGGCACTGCTGAAATAGAAGTTCTAACAAAACCAGGAATACGCAGATGTGCCAGGGTCATTACCGGACTGGCTGGTCCCCGAGTCAAAGGCCCATCTTGTGCAAGCCAACCGCGCACTCACAGGACGACAAGTACAATTTGAGAAAGTGGAGGATGAGGATGAGACTATGGGCCTGAAAGATGGCTTTGATTGGTACATGAGCCCATCAGACAGATCGAAATACGAAGAGATCTACTCGGCGAATAGGGACGGGCGAGGAGAGATCTCCTTTGACACGCTAGAGCCACTATACAGCTCTCTCGACGTACCAGATACCGATGTAAAATCAGCGTGGAACCTAATCAACCCAAACGCAAACTCTACAATCTCCAAAGATGCGACTCTGGCTTTCCTACATATCTTGAACAACCGCCACGAGGGGTTCAGGATTCCTCGCAACGTCCCGCCATCTCTGCGTGCCTCATTTGAGCGGAACCAAATCGATTACCAGGTTGACAACCAGAGATCTGGCTCACCAGCGCAGAAGTGGGGTTCGGCAGGTGGCGAAGAGACGAGCACAGGACGCAAGGCTAAGTTTGGAGATACGTACCTGAGCCGGTTAGGGGTTGGCGGCAAGAGCAGCTATAGGCCAGCTGGGACCGACTTCTCTAAGACCAAGACAACGGAGGATTGGGAGGAGGTCAGGCTGAAGAAGCAGCTCGCTGAGCTAGAAGCTAAGGTTGACAAGGTGGAAGCTGCATCTGCGAAGAGGCACGGGGGAAGGCGAGACACGAAGCCAGCACTTGTTAAGAGGGAACTGGAACAGCTACTTGATTATAAGAGGAGAGAGCTGAGAGAGATGGAGTCGGGCGAGGGCAAGGGTAAGGAGGGCGCTGGCTTGAAGGGCGTGAGCGAGGAGATTGAGGCGGTCAAGGAACAGGTTGATGGATTGGGAGCGCATTTAAGGTCCAGACAGAGTGCTCTCGAGGATCTTCGGCAACGAGTGGAAGATGAGAAGGCAGGAAGGTGAAAATATAACTTTTCTCTCTTGTAGTATACACTTTCTAGATAGGAATATCATATAAAGCGAGTGTAGATACCAACAGTATTTAGAACCATTGTATGTACCGAGTTATGGGTATGGTCTGTGCGCGGTCGACGATGACAGATCCCCCAATCGCGATAGCAAAATCAAGCTCGAGCGAGTCCATGTGAGCCAATAACCCTCCGAAAGTGGGATAAAGATATCCAAGTGAACATTTTCCGAGACAACAACCTCGAACCCCCTATTACTTGCTATTTTGCTTGCCATTCTTCCCCCCAGCTACTGCTATTAGAAATAACCAATTTCTACGCCAAAAGGAATGCGCTTAACGAGTGCAGGGGCATCTTGGCACTCGTACCGCCGTTATTGATGCGTGGAGATCAGGAACCATGATGAGCTCTGTCAATGACGACTTTACGGCCCTAGTGACGGTGGTGGGCTTCCATCATGCGAGGTGCGCAATTGTTGAATGAGTCTGTTCTTTACGTTGGAGCTTACGGTTGCGCAGAGGTCCTGAGGTTGAGTCGTGGTATGGAGCGGATGAGGGGACGGATCCCGCCGAGTTAAATAACTGGCCTCTACTCCCGTTCATGGCCTTGTCGGATGGGGCGCATGCGTAAGGAGCTATTCCTGGCCTGTTATTTGTACTTGCCCTTACTGACAGTGGAACAGATCCTCCGAGGACTTCTCCTACTTCACGCTTCTGAAGCCTGGTGTTGATACCAGCCTACCTACCTCCCTCTTCGGTATATCGTGTACGAGACAAATAGCGGCTTCCGAATTATTAGAAAAATCGGCGGAAGTTACACGCAGTACGGTGCAGAAGGCTGTCGTGGTCATCGCGGACTCCCCACATCTGTTTGGAATGCTGCGGGAAAGACTGAGCGTGGTGACAAGCGCATGGTTTGCCCAGAAGGATTTTTCGGAGACGGAGATATTGAAGAGGTTTCAAGAAAGCCTGAAAGATGAAGCGGAACGAGGAAGGCTAAAGGAGGAGGTCGACAGAGACCAGTATCTTGGCATGAGCTTGCGACAGTTGATCAGGGAGTTCAAGTGGCAGACTTTAGTGCTGTTTAAATGCTGCCTGTTACAACCAAAGGTTTGTGAAACCTTTGAGGGGCTTTCCGAGGCGACCCACTAATGGCTTACATAGATGCTCTTCTTCGGGACTCCGTGTGAGCGGTTGTGCATGATGCAATTCTCTCTGATATCGCTCATTCCTGGCTTAATACGAAAGTTGCAGGATTGCGCAGATCCTGAACTAGACAGCTATGAGAGAGGCCTCACTAAGCCGACAAGCCTGAAAACAAGTGACAGGAATTCGTTGCTATCGTACATGGGCCTTCCCTTGCAGATTTTCCCGAAAGGTAGCCTGTTTGGACCATATACCCCCCTTCAACAATTGGACACTTTGGCAGATTTCGGCACAAAATCATACATCGTCGGGTCGACCAATTCCCTCTTGTTGCAGCAAAAAGATCGTTATAGTGACATACTAATTAATCTTGACGAAATATCTATCAATATAACATCAACTTCGTTACGGACGGCCCTGAACCTCTCCAGTGCTGATCGTCGTTGGATTGATTTCATAACACAATCGGTTAACGATACCTGGGACGATGCGAACCCTGAGCGACCAAGTACTATGGGGTACGTGGGAAGCGAAGAGTTCATACGGCTCCAATTTGAGGAGTATTTACTGTCGCTGATATCTTCCGTCAAATGTCACAACTACATGACCGCCAATGCAGGAAACCCCAATGTCATGCTCCCCCAACTTGAGGGAGACCCCACATATGATTTTGGATCGGATTGGATTGAGGCATGGACCCAGACGGAAAACTATAGGATATGGAACAAGAATACAGACAGCCACCTTTTTGACATTGTCGAACCAAAGCATCCCTGCGCTGGCGGGTTGACTATCGACGATGTTCAAAGGCGTCTTGCTCAACAAGTCCAAGAACTCCATCTTGATGAACGATTCGCCGTGGGAAAAGAAGTTCTGGGGCGGAACCTCGCAGCTGGAAAAGAGAGGGCTAGCGGCGTCTTTAACAAGCTCTACAATGACATGGAGCTACTGCGTGAGAGCCAAAGAAGACGGCGTGCTGAGCAAGCGACTATTCCGGAGCGTAACGAAGCAGCCTCGCCAACAGCTAGACATTTTGTACCAGACTTGACAAAAGCACAAGCGGCAGCGGCGAATGTGGGCAGCATGGCTGGTTCATATGTGAGCAGCTGGGCTTCCTGGGCTGGAGAAAAGAAGAAGGGGTGGGGCACGGGATCTTCAAAACGAAACTCAGAGGGCGTACAAGATATTGATTTCACGCCCAGAGACATTACTCCGAAGGCATCAATAACTGTGCCTCGTGATACAGCAAGGTGGACTCCTGAAATAAAGGCCGCAAACCCCTCTCCACAAACTCCGACTACCACGATTTATGAAGAGCAACGAGGACGACCACAGACACAGGAGTCGTACAAAGAGAGCATTTTTGATGCTGATAGTGCGACTGATGATGAGGAGGATGCTAAGGTGGTGGGTAGGGAGCCATCGACGTCTCCAAAGCTTCCAGAGCCCAAGCCGACAACCGCACTGGACACAGAGCCGGTGGCTGCTGCGAATACTCCAGATTCCAAGCCGATAGCCGCGCTGGATACAGAGCCGGCGGCTGCAACGAACCTCCCGGACCCCAAGCCAACGACCGCAGTGGACGCGGAGCCATCCGCAGCCACGAGCCTTCCAGAAACCATGTCTGAAATCCCACTGGACACAAAGCCACCGACTGCCACGAGCATTCCAGAAACCATGTCAGAAATCCCACTGGAAACAAAGCCATCGGCTACTGCAAGCCCTCCGGAACCCAAGAAAATAACTATACCGAGTACACAGTCGCCAGCTGGACCATTGTCTCCAGAGCCAATTAAGTCAGCAAGGAGCGACTCAAGTGGCAAGGTGAGGGCGATGAAGCAGCGATTCGAGGCCGCGGCAGCGGCCAAAAAGAGTTGATGTAGCCTCATCGATATGGGTGTAATTTAGACAACTTGAATATACAACTGTCCACCCAAGGTTTTATATTTGCACATTTTAAATTTAACTTAGCGGTATATTTGTACATGACGTATTTCACATGCGAGCTGGTCACCCAAGCGAGCTGGTCACTGAATTTCCCACCCAAAATCAGGAAATTTGCAAGACAATAACTCAACAATACCTTGATAATACATATTAAAAATACATTTCTAGCCTTTTCTACTTAGTTAAATCCTTATCCAGTTATTTAGGAATAATCTATGTTGTAGTTCTTAAGATATTAAGTATAGGCACTGAGATTTAGACTAAGTCTTTATATCTTAACATCTACTGACCTAATTGCTCTAAAGCTACAATAAAGAAATCTACATGTATAGACCAAGCTGTACACACAGTTTTAGAGTATATTATCAAGTTGTTGTTGAGTTATTATCTGGCAAATTTCCTGATTTTGGGTGAGAAATTCAGTGACCAGCTCGCATGTGAAATACGTTAGATCTGTCGCAGTATTTCCCAGCCAGAGTAGGTCAGAGAAGCGCAAGCCAGAATTATACGACTTGATACCAAAATCCGTGTATAATTTAAATATATTATATATAGCACGTATACTATGAAGCTAATTTTATCAACTCTGAGACCCGACTCGTGATCTTGGTCTTGGTAGTGGCAGATAAGTTGCTGACAACGCAATGGTCTGTCAGCCGATGAGCTTCAACATTGTGACAACCACGAGTGTCTTTGATGCGAGGATTCCCCTGCATCATTATTTCTATGATATTTTATATGCCATAGGGGCCTTATACGAGGGTAGTTAATGACTTATGGCCACCGATTTACCGCCCAATGCGTGTTCTCGGTGCAAAGGGCTCAAGAAGAAGTGTGACAAAGGCCTCCCTTGCTGTGAGCACGAGGTAAGAATATCCGCTGCATTATTGCAGAAAAATACACCCTACTTCAGTATCTAAATAGATAACTAGGCTCGGTGCGAGTTGTCAATATGATAGTGGCACGCAAGATTTGAGGCCGATGCACAGTGCTGCAGACACGGACGCTCATCGCCACACCAGCTGCCAACTCCGCCAGGCATGTCTACGCGCCAGGCCTCACCTGATTTTCAATCGGCGCTTAGTATGTTACAGATTTGTGACGACGATGAGAATCTAGGGAGGCAGATAGGTGCTATGATTGCGAACACCGGCGCTGATGTTGGCATCTTTTGCTCCACATACTTCAACACGCTCGAGTGGTTTCCTATTATTCCTAGTTGTGACATCTACGACCGCATAGCCACGCTTTCGACGGGCCCTAGCCTAGACTTTGCTATACTAATACTCTGCCTACATCTGATTACGAAGATTGACCAGACAAATTGTGATTGTGAAACGATGATGCATTTTTACCTGACGGCAAAGCGGTTCTATTCCCTCGTTACCTCTTCCGGCCGAATATCGAAAGAACTAGTTCAAAGCGAGATTATTCTTGCTCTTTATGAATACGGAAATGCAATGCCCGACACGGCGTGCGTATCAGTAGCTGGGCCAGCGAGGATGGCGTTGGTTTTGGGCTATGACAAGACAGTGTATTAAGGAGGAAATGCCGGGAACGTTTCTGACGTTGAAGCCGAAGAACAGCGGTGTATTAGGTGGTGTATTATTACCCTTGTCATTCCTGAGTTATGGAGTATTTCTTCTGACACTGTGGCAGGGTAATGTGAATGGATCAAATGGATAGAAAGCTCCCTCTTATCACCGCATCGCCAACACCATGTTCGCTTCTTCCTTCTACTTCAGGGGCTAAGATACACGTCGGAATAGGCTTGAAACTTCCAGGAAATCCCTTCCAAAACTCCAGTCCAGAAACGCGACTTAAGACCTTTGCTCTAGTCGCCCAATCTATTTATTTTCTGGATCGTATCATCGAACATATCAATACTACCTATGGGGAGGTAAACGGAAAGTCAGAACTCACTGCTCAACTGGATGAGGGGATCAGAGCCTTCTGCATGACTTTATTAGAAGAGAAACACCATGATCGAACTGGCCACTGCTGGCCACATGTTACGTGTTTGAGGTACATTTCCCATAGTTAATGAATATTCAGGTGCTAACGATTGTAGTGCCCTATTATTCCTTTCCCGCGATGCTCTAAAAGTAGCAGGCACAATGGTGGTGGTTACGACTTATCACGGCTTCGAAGACTGGCCATGAGAATAGAGGGTAATTGGCTTGAGATCCTTGTTTGAAGCCATGGCGAACGAGGTTGATGTTATTAATTATGGTGATTTAGTTGGTTTACAAACAACAATCAAATCGACTTGAGTTGTGTTATACAAAAAAAAAACAAGTCGATATCGAGACAATACTATCCATTTAAGTAAGTTGCGTCATACGATTCATGAATCAAAATATGAAAACGAATATTTCTAACAAAATTGATAACTAATTGATAACCAGGGTTAGAAAATCAATTATAATCATGATTAAGTTATTTAGTCGTAATCATAATCATGATTAACGTGGTTTATCATGAACCCGGACACTTTTCGTGACCCTTCTACTCGAGTACCTTTCAACCCCAACACGCGTTATCTTAACATTTGATGATGTCAGTACAAACCCAAGAAGCACGAATCATTTTAGCTATGGAAGCTATTCAATTATCCAAAAAAATTACTCCTCGCACTGCTGCAAAACTTTACAATGTGCCACGTTCTACGCTTAGTGACAGAATGAATGGTCATTCTACTATCCACGAGCGCCGGCCAGCAAATCACAATTTGACTAAAACAGAAGAGGAAGTCATTGTTCGATATATACTTGATTTAGATGCGAGGGGGTTTGCGCCTCGGATAGCTGGTGTGGAAGATATGGCAAATCTCATTCTAACATCACGGGGAGGAAGACGCGTCGGACAGCTCTGGGCTCATCGATTTGTCAAACGACAACCAGAACTTAAGACGCGTTTTAATCGCGTTTATGATTTTCAAAGGGCATTGTGCGAAGATCCTGAGCTAATTGGCGCGTGGTTTCGACTATGAAGGCAAAATATGGCATCCAAGTCTGCGATTTCTACAACTTTGATGAAACAGGCTTTATGATGGGCATAATTTGCCAGCAATGATTGTTACGCATGCGGACCGGCGTGGCAGAGGCAAAGCTGTCCAACCAGGAAATCGAGAATGGGCTACAGCTATTGCATGCATTAATAGTGAGGGTTGGAATCTCCCTCCGTTTTTGGTCGTTCAAGGGAAATGCCACCTCGCAAGTTGGTACACAGAAAGCAACCTTCCAGACAGCTGGGTGATCAAACCTACTAATAATGGATGGACGGATAATGAGACTGGTCTCGACTAGATTCAACACTTCAACAAGCATACTGCTAGTTGAACAAAAGGGACATATCGCATGTTAGTACTTGATGGGCACGAAAGTCATGAATCTGCTGAATTCCAAGAGTATTGCAAAACCCACAACATTACAGTATTATCTTGTTAAGTCGATACACGATTAGTTGATTTTCTGCATAACTCGATAACTTTCTTCAGATCCTTCCATTCGTCATACAAATCACGATACACACGATATTGAGTCCCTTTTCCCAATTATCGACTTAAACTAATTACTGGACTACTCTTAGAATACCTTCAAAATGCTTTCGAAAAAGCTCTATTCTATGACTGTCGAACAGCGAAAAGCCCTCTGAACCTGGCATTGATCTCACCATCTGAAACCTACACAAAAGGCCACTATACAGTGGTTCCTTGAGCAATACAATCATCAACTTAGCCAATCTACAGTCTTAGAATCCCTTAGCTCTCAATTTTTGGACCTTGACGATACTCCTAATACTCTGGAAACAAACAGCTCTAAAGCTCAGTGTCGCCGCTGTTACGATGGTCACGGAGGTCAAGAAGCCGGTTCAGAGAATAATAAGCTAGATTGAATCTAAAGAGAGAAGAAGAAGAAGAAGGAAGGAAGGTGAGGCTATTCCTCGTAATATACAGTTGTCCGCTTAGCGGTTGTAGCCTTGGTGGCTAAGGCTGCACCTGTAACAACCCGTAACAACCGTAACAACCGTAACAACCGTAACAACCGTAACAACCGTAACAACCGTAACAACCGTAACAACCGTAACAACCGTAACAACCGTAACAACCGTAACAACCGTAACAACCGTAACAACCGTAACAACCGTAACAACCGTAACAACCGTAACAACCGTAACAACCGTAACAACCGTAACAACCGTAACAACCGTAACAACCGTAACAACCGTAACAACCGTAACAACCGTAACAACCGTAACAACCGTAACAACCGTAACAACCGTAACAACCGTAACAACCGTAACAACCGTAACAACCGTAACAACCGTAACAACCGTAACAACCGTAACAACCGTAACAACTGTAACAAGCTGTAAGCTATAATCGTAACAGCCGTGCTGTCACCTGGCCTGAATTAGAAGCTGCTCTTTACGACTGGCAGAGGCTTATTGAAGAGCGTGGCGGCATTACAACTACAGAAATCTTACAATCAAAGGCAAAGATTATCTGGAATCAGCTACCACAATACCGTGGACTACCTACATGTTACGGCTAAGTGCTAGTGCTATGGCTAGCGCTTACGGCTGCAACCTCACGTGATGGATAACATTGGATATCATGGATATTATGTTATCCATGTTATCCACGGCGATCCACGGAATGTCATGTGATGGATAACATTGGATATCATGGATATTATGTTATCCATGTTATCCACGGCGATCCACGGAATATCATGTGATGGATAACATTGGATATCTTGGATATTATGTTATCCATGTTATCCACGGGGATCCACGGAATATCAGGTGATGGATAACATTGGATACCCTTTGGCACGACGCCACTATATAAGTAGATAGTATTTCCTTAGATAGGAGCTTCGTGCTCAACTCAATATGGTATTCTTTACAATACTGTAACGTGTTACTTGGAAAGCCTTTGTGTCTAATCACCTGCCTCCTCTGTCAAGTCAACCTTACGCAAGAAACCTCTGTGTCTTCTATTGTTTAGAAGTCAGCGTTACAGGTGGGTGCACCAGATTGTAATGGTGGGTGCACCAGATGTGAGAATCTAGCCACCCAAGTGTCATACTGACATTCGTTGCACTCAGTTTGCTATCAAACTCAAGAGCAAACTTGGAAATCTCCTCCTCAAACCTACAAGTCACTATACATATTTTGGCTTATCACACCAACAACAAGAGCAATACTACTCAACGATTGCTACAACCATCTATGATTCATTACATGTCATCGCTCCTTAGTTACTGGGCCGATATTACCACATAGCATATCTCTACAACCCTCTATGATTCATTACATGATATCACTCCTTAGTTACTGGGCTAATACTACACATGACTTATCCCTGAGTTCTCAGACTCAGCATTTGTTACAACTTGTCTAAACCACTCCACTACATCATACACCTGATTGCTGCGTTGTGGAATAGTCTAAGCTACAACCCTTTGGCTCTGTTTCCTAAGACAGTGTGTTGTCTTAGTAAAATCATCCCTTCCTTGGGTGGCTAGATTCTCACATCTGGTGCACCCACCATTACATGTAGTCAACGTAAGAGAATCCCATAGAACCATCTCTTGGTTCCTAACCTATAGGAAGTGAAAGGAGGTCCAAGGTCAGAGTACCCCTATAGACAAATTATGTCATAACTTAACCAATCTTGTGGGTAACTAAGGAGTGATGATGTGTAATGAATCATAGAGGGTTGTAGAAGCTTTTGGAGCTATCGTTCATGTTTCTAGGCCTCTAGTTGGTAGAGATATGTCATGTGGTAGTATTAGCCCAGTAACTAAGGAGTGATGACGTGTAATGAATCATAGAGGGTTGTAGCAATCGTTGAGTAGTATTGCTCTTGTTGTTGGTGTGATAAGTGTAATGGTGGGTGCACCAGATATGAGAATCTAGCCACCCAAGGAAGGGATGAATTTACTAAGACAACACACTGTCTTAGGAAACAGAGCCAAAGGGTTGTAGCTTAGACTATTCCACAATGCAGCAATCAGGTGTATGATGTGGTGAAGTGGTTTAGACAAGTTGCAACAAATGTTGAGTCTGAGAACTCAGGGATAAGTCAGAGGTTAACACCTCATTGACTTTTCAGAAACAAGGAGTAACAAGATCAATGCTTGGAAGCTTGGAAAAGACGTGGAAGTATGTGATAGTCGATTTACTGTATTGTCTGCTTGCCCTTTCTTAAGGAAAGGGCAATCCTATTTATGCTAAAGGAATGTAGTTCTCTCATTTTCCAAGACTTTCCATGACTTACCAGGCTTGGTAACTGTAGTCGACGTAAGAGAATCCCATAGAACCATCTCTTAGGTTCGTAGCCTATAGGAAGTAAAAGGAGGTCCAAGGTCAGAGTACACCTATAGACAAATTATGTCATAACTTAAACCAATCTTGTGGGTAACTAAAGAGCGATGACATGTAATGAATCATAGAGGTTCGTAGGAGCTTTTAGAGCTATCGTTCATGCTCCTAGGCCTCTAGTTGGTAGAGATATGTCATGTGGTAGTATGAGTGATGTCATGTAATGAATCATAGAGGGTTGTAGAGATATGCTATGTGGTAATATCGGCCCAGTAACTAAGGAGCGATGACGTGTAATGAATCATAGATGGTTGTAGCAATCGTTGAGTAGTATTGCTCTTGTTGTTGGTGTGATAAGCCAAAATATGTATAGTGACTTGTAGGTTTGAGGAGGAGATTTCCAAGTTTGCTCTTGAGTTTGATAGCAAACTGAGTGCAACGAATGTCAGTATGACATTGGTAACTGTAGTCGACATAAGAGAATCCCATAGAACCATCTCCTAGTTTCCTAGCCTATAGGAAGTGAAAGGAGGTCCAAGGTCAGAGTACCCCTATAGACAAATTATGTCATAACTTAACCAATCTTGTGGGCAACTAAGGAGCGATGACGTGTAATGAATCATAGAGGGTTGTAGAAGCTTTTGGAGCTATCGTTCATGTTCCTAGGCCTCTAGTTGGTAGAGATATGTCATGTGTAGTATTAGCCCAGTAACTAAGGAGTGATGTCATGTAATGAATCATAGATCGTTGAGTAGTATTGCTCTTGTTGTTGGTGTAACAAGCCAAAATATGTATAGTGACTTGTAGGTTTGAGGAGGAGATTTCTAAGTTTGCTCTTGAGTTTGATAGCAAACTGAGTGCAACGAATGTCAGCATGACACACTGGACCTGAATAGGCGTGCTCAAAGCACTTTGGATACATGGATTATATAAGCTCTAATAATATGATTTATTCGATGGACCGATAATATTTGGTAGCACCAATTCAATCGTCTTAAAGAGGTTAACGTACATGTATAGCGAAAGCGCCAAACAAGCGAAAGCGCCAAAATTATCTACCCTCACGACAAACATTGCGATAAATCTACCACAACATTAGAAATCAATTGAAACTACTCGGAGTCCTCTTCCTCAGAGGTGTCTATTACAATCTGACACGTGCGCGCATTGTGCCCAGTCTCACCACACTTGCCACAGCGACGGGCACGGGTTTCTTCCCTTGGCTTCCGACCACGGCTTGCCCTTATTTCCTGCTCTACCTGCTGCACAACATCCCTCTCATCCTGTAGCTCTTGCGCCCCTTGTTGACTAAGTGATCCTCCTTGCTGTAGTCGTGTTTTCCTAGCTCTCCGGCGCTTGCTTAGTACTTCATTTGCCTGTCGTAGGTTTTGGTTCTCTCCCTTTAGCAGTGCTAATTGATGCATTATTTGCGATGCACCCTTTGTAAACTGGTCAACAGCTGCATAGATTGAGGTTGGAGAGCTATTTTGATGGCGTGAAATCTGAGTTTAATAAATGTAGACTGTGACATAGCTTCAATTGGGTTGTTTGGTGTCTGAGAAACCCAAGGTTGAGCAGTACCTGGGCGGGAGCTTGGAGGCGTTGGTGTCCTTAACTTAAGATCAAGTGTAGATATCACTCTCTCAGGGTCAAATGGAAGAAGCCCTGCCCCTCGGAACCCGCCTCGAATGTTACTTTCCGTCATTGTAGTGTTAAATGCAGCGTGGAAGGCAGGAAAGAAGTCATCCTTTGTAATATGAGAAATATGAGCCTGCATCATATCTTCAATTTGCCGACCATAGGCCTGCTTTAACGGGCCGAAACAGCCAACATCAAGTGGCTGGAGTAGATGAGAAGAGTGAGCAGGCATACAAAGCATAATAATGTTGTGTTCCTTGCAGTACTCCTCAAACTCATCTGAGTGGTGGCTCTCATGACCATCAAGGACTAACAAGCGATAACCACCAACACTCCGGGCCTTTGTATGCTTCTCAAAGTGCTGAATCCAATCCATGCCTCTCTCGTTTGTAGTCCAGCCATTTTCAGTAACAGAAATCACCCAATCGCTTGAAAATCCACTATTCTCATACCAAGATGTAAGGTGGTTTTTGCCTGCAACAATGATAAATGGTGGTACTGCCCAACCTTGAGAACTAACGCCTTGGATTACTGTAACCCATTCTCGATTACCAGGCTGTACCTTCTTTGCTTTTGCCCGCCCGTCTGAGCTTGTTACAACCATAGCAGTTGAGATAACGCCCATCATAAACCCAGTCTCATCAAAGTTGTAGATATCTGCTTCATCGATACCATATTTCGCAATTGTGTTACGCACAAGCTCAAACCAGCCATTAATAACTTCTGGATCTTCGCACTTAGCCCTCTGGTAGTCGTATTTGCGCTGAAAGCGTGTCTGGAGCTCTACACGCCGCTTAACAAAGTTTGAAGCCCAACGCGACCCAACGCGTGACGCATCGCATGTTGCAAGTAGTCGACTTGCCATATCTTCAACAACAGACAGCCGAGGAGGAAACCCTTTGGCAGCTAGGTCGAGTATATACTGAACAAGGACGGACTCCTCTAGGTTAGTTAATTTCCGTGAGTTGGCTTGGATATCGCGTCGTGAAGGTACACCTTCTAGACGACGACCTAGCTTGCGGTGGTCCACAGAATAGATCCTAGCAGCAACTCGAAGGCGTAACTTTGGGTCGCTTTGCATAGCCTGGATAGCTAGCACTAATTGGCTTTCATCGTTTTTATGGGGCATGTTTTGTTGTTGAGGAATTTAACATTTAGTTGGGGGGTTTGGTCACCGCATCATTTTGGCGCTTTCGCTTGTTTGGCGCTTTCGCTATACATGTACGTTATATGTTGAGTAATCAAATGTATGTATTCCTGCCCATGTAACCTATACTATGATTTACCGATAATCTGTACGGAGATCACGTGAGATCATGTGACTATTACAACATTATATGTACTGTAGATAATTACTTAGGCCACGTGATTCTAACATCATGTGATAATCATGAATATTCATGATTATCAAAAACTCATAAGTTAAGTTAACGTACTCCACAAGCGAGCGGCGCACACAAGTAAGTGGCGCACGCATCACGAATTCTAACGCGTATAGTATCCTTTAAATCAATATGTCTCAACCAATTGACCTGCAATTAATCCACAAAGAGGGTCGAATGACTCTTGCACTCCAAGCCTATAAAAACGGCCATTTTACGAGTGTTAGAGGTGCTGCGGTCGCGTACGATCTTCCTGAGTCCACTCTGCGGGCGCGCGTTAAAGGACGGACTGCGCGACGCGATTTACGGTCCGCAAACCTCAAACTTATAGCTACTGAGGAGTTAACACTTATCCAATGGATATTATCTATGGAGGAACGAGGCCTACCACTTAGAGCTAATTCCTTTCGACAAATGGCAAATCTACTTCTTCAAAAACGGACTGACGCAGACCAGGATCAGACTCCTACAGTTGGCCAGAACTGGGTTTATAATTTCGTACGACGACACAACTCCCTCCAATCAAAATACACCCGTAAATACGACTATCAGCGGGCAAAATGCGAAGATCCTACGATTATTCGGGACTGGTTTCAGCTTGTACGGAATACAATTGCTAAATATGGGATTCAAGAGGAGGACATCTACAACTTTGACGAGACTGGGTTTCAAATGGGAGTAGTCACGACCACGAAGGTAATTACAGGTTCTGAGCGGGCTGGCAAGCCAGTTTGCGTACAGCCAGGGAACCGCGAATGGGTTACTGTTATTGAATCAATATCTTCAGACGGATGGAGCTTGCCAGCAATGGTTATTTTTGAGGGCAAGGTTCATATATCGACTTGGTACACAGACACTTTGCCTTTAGACTGGACAATTGCAGTTAGTGAAAACGGGTGGACAGACGATTCTCTAGGCCTTGCTTGGCTTACGGACGTCTTTCAGAAGCATACAAAGGACCGTACGAAGGGGGTTTATCGGCTTCTTATTCTCGACGGACACGGGAGCCATTCGACTCCAGAGTTTGACCTATTCTGTTCCGAGCACTCAATTATTACGCTTTGCATGCCGCCGCATTCATCACATCTCTTACAGCCATTAGACGTTAGCTGTTTTGCGGTTCTAAAACGGTCATACGGACAACAAATTGAAAGATATATGCGGGTTGGACTAAACCATATTGACAAACCGGATTTCCTTACAGCCTACCTTTCGGCCCGCAAAGAGTCTATGGCCCTTAATGTGGTCCGTAGTGGGTTTGCAGCTACAGGTCTAGTCCCGTACGACCCAGAATGAGTGCTGTCAAAGCTTAATACTCAGTTACGGACGCCAACTCCACCTCTGCTTCTTCCTGCCCTACAAGACTGTTGGGTACCCGAAACGCCTCATAATGCTAGTCAATTAGAGCTTCAGGCTACAGCAATTAAGGGGCGCATTCAACGTCGTACAGCAGGTTTATCAAGTCCTACAGATCAGGCGTTCCAGCAGCTAGTTAAAGGCTGTCAAATGGCTATGCATAATGCGGCTCTTCTAACGGAGGAAAACAAGCAATTGCGGACCGAAAATGAAAGACAAAAGAAGAAGAGAGCAGTAAGGAGGTCGTATGTAGCTAAAGGAGGTGTTTTGACAGTCCAGGAGGGCCTAGATCGACTACAAACAGCAGATATAGATATTGTAGGTAGGGTTGCAGGTCAACCTACAGAGCCACAAACTCGTGCACCACGGACGTGTAGTATGTGTAAATCACTCGCGCATACTGCCCGTACGTGTCCATTAAGGGAGGTTTCTAATTAGGGTAGTTCTATAGGGTTTAATAAATTGTATTGTTGTGAAATTAACCTCTAGAGTTATAGAATTCGTGATGCGTGCGCCACTCACTTGTGTGCGCCGCTCGCTTGTGGAGTACGTTAATCATAATCATGCTTAACGTGGTTTACCACCAAACGGAACATCCCACCAAATGAAACACTTTCCGATAGCATCGCAACCTCAAACCCAATTACTCCACCCTAACACATTAAAATTAACTACACTCAATTGAATTCTCTTCTCCTAATATCTCTTCAACCTCTTGACAGGTTCGTACATTATGCCCAGTCTTGCCGCACCTCCCACAGCGCCGCGAAGTCGATGGACCAGCCTCTACAGCACCCTCCTCATTTGACCTTTTCTGTCGTTTCAACCCTTTATCCTCTTTTTCAGCGATCAGTTTTTGAGCATCTTCTATAGTAAGTGACCCTCCATCTTGGACACGTGTACGCTTGGCTTTCCGACGCTTTGAAAGTGCTGTGTTGGCCTTTCGAAGGGTACGGACCTCCTCTTGTATAAGGGTCATTTGGTGCGCAATGCGGTCTGTACCCTTCACCAGCTGCTTTACAGCTGAAAAAATCGTTGTTGGGGAGCTTCCTTGATGAATTCCAATTCTATTCTGTACAAACTTAGACTGCAAAATTGCATCAGCTGGGGTTTGTGGCGTTTGAGGGACCCAAGGGTCAGCCTCTAGTAGGGGGGATCCAGTTGGTGTTGGCGTCCGTAACTTGATATCAAGCTTTGAGAGAACTGCTTCTGGGTTGTACGGGACTAGGCCAGTACCTCGAAAGCCAGCTAGGATATTTTCAGTTGTCATTGTATGGTCGTGGGCAGCCTTGAATGCAATAAAGAACTCAATCTTAGTGATATGGGTAATAGAGGCCTTAATGAAGACCTCAAGTTCTCGACCATACATTCGCTTTAGTACACTAAAACACCCAACATCAAGAGGCTGGGTAAGATGTGAGGAGTGCGCAGGGAGACAGAGCGTAATAATGTTGTTCTCCTTGCAGTACATATCAAACTGGGCAGATAGGTGGCTCTCATGGCCATCTAGGACAATCATCCGCCAGACCCCTTGTGTTCGTACACGTGTATGCTGATTAAAGTGTTTTATCCAGTCTAGACCTGTATCATTGTCGGTCCAGCCATTTGGTGAGGTCTTGATGGCCCAAGTAGGTGGAAGGCCGCACTCTGTGTACCAAGGCGCAAGGTGATGCTTGCCTTGTACAATCAAGTATGCAGGCACTACAAAGCCATCTGCACTCACACATTCAATCGCTGTTGCCCATTCCCGATTACCAGACTGAAGCTGCTTTGCTCGGCCTTTTCGATCTGAGCTCGTAACAACCATATTCCCACAGATTACACCCATCATAAAGCCCGTCTCATCAAAGTTGTAGAAGTCAGCATCCTGGATGCTGTACTTCGCCTGCATGTTCTTTACCAGCTCAAACCACTTTCTTATACAATCAGGATCTTCGCAGAGGGCTCGCTGGAGGTCGTACGCACGAGAGAGATGCGTCTTAAGCTTTGGTTCATTGTGTACAAAGCGGTAGGGCCAGTTTTTTCCAACTGGGGGTTCGCGACGCGTCGCACGGAGGAGATTCGCTATATCTCGTACATCCTCAATTCGAGGTGGAAATCCTCGCGAATCTAGGTCAAGTACGTATCGTATGAGCTCCTCTTCCTCAATTGGGGTCAATGGACGTTGTTTGTCGCGTCTACCAGCTCGTGGTTGGCTTCCGTGTATGCGACGGGTAAGTGTTACATGTGGGACCTCATATAGCTGCGCAGCACGTCGGATGGACAGTTTGTGGGGTGATTTGGTAGCTTGAATGGCTAGTAAAACTCGGCCTTCATTAGCTTTCTGAGGCATCTTTTTGTTGTGGTGTGGTGGAGTAATTGGGTTTGAGGTTGCGATGCTATCGGAAAGTGTTTCATTTGGTGGGATATTCCGTTTGGTGGTAAACCACGTTATGTAATATTTGACTATTTTGAATGTCATGATTATTATGATTATTTGTGCTAACCCTGTTGATAACTGATGATTTACAAATCCTTGGTTTGAAAGCAAAGCCCCCACAACGCCCTCTACTGAACATACTCATGTCCGTCATATGCAGCCACAGGCAAGAACAATAACTGGCAGACGATCGGGCTGCTGGAGAGAGAGGGGTCGTTATGGCCCGAAAGGCGAGACGAGCGAGCGAGAGGCCACGAGTTGGTAATAGCTCCAATGAACTGCGCCGTCCATGCAGCTGCCAAAACCGAGGTGGGTATTATTAGAGCCGTGGATAATACGCAGGGCACCCGAGTCGTGAATTGGATCTAGATGTGGATCTTCCAAATCATGATGACCGAATCGGCAGGACAGAGGACGTCGTTGATTACAAACATTTGGGCCGTTTACTGTGCTCGGAAACTCCGAAGACCGAAGCCGACGATGATTGTCAACTTGGGAGTTTTGACTATCCCACAAGCAACGGTGAAGCTGGTCAATTCGAATCGTTCACACTGTGGCAAATAATTTCACTGTGGCAACTATCACTGCGATAAAGAGCAAACGCAGCGTATATTATAATAGTTTCATTCCCTAATCACTAAGAGTACATCTATAGCGTATCATATCTCAGTTTTAACATATATGGCTTCGCCCTCCGCATTGTCCTGCGGTTTAGCCCTACTGGTCACCCTTCGCGGCTCCACCTCTTTCTCCTTGGCCTCCCCATCACCACTCTCCACGCTCGCATCACTCGTAAAACTGCTTGTTGGGTGTATTTCCCTCTTCGCAAGTTCTGGCGTAGTGCTCCTCGACTCCTCCTTTTCACTAGCGCTCGCGGCGGATAACGAGCCGACGCTAGTCGCTGGCCATAGTTCCCTTGGACCCCGTGTAGTCGTGGCGGTAGACGAGCTTAAGTTGCTGCTGGGCCTCTTCTTCCTGCCCGCTGTTGACGAGGCTGTGCTGCTGCGACGGCTATGGGTGTTACTTCCACCGCCCTCATCTTCTCCTCTAACACTTGGTGTAGGAGTGTTACTCTTCGAGTTCGTCCTCGAATGGCTCCCAGACCGCACGCTTCCGCTTCGAAGCCTCTTCTCCTTGTCCGCTGGTAAGCCTAGGTGACCCGTTCTATGAACGCTCTGATTATGGTGATGGCCGTGCTTCTCGATATCCTTCGCCGTCAAAACCGGTTGCGCCCCGAGTAATTTCTTCCACCAACTTAGTTTCTTGGCATGCTCACGCTCGTACTTGCGGAGCTTTTGGAGGAGGACTCGCCGGCGCTCGTTCTCGCGCTCCCAGTATTCGGTGCGATAGAGGTCCCAGTTTTCGCGGAAGGTGGGGGAGAATGGCTTGGGTAGCAGTAATAACGATATGGTGTCGCCGCCGGGCGAGAGATCTTCTTCGTGCCCTTTTGATGGGACATGCTCGGCAATTTTTGGTAGGCCGCTGGTAGAATTGCGGTTTGATTGCGGGGTCGGGTTGGATATGGAGGGCGGTATGTAACGATATGTAGAGGAGCCGTTGTTGAGTAAGAGGCCGGAGGAAAAGAAGAATGAAAAGGTTGACACCCATTCTTTCCACCAGGGCCCCTTGACCACAACGATCTTGTAATTGAACCCTCTGAGGCCGCGGTTTGTGACTCCAACCCATCGGCGCGGCCATCGAATTCCTCGCTCCCACTGTCCTGTTCCCCAAACCAGCACTGCAGTAACAACGCCACCCATCAAGCAGACCTTCTCCGCCACCTCTACCACCCAATATACAGAGCCTCCGACACCACTCCCATCTTCTCTAGGCGCCAGAAACAAGGCGTAAGAAAAGTATCCCGTCCAAAGTGCGAGGAGGGTCAGAAAAAACGTGTGTTGTCGCCGCCGTGCGCGAAGCTCGAGGTATTGTGCGCGCAATGACGCTTCGAGGATAAGAAGGTTTAGGTATATCTGTGGAGGAGAAGACGGTAGATGTGCGAGAGGGTCAGCGACTCCAGAAGAGGTTGTCGTATCCGCTGAGGGCGCGTCGCCTTGTGGTGCGCCCTTGACGATCTGGTCGAGCCTCGTTTCCGACATGTTGCGCTGTGCCTATATGCAAGACACAGGTATCGAGTTGGGCCGTTCGTAGGAGGTGCTATTGCAGCATGGCCGTCGCAAGAAAGAATCTCTCGTATCCTCGGCTTTCGTTCTCTCACTACGTCGCTGGCAGTCGCCAGGAAATAGTTCTGCAATGGATCAAAGAATGCGCTTTCGATTCGAACAACTCTCAGCACCTCAAAAATATTCACTGCTGTATAAATAAAGCTAAAAAACGGTACAGAGAGGTAGGGACGAACGTCATAGAGGTGCTTGCTATAGATATCCTTGTCCGAGTTTAAGCTTCGTGGGCGGAGATCGGATAAACTCTCGGGGCCTAACGCGCGCGGCACATGAAATCGGGGCTTCCGGAGCCTCTTTTGTCTGGATGATGACACGTGCAAGGGTCCATGGACCCAGGCAGGCGCGGATTGTGTACACGTACCACGGTCAGCGGCGGCCTTAACTTAAACCCAACGGACATAACGAAAAATTTAGCCACAAGGCACACCGTTGAGTACGTTTCGGAGAAGAACGAGACTTGATAAGGCCGCAGCAGTCTGTGCATAGCACGCATACACTATATATATATATATTTCCGGTAGTTGCGATTGAGTGACGGGTAACGCTGTCTCTCAGTCGCGCCACCCCTCCGTCATTCAAGTTGTATCCCAGCACGGCGCTGTTACTGCGCTCAACAACTTGTGACACAGTAGCCCTTCGTCACCTCTCGGGCCTCATAGTTTCTCCCACAACGCAAAAGCATCAAGCCTACTCCTCAATGCCTTCCCCAGCAACTCACTCGGAGGAGGATGCTACGCGCCATGGCGCAAAGCCGATATTCGCCTCGGAGCGCACCAGAGAGGCAACCGCCGCCCCAAAGATACCAAGCCAAGCTCCTCGCTTTACCCAATATTTCCCATTAGGTTATAAGGAAGCGTTTAATCAATGGGTAGGAAACCCCTCCATCTGAAATCTGCGCGTCTCTAACATCTATCCAGTGGGCCACGGTTTCGCCAGCAATCGCTGAGCATAATGTCCTCTCCTTCGTTCCTCACCTCCGCCAGCCTCCCACCCATACGCAGACGGGAACTTATGCTACCTCGAGTGATGAGGCGCCAATGTCCTATAACCCTGATCCCAACCGAGCTGCAACTCCGGTGCGGACAACCTCAATGAACGACCCATTCGGGCCACGATCCTGGCGATCAATGATGGTCCAACTAGATGGCAAGAACCGAGCCCTGAACGAGTTCTCCGTCGAGAGAGAAGAAGAAGAGGTGGAGGAGAACCTAGTCATGCTTCACGGATACGGAGCAGGCCTGGGCTTCTTTTACAAGAACTTCGAGGGCATAAGCCGCGTTAAGGGCCTGAAACTATATGCTCTCGATATGCTGGGAATGGGCCGAAGCACACGGCCACCTTTCAAAGTGAATGCAAAGGACCAACAGGGCAAGATTACAGAAGCTGAGAATTGGTTCATTGATGCATTGGAAGAGTGGCGTGTCCTGCGCAAAATCGACAAATTCACGCTTCTCGGACACAGCATGGGTGGATATATGGCCGTTGCATATGCGCTGAAATACCCAGGCCACTTGAACAAGCTGATCCTAGCTTCTCCAGTCGGCATTCCAGCAGATCCCTACGCAACGAAAGCAGAAATACCTGACCAGTCTACTATTGAGAATGAAGTCCTTCAAGACCAAGAAGAGGACATTGTAAACAAGCCGTCGAACGGGAGCAATGGTGCCCGCAACGGCAAGATGCAAGGAACTGTGGAATCAACTTCGGACGATCCACCTCGCCGCCGAATTCCGAAGTGGGCAAGCTACCTCTGGGACGCCAATGTGTCCCCCTTCAGCATTGTGCGTTGGGCAGGACCATTGGGCCCTCGATTTGTGTCAGGATGGACATCCCGCCGCTTCAGTCACCTCCCAGAAACCGAGGCACAAGCCCTGCACGAGTACGCCTACTCTCTCTTTAGGCAACGTGGAAGCGGCGAGTACGCACTCGCCTATATCCTCGCACCCGGAGCATTCGCGCGTAGTCCTCTGATCAACCGTATACAAAACGTGGGCAGGCAACCTCTCGGGCTCTCCAGTGCACCATCATCGGCTGCGGAGCCTGTAAAGCGAGAGACTGGCTACCCGGTTATCATGATGTACGGTGAGAATGACTGGATGGACGTTGCGGGCGGGCTCGCAGCGGAACAAAAGCTTAAGGAAGCTAAGGCCGCAGCGCTAGCGACGGCGACTCCTCGGGAGAAGCAGGAAGAGCACGGGAGCGCGAGGGTGGTAATAATTCAGAAAGCTGGGCATCATTTGTATCTAGACGGGTATGAGGACTTTAACGAGGTGATACGGAGGGAGATGGAGGAGACGAAGCGGGATCTGAAGAAGCAGAGGGAGCAGAGCGGGGAACTGTAGAAGCGACGTGATTATTATACGAGGTGCGGAGTAAATATTGTAGAGGGGAGTTAAGCCCATGGTCGATGTGCATTGGGTTTTGTAGATATTCTATTTTTACAGCCTATAGATGATTTAAGATGTAGATATGTATGAGTAATGTGCAAATAGAGCTCGCGGGGAGCATGTATTATATAATTTAAGCCTCAAAAGAAACGAGTTTTTTGCACACCATATAATAGCAAATAATGCCTCTTCTTGAAGAACAGTCCCGAGTGTCGGGAATGAGATACTCCGAGTGTACAGATACTGATGATCTTTCATGATAAACTGTAACATATCATATGTTTTACACCGAGTCAACCCAATGGTGCCTGAGGAAATCAATCCAGGCTCAAATTGTTGGGGGCGGGGGCAGCTTAGCTTTAGGGTGTGGTAGTGGTGTTGCAGCAGTCCGTGCTCTCCGCCACACGCTTTGTTTGGCACCCGCAGACCCATCGTTAACTGACGACATCCACACCTCCATGACCAACCAAGTCGACCAAGTCTACCGGTTCAATAATCATCGCCATTAGCATACTCGACAACAGCGACATCTACGCCCGCTCGATCGCTCGAATAGTCGCCACCTTCATCATCATCGCTAAGTTAAGCCTCCCTCGGGGCGAATACCGCGCAATCAGCCTCATCCACACTAGGACCAGCCGTGAAGTGGCCGCGAAACGAGAAACACGACACGTATTCGCACTCTCGAAACCCCATCACTCCATCGCCGTCCGAGGTTCGCACTGCGGTGCTCGCGAATATCGCATTGTTTCAAACCGCGCGGTCGCTATAGCCGCACTCGGACCCCTGCCGTCATCCTCCGTAACGCCCAGCCCGACCCAAGCTCGACAAACAGCCACAGCGTGCAGCGAACCATCAACGACCGGAAGAGCCACCATCCGTGGCAGCGTGCTTCCTTCCCGTCGGCGGTGCAGACACGTTGCACCCAATTGGTAGATCCATCGCTTTGGATCTAACTCCCTGCGCGGGGCTCTTGCGCACACCGTAGCCCCCACGGCCAAGATGGGTGTGTGTATGAGCACGAATGGCGGCGAGGAGGCCGAGTTGAAAAAGAAGAGCCAGATGATAGATGAGAGGATCGCTGCGGATGCACGACGTCTACGACGGGAATGCAAGATCCTATTACTTGGTGGGTTTTGATGACTTTGGCGATCTGGCAGATAACTGATACGTTGGTAGGTTCTGGAGAAAGTGGGAAGTCAACGATCGTGAAACAGATGAAGATTATCCATCAGAATGGATATTCGATGGATGAATTGGCGTTATATCGACTGACGATCTACAAGAATCTCATCGACTGTGCCAAGGCATTGGTTGGAGCCATGAGGCAATTTGACATATTGCCAAAGAACCCGGAGAACATCGAATATTGCGACTTTCTCGTTGACTACCAGGTCGATCCAGATCCACATATCCCCTTAGACTCGAAAATTGGAACGGCCGTGATGTCGCTATGGAAAGATCCCAATATGGAGCTTTTGTTACAGAGGCAAAGCGAATTCTACATGATGGATTCTGCACCATAGTAGGTTTTCCGTACTCGCAATACCTTGGCTATGCTAACAAATTGTTTCAGTTTCTTCGAAGAGTCACTGAGAATATCAGCACCGGAATACATTCCCACTGAGGCCGATGTCCTCAGAGCTAGAACAAAGACCACAGGTATATACGAGACGAGATTTTCGATGGGCCAGTTAGGCATACAGTGAGCACACATGATATCAACCCCGCCTTGGATGCATACTGACCCTTTAATAGCATGTTCGATGTCGGCGGGCAGAGGAGTGAAAGGAAGAAATGGATTCATTGCTTCGAAAATGTCACATCTATCATCTTCTGCGTAGCATTAAGCGAGTACGATCAAGTATTGCTCGAAGAGAGTAATCAGGTATGTCTAGCACTGCGGCCGTTGCAAGTCAAAATCTAACAGTCTCAGAACCGAATGATGGAGAGTTTGGTGCTTTTCGATTCGGTCGTCAATTCGCGATGGTTTATGAGGACCAGTATCATTCTATTCCTCAACAAGTTCGATCTGTTCAAGCAAAAGCTGGGCAGGTCACCATTAGGGAATTACTTTCCCGACTATTCTGGTGGCAACGACGTGAATAGAGCTGCAAAGTATCTTTTGTGGCGGTTCAACCAAGTCAACAGAGCTCATCTGAATTTATATCCTCAGTAAGTCCACCCCCAACCTGCAACCTAGCACCGAACTAACAGCGTCAAAAGTCTCACACAGGCCACCGATACGTCGAATATCCGACTAGTTTTCGCCGCAGTGAAGGAGACGATTCTACAGAATGCCCTGAAAGACTCGGGCATTCTTTGAGTGGCGATATAATGCATGCATATGAATTTTTCAATTTTTCAATTTTTCAATTTTTTTTTTTTTCACGAACAGGGTAGCAGAAATTGCAGGCGTCTCTCTCCCCAGGGGCCTCGCAGACGGAGTTTATGGCGCAGCTGTCGAATAGCCACCACCACCATCCTTGGCACGGCTTTATGGGCGCGTCTTAACAATTAGTCACAAAACGGGAGCACATCTTAACTTTTATTTTATTTTTGGATTTTGGATTTTATGGGGATGGGAGGGAGGCAGAGTTTGGAGAGCAGTCGTCGTTGACACTGCACGTGGCATACCCATTGAAGTATTTTGTATTGTTTGTGGGGATAAATAGGTGGAAGAGGAAGAGGAGGAGAGCCTTGTTGAGCGAAAGCTATTAAGATATGAGATGGTTATATGTCTCGCAACGCCTGGACGGCAGACCCAAAGCGTGGGGAGCATCAGATAATATTATGCTACGCTTGATGATCCAACCGAAGAAACGAGAGTTGCAGTACAATGGTGACGCTTTTGAAATGCCGGCTGCTTCGACACAAAGCTATCACCAAAGTCTCACGCCCTGCATGCATCGCTGAGTTGAAGCTGTAGGATCAGCCAACCCCAGAACAGCAATGTGAGACGGAGCTGCATTGTTCAGGCAGCTAGGCGGATCCGTTCGCGTACTGGCCCGTGCTGGAGTGACAGGCGAATGGATCATCATGTCCAACATGACGACACCGATAAGAGCTCGGGGGATGTACATGGGCCCTACTGAGCTGTACCAACGCGCTGTTGGTGGTCAATAGCGATAATAACGATAAATATAAAATCAAAACTCCAAAGCTTACACCGTGCTTATGTGTATTTAATTTACGCGTGTAACATTCCAGCGTTGTCTCTTATTGTAGGAGAAGACATCAATCAGCAGCTGCCCCGATAAGTGAAGAGCGCGGGAGCTGTTGCCAAAACGTGCTGACAGCTGCATACATCAGCCCCGCACGACTCCTCCAGCCAGCCCGCTTTCCCACTTCCAAGACGGACGACACCGTATATATTAAGACCCAACCGCCTTTGATCGAGAGAGCTCCTGCTCTCTTCTCTTCTATTATTTTCATCATCTTATCAATTCCATTCATCAACCATTCATCATGGCGACGCCCACTCCACCACCGCCCCGTGAACGTCGCCCAAGCACTTGTGCTCCTATCTCTGACCTCAGAGGTCCGGTTGGACCACCAGGTTTTACTCGCCCAAAGCATAAGAGGACTTTGACCGGCTTTGGAGCTGGCGAGATTAAGAGCGTCGAAGGTAGCTATTCTCCCCATCTGCCCCTCTAGCCTGTTTATCAAACATAAACTCACACCACTTCCCCCCATCACAGCTTCCATCCCGGAGAACCAGCGTACCGCCTGGATGAAGTACCACACGCAACCCTTCACGACCACCGAGGATTTCGAGAAGGAAGTCGTCCGCCATGTCGAGACAACGCTTGCGCGCAGCATGTTCAACTGCGACGAAACGGCCGCGTATGCCGCTGCCAGTCTGGCCTTCCGAAACCGCCTGATCACAGAGTGGAATCGTACGCAGCAGAGACAAACCTTCGCGGATGGGAAGAGGGTGTATTACCTCTCGCTTGAGTTCTTGATGGGGAGGGCACTGGATAATGCTATGTTGAATGTTGGGCTGAAGAACGTGGCTAAGGGTGAGTCTCCTGATGGCGTGAAGGTTGGGAAAGGCTAATAGGTGATTGTAGAGGGGCTGGCGGATCTGGGCTTCCGAATTGAGGATATTATCGAGCAGGAACATGATGCTGCGCTTGGTAATGGCGGTCTTGGTCGCCTTGCGGCGTGCTTTTTGGATAGTTTGGCATCGCTCAATTACCCCGCTTGGGGATATGGGCTGAGGTATCGTTATGGCATTTTTAAGCAGGAGATTGTGGATGGATACCAGGTTGAGGTTCCGGATTACTGGTTGGACTTCAATCCCTGGGAGTTTCCCAGACACGATGTTGTTGTCGATGTGAGAAACTCTTTGGATGAAACTTGAAGTGGGACTATGAGGCTGATTTATTCTTCACAGATCCAATTCCATGGCGAGGTCAGGAAGTATCATGATGAGAATGGCAAGAGTCGCGCTGTGTGGGAAGGAGGAGAACTTGTGAAGGCTACTGCATACGATGTTCCCATTCCAGGTTTCGACACTTCGGTTGTGAACAACCTGCGTCTTTGGTCGAGCAAAGCAGCAAGTGGAGAATTCGATTTCCAGAAGTTCAACAGTGGTGACTACGAGAGGCAAGTTTATCGAAGCCATACTATTTTGTCTAAACTAACATTACTGTTTTCTAGCGCTGTCGCTGACGAGCAGCGAGCTGAGACCATTTCTGCTGTCCTATACCCCAATGATAACCTCGAACGTGGCAAGGAGCTCCGCTTGAAGCAACAGTATTTCTGGGTCGCTGCTTCATTGTATGATATCGTGCGGCGATTCAAGAAGAGCAAGCGTGCCTGGAAGGAATTCCCTGACCAGGTTGCCATCCAGCTGAATGACACCCACCCAACTCTTGCCATTGTTGAGCTGCAGCGCATCCTGATTGATCTCGAAGGCCTCGAGTGGGAGGATGCCTGGACCATCGTTACCAAGACATTTGGCTACACCAACCACACTGTTCTTCCTGAGGCGCTGGAGAAGTGGTCCGTTCCATTGTTCCAGAACCTCCTTCCGAGACATCTGCAGATCATCTATGATATCAACCTCTTCTTCCTGCAGGCTGTGGAGCGTAAGTTCCCAAAGGAGCGTGAGTTACTGGCTCGCGTGTCTATCATTGAAGAATCATCTCCCAAGATGATCCGCATGGCTTATTTGGCTATTGTCGGTTCTCACAAGGTTAATGGAGTTGCTGAGCTCCATTCGGATCTTATTAAGACTACGATCTTCAAAGACTTTGTCAAGATTTTCGGAGCTGACCGCTTCACGAATGTCACCAACGGCATCACCCCGCGCAGATGGCTGCACCAGGCCAATCCTCGCCTCTCGGAGCTTATCGCTTCCAAGACTGGCGGCCTTGGGTTCCTCAAGGACCTCACTTTGCTGAACAAGCTTGAGGAGTTTGTGGACGACAAGGAATTCAAGAAAGAATGGGCTGAGATCAAGCTTGCCAACAAAGTCAGACTTGCTAGACACATCAAGGATACGACCGGCGTCGTCGTCAATCCCAACGCCCTCTTTGATATCCAGGTCAAGCGTATACACGAGTATAAGCGCCAGCAGATGAACATCTTCGGAGTCATCCACCGATACATCACTATCAAGTCCCTCTCGCCCGAAGAGCGCAAGAAGTTTGCCCCGAGAGTGTCTATCTTCGGCGGGAAAGCAGCACCTGGCTACTGGATGGCTAAATCCATCATTCACCTGATTAACAGCGTTGGAGCTGTCGTCAACAACGACAAGGATGTCGGTGACCTGCTCAAGGTTATTTTCATCGCGGACTACAATGTCAGCAAGGCTGAGGTCATCATCCCCGCCAGCGACGTGAGCGAGCACATCTCCACAGCTGGCACCGAGGCTTCGGGAACTAGCAACATGAAGTTCGTCCTCAACGGTGGTCTTATCATCGGGACCTGCGACGGCGCTAACGTGAGTCCCCGTTTTCCCCTCTTCCCCATTCTAAACCCCTTACCCCTTACCACCCTACCCTAAGCTAACCTCCCCAGATCGAAATAACCCGCGAAATCGGCGAGCAAAACATCTTCCTCTTCGGCAACCTCGCCGAAGACGTCGAAGACCTGCGCCACTCCCACACCTACAGCACCACGCCCCTAGACCCCTCCCTCGCCGCCGTCTTCGCCTTCATCCGCACCAATGCCTTTGGTCCCGCTGACAACTTCGCCGCCTTGATCACGGCGGTGGAGGATCATGGGGACTATTACCTTGTTTCGGACGACTTTCATAGTTATGTCCAAACGCAGGAGTTGGTGGATCAGGCGTATAAGGACCAGGAGGAGTGGGTGGGGAAGTGTATTTTGGCAGTGGCGAGGATGGGTTTCTTTACGAGTGATAGGTGTATTAGTGAGTATGCGGAGAGTATTTGGAATGTAGAGCCGATGGAGCCGCTGGGGGATGAGTAGGTGAGTGCATGGGAGGTCTTGGGGGGATGCAAGCAAAGGCCAGGGACGGACGCATTGGGTATATTTCTTTAGGAGGGGAAGGAACGAAGTATATGATTATCCTTACTCTGTAGCCACCCACAGCAGCCACGTCTCACCTCCTGTCTATCCTGTATGATCTCCCGAGATCAAGGCCCTTCCTCAGCCTCACGATCTCTCAAACACGTGAAAGTATCCCCGTCACGACCCGGATCCGTCATGCGAGTGGAAGCAGCCGTGGTGGATTTAAACGGTACAACGGAGTATACATACAGTCCGCTGGGGTATGTGTGAAGAAGCATCATGACGTACCCCGCAGCGACTCACATCCCTAACTACATTTGCCCCCCGCGGCCGCGAAGGGTCTAGGTTCCTGACTGGGTCCTCACTGGGTCGTGACGGGGCCTGGTAGGTCTAAGTGGCATGGTTATGACGTCGCCGCGGCTGGTAGGCTCGAGAGCTGGGATGTTTGTTTTGGTGACACGCTTTTCCCGTCCTAATTCCCTTGAGAGTTAGGGTTTGGATGGGATGGGATGGGGGGGATGGGATGGGGGGATGGGATGGGGGAATGGGATGGGGGGGATGGGATGGGGGGATGGGAAGGGATGGGACCGGATACTCTAAGCAATTCCCTATTGCGGTCGGGAAATAAAATAGACTCGACTACGTACAACAAAGTACACTACGGGAACTGGGACCTACGGCTAACTGGACGGACGGACGGACTCTTTCTATACTCCGCCATACCGAGCCAAATACCGATCCCATACCCGAAGTAGGCGGCAAACGCGGGCGTACCGGACGCACGCCCCGCCAGCCCAGCAACGTGGTTAGTTTGAGCTGTTGTTCACCACCCGCCGGCGCACATATTTTTTTGTCGCTGGACATAGGGAAGAGACAGGGAAGAGACAGGGAAGAGACAGGGAAGAGATAGGGAAGAGACAGGGAAGAGACAGGGAAGAGATAGGGAAGAGATCGAGAAAAGAGGGAGAGAAACAGACTCGACAGGGCAACGAAAGGAGATATTGCCCTTCTTTTGACCGAGATTGAACCCTTTGCCAACCCTCTCACCTCCCTTATTCTCCTTGACCCTTCCAATCCTCCCAACCTGCCAACTTATCGTCTGGACCCCGCTAAAACGTCTCCAGCACGATTACGCGATTGGCGTTTCCTCCTCCCATCCCTCGCCCGCTACCAAAGTCTTTCCCACTCCTAGTCTAATCGACAAGTCGCTTTCCCATCAAAACAAAACAGCCAACTCCCAAAACCCACCGCCACCTCCCAAAACCTAATAATAATACCCCTCGACACGCCGCAGACAGACTTAATCCCAGCCATAACAAGTCGCAGCAGCCATGGCGGAATTCGTTCGCGCGTCCATCTTTGGCACGCAGTTTGAGATCGTAAGCTCGCTCCTCCCCTCTACCTCTACTTCCAAGCGCATGTGGCAACACGCTAATCTGTTTTGTGATAAGACTTCAAGGTATGCGGGGTCGATGAAACCCGGCCACGAGGGGGCGAAAATGAACAACGAACGGAGCGGATTGATAACACCCACGCAGGTATTCGGATCTCCAGCCGGTTGGCATGGGAGCATTTGGCCTCGTATGGTATGCTTATCCAAAAAAAACCCGATCATTGCGCAGGATGGAGGTATTAATTGCGACTCTAGCTCGGCCAAGGATCAGCTCACAGGACAACATGTTGCGATCAAGAAGATTATGAAGCCCTTCAGCACTCCGGTCTTGTCGAAGCGGACTTACCGTGAGCTGAAGCTGCTGAAGCATCTCAAGCATGAGAATGTGCGAACCCACTGCTTACCCTGGCTAGAAAAGGCAAGGCTCTAACAACACCTAGGTCATTTCCCTCAGCGACATCTTCATTTCCCCGCTCGAGGACATGTACGTCCAGAGCCCCTTCCTCCCCCCCCCCAGCCTTACAAGACAACCCTAACAACCTCCCCAGCTACTTCGTCACCGAGCTCCTCGGCACCGACTTGCACCGCCTCCTCACGTCCCGCCCCCTCGAAAAACAATTCATCCAATATTTCCTCTACCAAATCCTCCGTGGTCTCAAATACGTCCACTCCGCCGGCGTCGTCCACCGCGACCTCAAGCCCTCCAACATCCTGGTAAACGAGAACTGCGATCTCAAGATCTGCGACTTCGGGCTCGCGCGCATCCAAGACCCGCAGATGACGGGATACGTGTCGACGCGGTACTATCGCGCGCCGGAGATCATGCTGACGTGGCAGAAGTACGACGTGGAGGTAGATATCTGGAGCGCGGGGTGCATCTTTGCGGAGATGTTGGAGGGGAAGCCGTTGTTTCCGGGGAAGGATCATGTTAATCAGTTTTCGATTATTACGGAGCTGTTGGGGACGCCGCCGGACGACGTTATTCATACAATTGCGAGCGAGAATGTGAGTTTAGGCGGGACTGTGGCTGGCCCTCTGTTCGCATTGCTAACTTGGTTTTTTTAAGACCCTGCGATTTGTTCAATCCCTCCCTAAGCGCGAAAGAAAGCCATTAATAGACAAATTCAAGAACGCCGGTCCTGAAGGTACGTCCTCTCCCCCCCTCCCCCCCCAACAATCCTAGTTGTAAGCTCTTATCTAACACCCCCCCAGCCGTCGACCTCCTCGAGCAAATGCTCGTCTTCGACCCCCGCAAGCGCGTCAAGGCCACCGACGCCCTAGCACACGAGTACCTCTCCCCTTACCACGACCCCACCGACGAGCCGGCAGCGGAGGAGAAGTTCGATTGGTCGTTTAACGATGCGGATTTGCCGGTGGATACTTGGAAGATTATGATGTACTCCGAGATCCTCGACTACCACAACGTGGACGACGCAGGCGGCGACCCGGAGGTGAAGATGGATGAGCAGATACCGATTTAGGCACCCACCCACCTTAGCGGAGTCGGGGGTCGGTCGCGGTGTCGGAGAAAGGCAAGGAGTTCATATCAGCGGGTGAGAGGGTGGTGGGGGAGGGGGGGCGTGATAATCTTCTAGACCAAAGTAATTGCGGATCTAAAAGAGATATCTACCCTCCAATATGAGGAAGCCGAACGAAATGGGCCTGCGGGAGTGCCTGGTAGATGTGTGCAGGGGCAGTAAGAGTGAGCGGGAGAAAAGGGAGTGGGCATAGTACGCGTTTTTTATTTTGTATAAGGACGGATTTATTTTTGGTCCTATAGACGCGCACAGAACACAGAACACATTCATACGTTTATTTTTTATTCTATAAAGGGATATATATAGTAAAGAAGGGACATACACATCATTACCATCACCACCACTATCAATCTTTTTTGGACGTGTAAATACAGAAGGGATTGGGATGGGTGTTCATTTGTGGAGCTTGTAAGATGGGGTAGGGGTGTGAATGCATCGTATGATACCCCTCCCCACACAAAACCTCCATAACCCTCCCGGGCCACGACCCATCCATCACAGCATATAAAATCCCCAAAACTCATTGCACAGAAAATAGTTAACTGATTCCCCATTTTTCTATATCTTGAGGTTGCTTGCAGACAGCCCTCTGCCCCTCCACCCTTGTAGTTAAAAAACCTGTCTCACCTCCCCTCCCGCGGTATCATCCGATCTAATTACGCGCGTTAAGCAGCAGCATACACCTTCTCTTCCCCTGCCCCTGCCCCAACTGCCAATATCCCGCCCAAATTCTCCTCTCTCCGCAGTTTGACGAAGTATCCAGCTCCGAGCACCGCCTCTCGGTATCTGCGCCCCTGCCCCCGTCTCGGGATGGACGCCATGCTGTCAATTCACAAGTCGTGTTTGTGTGTAGATAGGTAAGTAGAGTAGATACGCACCACGCCCCGATAGCGCAGTGGTGGTGGTTCATGATTTCGGGTAGGAGGGGAGTTCGTGAAGCTTGTCGGGAAGGGATTAAGCAAGATATCCCAACTCGTCATCATCGAGACGCTCGAGGTACTCCTTCTCGAGGAGGATCTCGATGCACTTCTTGATATCCGGGATATTGGGGACGAAGCGCGATTTGATCTGGTCGATGGTGTCGCTGACGAGGAGTCTGTGCTTCATCTTCTTACGGGACTTCATGATGCGGACGATTGCGGACTAAAAAGGGGGTTTGTTAGCTTTCATTTAATTTCGGCAGGGGATGGATGGGGGAATCAGTAGGGGGACTAACCTGCATGAGCAGCTTCCTGTCCTCCTCAATAGTCTTGTGCGTATCCTCCGCCTCCTGTTTCTGCTCCGACTTGACCTGGATGTTGAGGTTGATACGGATCTTCTTATTCTTGAAGTCGTAGTTTAGGGAGAACTTGGTGTCGGGGGTGTAATTTGGTCCCTCGGGGGACTGGAGGAGGACCTTGGCGCGGACAAAGATGGCCATCTGCGGGTCGAGGACCTCTTGGCTCAGTTGCGTCGCCTTCATGATCTCGTCGTACGTGTTGACGTCGCGCTCGTTGAAGAGGAGGAGAATGGCGATTTGGTATGTCGATACCTGGAACGTATACGGGATCTTGCTCGTCTTGGTGTAGTTTGCCTTCACCTCGCCCTTTCCAAGCTGCCACAGCCATGTTAACTTGCGGCCGCTGTGCTTCTGGTTGTAGAACTTCTGGAAGCGCTCGTATGCCTTTACAATCTCCGGCGGCGGCGAGAATGATGTGGTTGGTGCGTTCAGTGGCCAGAATCCCGTGCCTAGAATCGAGTATGTGGCGTCAATGACACCCGTCGCATCGTCGCTCTCAACCAGTTTGGCCTCAAACGCCTTGTATCCGCTATTTAAATCCTTCGAGATCTGCATGTCCTGGAACATGCGCTGGAGCTTATTCGTGTATTCGAACCCGCAAGCTTCTTTTAACTTGCTGATCATGCTCGTCTCGGCATCGTCTGATGACGAGGTGGTTTGGACTAACCGCCGCGCAAGCATGCGAGAATAGAACTTTTGGAATACATCCTTGTCCTCGATGTACTTGAAAACCGTCATGATCTGTGTCAAGGTCTCCTCAAGGTCGCTTTCTTCGGCGCTACTGGAGCTCTTCCTTAGTAATGTGTCGGTATATTTTGCTAGGAGCTCCGGGGACTTGTTTGTGCCAGACTTGCACACAGAGTTCCGGTTCACAAACTCTCTGCACGCATTGTCCAACGAGCGTGTGAACTCGGGCTCGTCCTTGAAAGCCTTCTTGACAAGTGCTTGGTACTGTGTGTGGATTTCCAGTAAGGCGTCCACGTAAATCTTCGGCTCCATTTTGTCCGCATCTGCTGCAACCTTTGAAATGGCTGCAAGACCTGCTTTCCGCACATGTGCCTCGAATCTGATCCTTAACGGATCAAGACCATCTGGTATCCTTGCGAGAAGGTTATACATGCGTTGCATATCTTCCACTCGATCATCGTCCAGAAGCGATTGGAACTCGTCTCGAAGGACAGCGGAGTGGTCGCCAATCAGGGCAGTATTGCAGACCTTACGTAAAGCCGCGATGATGTCGGGATGCAGATACATCTTCACCCGCTCCTCTTCTTCATCCAGCCGGATCTCGGCCTTCTTCATATACTCGACAATGCTGTTTTCGGCCACAAACTGTTTCGACTCCTTCTGGTAGAATTCCATGGTTGCCTCTAGGAATGGCTTCTCAAACCTGAACCTGTAAACATCCAGAGTTCCCTTGGTTGAGTCTGCCTCGTCCAGGCCCAATGAGACAAAAGAGTCGACTATGCTCTTTATCTGACTGTGCTCAATGGTTTCTCCATTGCGTTGTTTCTCTACCATCTTCAACACTGCTGCCATTACCTTCTTGTGGACTGCCTCAAACAGATATGCGCGCCATTGTACCAAGTGCAACGTATAAACGTCATAAACATCCTTCTTCCCCTCGTCCATTTCTCGCTTCACCCAATGCCGGTTGAGATATCGGAAGAGATGGTTAATGTATTTTGCTGCCGTCGTGTACCGGTCCCATTCCCGAATGTAAAAGGTAAGAAGGGCTTCGTCAACGTGCTTTTGGGACTCGGCAATCAGGCTTTCCAGATAATGGACGAGATATTTCTTGAGATTTTTGTATAGTTCCTCGCCGAGAAGGTGGGCTGACATCCGTTAGCTGAAGAAAACACTCGTCGTCGAAATGCTTACCGCCACGATGCGCACCACCTATAACACCGGTGGTTGTGGAGCTGATAGCTTTTTGAGATGTACAGAAGTTATGAACAGCCCTGCTATAGTCAGTATGTGCCCACTTCGTACGGATCTGCTGTTCTCACGTATAAACACCCATGTACTGTCCAAAAAGTCAGTGCGTTCCGGGCCAGACCTGGATGCTTACTTACAGTATTCATGTCGATACCGCTTTGCAGGTCAATCATTATCTTGGATATGCCAGCCTCGAGATATGCCCATCTTTGGAACAAATCCGCGTCAGTAATGCTGCGCCCACAGTGTCTACCAAATTTACTCACGTTGCATGCAAATCCTCTCTATTGGGCATAGGCGGCATCAGCAAACTTCGTGTTGCAACCGACATATTGCCGGATATCGAATGAACGTGGCAGCGTGCCTTTCGGAAATGTGAGGTTGACGACAAGATATGGTGGCCCACTCCCCTCTATTATTACAGGCTGGTTCGAACCAGACACGTTGCAGGAGAGGCTTCTCGATTCTTCTTGTGAAATGCAGACTCGGGCTGTATTACTCGTGGTCGTCGAGGGGTGTAATGAATGCCCTGATGGCCTATATGAACGAGCTTGTCAATGACGTTTCATGGGTAAAAAGCGCACCTGGGTGTTCTTTGCAATAGAAGCGTTAAAATAAAAGCGAGTGAACTCAAGTAAACTTACAAATTCTGTAAAGACTTTATCTCGAGGGTATAGACCGAGTTCTGTTGGAAATGATATGTCAGAATAGCCCCAGTCACTCAAGTACTCAAGTGCAAGGCGGCGGCGGCTGTCAGGCAGCCGCAAGGTTCCCGCTCCGCTTAGGCGCGCGGGCTTTGGCATCCAAGTGAGATGTGCAAGGACCCACTTACATCAGTCTCAACGTGAGAATCGCATTTTTATTGAAACAACCTCAGATTGAACATTGAATTTTTAATTTCATTCCCATAATACTCATTGGACTTTGAATTGTCTATTCCCCATTTCAGCGAGGTTGGCGAAACCAGGAGCAGGCTCCTTTCGTCCTTGCCGCGATTATTAGCTGTTGTTATCTACCTAGGACGCCATAAGTTGCCCAAGAAGGACATCACCTTCCCTCACACCATGGTGCAGAGCGATGCTGAAAGGGGCTCGGGCTCGGACCCTAATGTATTCCCCTGGCACCTGGGAGTCTTTGACGCTCACTGCCACCCTACCGATACGATGAGCTCCATCGACACTATTCCTCATATGAAAGCAAATGTTCTGACAGTAATGGCCACAAGAGCACAAGACCAAGAGCTCGTGGCCAAAATTTCTGACATATATTGTGTCGACCTGGAAAGTTTCAAGCAGCATGGAAAGATTATCGGGCGTGTTATTCCGTGCTTTGGTTGGCACCCGTGGTTCTCCCATCAAATGTATGATGACGTTAGCAATGCTTCCGTGCCCACGGATCTGATCCAAAGAAAGGTCCAACACTATCAATCCGCTTTATTACCAGCCCCTGAAGATTTGAATTATATTGCGTCTCTTCCCGAACCATTTTCGCTGTCCAAGTTCCTCGGAGAGATGAGAGCATACTTGGAAGCGTATCCCCTAGCACTTGTGGGAGAGATAGGTTTAGACAAGTCATTTAGGATCCCAGAAGAGTGGGAATCTGAGCTCGAGAAGTCCAGAGATATGGAAATCACTCCTGGGGGAAGAGAAGGCCGTCGCCTTACTCAATATCGAGTAAACATGGTGCATCAGAAGCAGATCTTACTGGCGCAGCTCAGATTAGCAGGCGAGCTTCAGAGGGCAGTGTCTGTTCACGGAGTTGGGGGACATGGTTTTCTTTATAACACTCTTGAAGAAACATGGAAAGGTCATGAAAACAAGGTCGTCAGCAAACGAAAGAAAAAGCTCACAAAGGGTCTTGAGTTCTTACCAAGCGAAGAGGAGGACGAGATCCAACCGGACGCTCAAACCTCGAAGCCATTTCCCCCACGAATATGCTTGCATTCATATTCTGGTAGCCCACAGCCTCTGAAGCAATACTTTCATCCTTCTGTGCCTACTGCGGTTTACTTTTCATTCTCCTCGGCCATAAATATGGCATCGGCGGGCTCAGAAAAGGCAATTGAGGTCATTAAGCAAGTCCCAGATGACCGAATACTTCTTGAAAGTGACCTCCATACTGCTGGCGATGAAATGGACAGGAGGCTTGAGGAGATGGCCCGGAAGATATGCAGTATCAAGGGCTGGAGCTTAGAAGATGGCGTTAGGCGGCTTGGGGAAAATTGGCGTCGTTTTGTCTTTTCTTGAGATATCACAGTACACCAAAACCATTGATCTCTATACATTGAAATACATATGATATTTAACCCTTTCTGTGCTGGAACTTTCCTCCACAGCTATTCAGAGTAGGCGATTTTTGGCCTTTTTTTCGTTCTGAAGTATTTTTCTCCTCATCGTCGACTATTGCTACCAGCATAACAAGGAGTGATCCTACATACGAGCCCGATAGGACGGTGCTATTACGAAGGGATTATTCTCTTGGTAAGTTCCAGCTTTCTCATGTCCAATGCATAACCATCATTCTATTCAATACATACTTTGCCATTTCTCCCGCAGGGTATTATCGGCTCAAATGAAAAAACGTCTATATCACGATGCTGATTTCTGTTGGACCTGCCCGGCAGACTGAGAGACCGAGAGGCTTTCTTATTCTTGCATAAATTCCTGTCACCGTTCCGAATTCCTTCTTCCTTCCTACACAACAACAACAACAACAACAACAATAACAGAACACAACAGCAACAATACTTCGACACTCAACACAGAACTACTCGACAGCAAGAAGTACAACTGCACTCAACTGCAAGGAACCCTCGAACCACCGCGTTCACTGCAAGCTACCATACGAGTAAGTACAGGCTTCACTTATAGTATTGACTATGTTCGATTTCCTTCGATATCATTTACGTTGCAAAATTTCCTGCCCATCGCTTTATAAAAACCCTCCAGGTGGCACAAGAGTTTCAAGCAGAATGTCAAAACACCAGTGCCATCAGCTTTCGCCATTTCCCGAGTATCGTGCCAGTCGAGTCTCATATTCAGGGTGCTGATCCAGAAGTGAAATCAACTTGTTATTGGGCTTCAAACCTCGAGTTTTGACTCTTCTCTTTGTACAAACTCACCTCATATTCAATTTCCTTTGGCATGTTGATTTTCTGCCACTTTATGTCTCTTCTTGCGCATCTTTCGGCGTTGGATAAAAGCACCCATGATCCGCATGAGCTTTGTCGTCATTCAGAGCTTAGCTCTGATGCCCCGATTCGTTCATTCAGCAGCTTCGATTTTCACAGCCGTCTCTGTTTACATTGCTTTGTGGCAGACTCCGAGCCAAAGACTGACAGGTGATTCAGCCACGATGTCGATCAACAACGGGAGTCATTTTGTCGCCGACGACAACAACCTGAGTAATATCTTTGATGGTAAGAAGCTAATTCCACTCTTATATATCTACCTCTGATGTGATGCTAATGGCGTTTTAGATCAACTTCACATGAGCTACCAAGGAGCCATGAATCACGCATCTCTTGGGAATCAATATGGCAATCAGACCGGCCTGTCAGGTGCAATGAACGGAATTTCTCTCCCAGAAAATGCATATGAAGGGCAAGCTTCCGAGGCTCGCCACGTTTCTTTTGGCCAAGGTGGTGGACTTGGGTTCAATCCCTACATGCGCCAACAAATTGCTGAGGAGCCACTTCAAAGCTATACGCCAACGCCGGCTCCAATGGTTGACAACAACCCCCTCCAGCATTCTTATCCCACCGCATATTCTCAAAACCAAATCTTTCAACCAAGACAAAACGGTATGAACCGTGGTCTTCGTTCGCTTCCTTCGCCATCTGAAATGGGGATGCGATCTCGCACTGGCAGGGGCGTTTTGCCGCCAAGACTCTCTGAACCAAGCATGGGATTTGGTTTCAATAACTTCAGTACTGGCAGTGGAGATATGGCCTCTTACAATCCTCAAGTCCCTACTCCCATGCACGCATTTGGCAACGGCTATTCCGGAACAACCAATACGGCTCAGGCGCGCGATATGAGAAGCGGGTTTCGCAGAAGCCTATTGAATATTATAGAGCCCCGGTATGATAACCAGAATGGCTTTGCGCAGCATCTTGATATGCAATCCAACAATTCCGCGAATATGGCTCCGAACATGGGCCACCCCGGAAGTGTTTTTCAGCCCCAACCTGAAGCTGAAGGTTGGACCAGAGATCAGATCAACAAACAAGGAGATGCTCTTTCTTCTGAGAATGCACAAAGGCAGTCTCCGGTACTGGCGGATCATGAAGCTGATGCGCCGGATGGTAGCGATACGAGCGAGGACTCCGATGGCACAGTCTGCTCACCGTCTGATCAAGACTTGCCGTCCGGTCAAGAGTTATCGACTGTTCAAGGCTCAGCGGCTAGTCAAGAGTCATCAATTGTTCAAGACTCAACGACTGTTGAAGGTTCAACGACCGCTCAAAGCACGGAAGATGTGGCTGGTGATGACCGCACATCACATTCAGGGATGCGAGGATCTCATGGCGAACCGATGTCCAGCAGGCAATTCAAGGGACATTTCGATCGCGCGGCGCACCGAGCTGGAAGTTATCAGCAGAAAGTGGGGAAACCCCTGGGAAGGAGATCAAAGGGGGCAAACGATCCCGAAAATATCGCGATTGTCAATTGGTATGATAACTACAACATGTCATTCGTCGACATTGCACAGCGGTTAAACAGCAGGCAAGAGGCGACTGGTAAGCCAGGAACCTTCACACCGAACTCCATTCACAATAGATACAACCGCTGTGCGCCGATTATCTATCGGGCTAATGGAAGAGTGTTTATTGCAATCAAAGACCGGAGGAAGCACGCGCCGGAGGAGCTGGACGCCATGAGTTATGGCCTGCAGTCCATTGAGTGGACGCCGAACAAGGACCGCTTTCTCAGGAATATGGTCCAGGAGTACGATGCTAACAAGTGGCTAAGGGTCGCTGAGGCATTCACTGCATTGACGGGGGAGAGGGTGAGCTCAGGCGCCGTTTCTACTAGGTTTAGCTTGATATGATGTGCCCTTGTTGTCGGGTTTGGGTCATTAGCCACTTTGTATTGTCGCTCGCTGATTTCTACGTTTGCTTGCTTTATTCACTCTTGCTACTCTCTACCTTTGGCGATGGAGCCTTTTAGACCTATGGATATCGCTGTTGCTTGTCGTTGCCTCTGTCGTTTGGTTATTTCATAGATAGTGCAACAGCTAGGAATTCTAGAGCTGGTGCCGCCGAGCAGAGCATGTACATGTAAATATCCAGAATTCGTTCTGAAGAAGAAAATGATATAAATTGCTATGAAAATGCCTGATACACCACCGTGAGTATAAAAAAGTAGTTACTGTAACAGATGACCTGGAGTCTCAAAGTGTGGCCAACGAGAGTAGATAGCTGGAGGAATAAACCCATTTCACAAATGCCAACATGCATGTGCTATCTATTAAATATATTTAATATATCCGAAGGCGTCGAAGTAATGTCAGCACCACATGGGTAACGGACTGTATTGAAGTTGAGAAACCCCGTGCACCTTCGTCGAAGGTGCACGGACCCTTTTCTGAGATAAAGACTTGGATCCTTTATCGTGCTGGAAATAAACATGGCTGCTTGACTACACGACGAAGAAAAGGAGCAGCCAAAAGTAATGCCATGCTGCGAGCTTCGAGGGGTCTCGCTACAGGGACACTGTCGAAGTTTCAATATCGCATTTCATTTCTCAAACGATGCCTTGCTACGGCAGCGTCATCGTCCGCAGATGCACTCGAGCCAGTGATTAACCCCCCATCAGGGATCCGTTTGCGCCAGTATCAGGAGGAATGCATACAATCTGTCCTCTCGTACCTTGACAGAGGCCATAAGAGGCTGGGAATCTCACTGGCTACTGGCAGTGGAAAGACGGTAAGGATGATCTGAGCGAGTTGTTGGGAGGCTACTTACTGACTTTTGATCCAAGGTCATCTTTACCCAACTTATCGATCGCGTTAAGCCTCTGCCATGCGGTGCGGACCAGACTCTCATCCTGGCTCATCGCCAGGAACTCGTCGAACAAGCAGCGAAGCACTGTATTAATGCATACCCGACAAAGAGCGTCGACGTTGAAATGGGCAGCATCCATGCGAGTGGCGTGGCAGACATCACCATCGCAAGCGTGCAAAGTATTATATCCAAGAGCCGCATTCAGAAATTCAACCCAAACCGCTTCAAGCTGATATTGGTGGATGAGGCCCATCATATCGTAGCCCCAGGATATTTGAAGACCCTCGCTTACTTTGGACTCTCGAAGGCGAAGGTAGACGGCCCAGCTTTGGTGGGTGTCTCTGCAACTCTTTCTCGATTCGATGGGTTACGGCTAGGCGCTGCCATAGATCAAATTGTATATCATAAGGATTATATCGACATGATTGGCGAAAAATGGCTGTCGGACGTCATTTTTACTACAGTTGAGTCAACAGCAGACATCTCCAAAGTGAAGAAGGGGACAACAGGGGATTTCCAAACTAGAGAGCTCTCTCGCGCCGTCAACACGGGTCAGATCAACGAAATCACAGTCCGTACATGGCTAGCGAAAGCACAGGAGAGGAAGTCAACGCTGGTCTTCTGTGTGGACCTAGCCCACATCGCGGGTCTGACAAAAGCATTTCGAGACCGAGGGGTCGACGCTCGATTCGTCACGGGAGATACCCCGAAAATTGCGAGAAGCGAAACGCTCGATGCATTTCGCGCTGGCGAGTTTCCAGTGCTGATCAACTGCGGTGTCTTCACAGAAGGAACAGACGTGCCTAACATCGATTGTGTCCTTCTTGCGCGTCCAACAAAGTCTCGAAATCTTCTCGTCCAGATGATTGGTCGAGGGATGAGGCTCTTTCCAGGAAAGGAGAACTGCCATATTATTGATATGGTGGCCAGTCTTGAGACTGGTATTATATCGACACCGACACTATTTGGGATGGACCCATCAGAACTTGTCACCGAAGCCACAGTAGACGATATGAAGGAGATCAAGGAGGCGAGAATGAGCCAGGCGCCCATAGACGCCGCGTTTCAGACCATCACGCCGGACACCACGCACCCCATCAAGGTCATATTTACAGATTATGATTCGGTTTTTGACCTCATCGAGGATTCCTCGGCTGAGCGGCATATCCGCGCCATTAGCCGGCATTCCTGGGTAGAGGTTTCTGACCGCAAGTATATCCTCACCACCCCGAGTGGCAAATACTTAAAAATCGAACTCAATACCGAAGAAAAGGATGCTGATCCCACCTTTGTCGTCTCCGAGATCGTTCCATACACTGGTCCCCTCAAGAAGCAGCCATACAAGCCTCCACGTGAGATAGCACGGCATACAGGGTTCGAGGATGCAGTCCATGCTGCGGACACCTTCGCATCTCTCAGATACCCGAAGCCCTTTATTGTTACGACACAAAGGTGGAGAGAGAAGCCAGCAACTGAAGGACAGTTGATGTTCTTGAATCGGTTCCGCCTTCAAAGTGACCCTTTGACTCCGGATATGATAAATAAAGGGAAGGCGGGGGACATGATTACGAAAGTTAAACATGGTGCCAGGGGCCGCTTTGCGAAGGTGGAAACTACGAGGAGAAAACTTGGGAGACAGGCTTTAAAGTTGGAACAGGAGGAGGAGTTGAAGAGGAGAGAGAATGTAAGTGTAGGGCCGCTGTTGGATTAAGGCTTCATTGTATGTTTACTGGGTTCTTGTATAATATGGGATGTGGCGTTCTGGATAGTTTGTACGATACTCCTGGATTATCAATATCGCGGCAATGGGACAATGGTGATCACCGTGGCGATAGACGGCCATTGTTGTAATTAGGTACAGTTATAATCGTGTACAACAAATTCAAATGGTTGCTGTAAAGAAGTGCGGTACAATGGCATTGCTTACCTTCTAGAATTCATCAAAAAATGTATTCACCTCTTTGTACTGCAATAAGCGGCCACTATACTATTACATCTCCATGTTAATATACTACAACTACTCTTACACCATCCTCGAACCCAAGCTTGTTCAATATCCGCCTGGCAATGTAGACCTAGTTGCCCTCCACTCCTTCCTGGCCAGCAAATACCCAACACCGCGGAAGGAAGGATCGTGATCAGAGTCAAGCCAGGAATTAGCCCATACTCGCGTCAACATACATCAACCATAGAATCTAAAATGTTCCAGGATGTCTCAAGCACCATTCCCTTCTGCCAGCCTCCTGACAGAAGGTCTCCTCGAGCAGCGATTGAAAACCGGGAAGATTTCCGAAGCTCCTACTGACGACGAGAGCATACAAGATCAAGATGATGTGAAGCCCGAAACGGCCATCAATATGCAGTCCAACCTTCCGTGCTCTCAGACAGAAGCGATTGTCATAGAAGACACACCTCCCACCGGCGCCGCCGATACCAGTGGTGATACTGGGCCTGCGCCACTGGATATTACTAGTGAAACAAAACTACCAGAACCGCCAGCATCGACTGAGAGCAGTACACCAAAAGCTATAGATATCCCTCGTCCATCTCACAAAAGTGATGAGTGGGCAACGATCGATACAGACGGCACAGATGACGCGACGCTGAACTGGCTAGAGAAAGAGATAGCAAAGCAAGACTTGGAGAAGGACACGACCAGGTCCAAGAAAGCCTCCGTGCTGAAGCAGAAACATGGCACCTGGCCACTATTACCTGGCGAGAAAGAGAGGTCGCCCCGAAAGTTTATTTATTCAGAGCCAGATCGTAATGTGGTCGTTCACCGAGGATTCGGTGATTTTGCATTGCCCCGATCCGCCGCCCTTGACGAGAAGCGCACAGCTTTCCCTCCTCTCTCAAACGAATCTTATGATCTGACAACGTATGGCCTCGACCCGAAAGTCCAAAAACTCTTGAAAAAGATTGTGGTGGGTGAGAATATTGCCGTAGTCGCACCAGAAGACCCCACAGGGTCAGATGACGAGTCGCACACATTAGATGGGAACGTATCCGGTATGTTAAAACGATCCAACATGGAATAGAACACAAACTCTTAGCGTGGTAGGATTTGGACTAATCAAAAAGATAGGCCCTTCGAGTGTCCATTCAAATGGCGTGGTTACAGAGAGTGTTGTCTCGAATGGTGCTGCTGCAGAGAGCGTTGTCCCGAATGATAATCTCGAGTTCTGCACCAAGTGCCAGAAGCGACATATCAAACCGGGCTCCCCAACAACCTTGGATGATCGTGATACCTGCCTCTCCATGCTACCCGATTGGTTTCCAAAGGAAAGATATGAGAAGCCATGGACTGTCTTCACCGACCTAATTAATGGATATGTCCGAGCCAGTCAAATGTTGGAGGGCAAGGAAGAAAATCCGGAAACCAAGGTGCCTTGGAACAAGGAGTATCATGACCCATCACCTGAGTGGAAGGAAGTTGGACGGTTTGGGGGTTGGTGGAAGTGTAGGATAGAAGATGAAGAAGGCGAAGAAGGCGAATCTGACGTCCCAGCCATTGAGAGAAAATGCCGGTTGTGCCACAGACGGAAGGCGGAAAATGATAGGTTGGCAGCAAAGAAAGTCGAGACTCTTATGGAGAAGAAGCAGTCCATAGAGGATTGGATCAACAAGCATATGAAGCAAGAGATGGTGAAGGATAGAGCATACGTGAAAGCTCGGTTGGCGACGGAAGGATTTTGACTGGTATCATCTGCTAAGAGCCTGGCTATCAACGAAGCATGGAACGCTGGGTATTTGCTGAGAGTCGAATAGTTCTGGTATGCAATCAAGCTGTGACGAGGTGACCATCTCTTTCACGCGTCAAGTACAGTTGTAAGTTGACAAGAGCCATTCACCGTTCCGTTTCCATATTTTCACCCTTGAAAGTGAGATGAATTTCTTCTTCGTTCAAATTGCCGCCCTTATATCGGATTCCAACACCAACCCCAGTAAGACCTTCTTCATTGGCCCTGTTGTTCCACAACATCTGGACGAGCGTCCCTTCACCCGTACACGTGATCACTCCCATAGGCCACCGGCTCCTAGCTAAGGCCTCCCTCATGCCCTTTGTAGCCGGCTTTTGGCTGACTAGCAGTCCAATAACTCCATTTCCCTGCCATCCGGATGGGGCTCCTGCGAAGGCACCCTCAAGCTCTCTCACAAAATTTGGTCCAGATTTTTTTGCCAGGGCCTTGCATTGCACCAACACCCTTAAGTTTAAAGAAACCGCGGGCAGTTTCCAGTCGCCTAGAAGATCAATCCCATAATCTGAAGCCCCTCCAGTCTGCTGGAGAGAGAACCCAAGTCGCTTCAGGACCTCCTGGACAGTGTATTCATAGTGGGTGCCAACAAAAACGGTACTTTTGGCATCAAGCCCCGAACGTGAGGCGTAAGCTAAATAAGTTTCTAAGTCATGGTGATTGGCGTTCAATCTATCTGGATATACAATCTCCTTTTCTGTATATTCTCTTGGCTGCTCTTTTGGCTTTTCCGCCGCTGTTGAGTAACTATATTTTGAGATCCGAAATAAGCAAGACCGATGTTGTCGATATAACGGTTGCAAGCGCATCATAAAGCTGGCCGGGTACAAAGGCAGCTAATAAGGAAAACAACAACTCTCCAACAAGAGTTCAGAAGCGAGACCTTACAAGGCACGATATTTGGTTTGAATGTGGTAGTCAAAGGGGCCCAAAAAGGAGGCTCCAGCTATCATGCAAGGCTACCAACGAAGTTGCAATCGACGTTACTCTAATCCCCAGAACGGCTAGCTTCGTACCAGGAACCACACTCTATCGCAGCCTCACCATCGATCGAACGACCACCGACCAGCTCATAATCGATTTACCAAAGGGCTTTGTGCTCACCCGGAGCAAAGATGGCTGATCGATTGACACAATTACAAGATGCTGTCGACCAGGTACGGCGCCTTTCTTTTGACACGATTAACCCCGCTAACCCTGGCAGCTGGCACATCAATTTGTTGCCTCTATATATTACGTTCACAGGCACCACGAACTCACGCCTGTCAACCCCACAGACATGCCAAGGGAGGGACCTATGGATTCTGATGGAAGTCAGTCGCCCCATTTCCTGCTTCTACAATTAACCAAGCTTTGGCAGTACATAATGACTAACTGGCCACAGTTGAACCATATCCGACAGGGCAGTTCCTTGACGGCCAGCGCGAGCTCGCAAAGGACCTCATTGTCAGAGAGCAGCAAATCGAGCTCTTGATATCGGCGCTACCGGGGCTGGAGCATAGTGAGCAGAATCAACAGGAACGCATAAAGGCCTTGGAAGAGGAACTGGAGAAGGAGGAGCAGAAGAGGCACGCTGCTGTGAAAGAGAAGGATGTCCTACTGGCAAAGCTGGACGAGGTGATACGCAGCGTGAGACGACCCTAAAATGCGGAATCTACACGGCATATTTGGGATAGGCTCTATCAATGGCGTTTGGGATACCCCGGTTTGAATCATAGCTATAATTCAACGGTCTTGGACAATCATAGTGACTCAAAAGGCTCATCCATGGCACCGAATATTGACTATAAATATTTCTATCAGGCATTACAACAGCGATTCTGCCTATGAATGCATCTAAAGCCATCATCAGATTCCTTGGGGCCATCTGGGCTTCTTCTAATTATCCTCCTTGAAAAATTGGGGGAATATTCCCCGAAGCTCTTCTAAATTCGCAACCTGATACTTGCACACCTGCTGCGGCGGGGAAGTGACGCTCGGTTCAACAAGATGAACAGTCGTCCAGCCCAGTCGTTGGGCTTCTCGACAATTCAGTGCCGAGTCGTCTATAAACCTTCAGTTAGGTCTTCACCAAACAAAGAAAGAAAACTAACCAACAAAATAACACTTATGCATGTCACTGACGCCAGCTTCTCTCATTGCTTTTTGGAACATTTCTTCCGCCGGTTTGCAAATCAAGGGCCGAGCAGCATAGTCACAATACGTCAGCCCCTCGAACAGATCGTCAACTCCAAGAATCTTCACAACCCTTTTGCCGTGGTTGACATAGGCATTAGTAAACAGCCAGAGTTTCACCTTCGTCGTGTCGATGCTTTGAAGGAGCTTCCGCAGTTGTGGTTCTGGAGACAGGATTTTTTCAAGTGGCAGGGCATCGTCCACCTTCTCGTTGTACTCCAGAGGATCAATCTCGTGATTGCGCACCAACCCTTCGATTGCTAGACCGTACGTCGTGTAATACTCTTGGTGAAGCCTGTATGCTTCCGCACGGTCCAGTGAAAGGTGTTTCATGAAATAGTCGTCTATCAATTCAGACATGTGATCATGGACATTCTTGTCTGCGAAGAACGGTTAGCAACGTGCTTTTCTTATGTATGATACATACTAACTCTTTGAATAAAGCTGAGACAATGGTTAGCAAAGGACTGGCATCTAATAACGAAAGACTTACACAGTTGTCAATATCAAAAAAGAACACCGGCCTTGCGTCTTCTTCCGCCATTGCTATAAAGTGCCGATGGCAGCAAATACTACTGTGATAACTCTTGCTGCACACAAAATACTATAATAGATACGGTTTTTGTCAATAAATATTCCGAGAGGCGAAGTTTATGATGATATTTATACGTCTGAGCCTCGAGTATCCCAGTGACTGCATTGGGATATCGGTACTCACGTACGTACTTGGCCACAGACATCAAGGTTGGCGCTTGTCATCAGCGAATAGGAGGTCTCCGCTTACTAGCCGCAATTTGCGTCTTGGCGTGCGGCGTGCCAAGCGTAACTTAGTAACTTTGGTAGTAGCCTCTCGATCCGCAAACTCCTCGATAACGCCAAACTTTTTATTGTTTTCTCAACTCTTCACCTTTTGCAATGTGCGCTTGTCCTTGCTTTACCTTATCTTAGCCATTTGGCCATTATGTTTGTATTAGTTTGCTTTACATAAACGAATCTTAATCTTTCGAGAAAATCGAATGGCTCAAGGGGCCATAACAATGGCTCCATCAGTCGGCGCGGCAAGCTTGACAAGAAACGAACTGCACGAGATACAGGAATATGAAAAAATCATTCGATTTCGCGATATTGTATACTCGGGGGCACATCCTCGGATACAGATCCCGCCACACTTGGCTGGGAAGTCGTTGGTGAAGCCGTTATCTCCAAATACAGTTGTAACGCCATCAAACCAACCACCGACTCCATACTCGTCAACAGCGCCAGCTGCGAAAACATATACAGGCAGGGAAAATGGAGGTGATGGAGATAAATTGCTAGATGGGAGGCGATTAATGGCTGGGCGGCCAACAGTTGCCCTGGGAAAGTCGAACAAATCAGAGATCAATCCTATTTTGCTTGAAAAGTCGGCAGACCTCATCAAAGCAGAGATCCAGCTGCACAGGCAGCGACTCGAAAGAAGCTTGAGGGATCAAGTTGATCAACGGCGCATTTCTATGAAGGCCGCTTCTCAGACTTCCGAATCTCTCCCTGATTTCGACCTGTCAGATGTGCTTTCCAAGGCGTTCACAATTGTGCACCCTTCAATGGCTAGTGAGGCCGGGCAGTCCCAAGGCGGTCGCACGTCAGCAAGTGATTCCTTTGATGATAATACGTTTTATTCAAGCCAGCATAATACTCCAGAGCATGGAAGAAGTCCTCGCGGGCACAGAGAGTCTGGTGAGGTCTATCCAAGTGCTGTTGCTCCTCTCAATGCTCCTGATAGTGGACCATTAGTGGTTCGCTATCAAGAAGAGTCTCCAAATTTTATTTCAAAGGATGCTACCCCGTCTAATGTCGTTCCTGGATTGCACGAGCTTGCTCGTAACCAGAGCTCCGCACCACCGAACACTCCACACCCAACAAGCACTCTTGGTGCTGTTGGTGTAAACCAAAGCAATGAGCTCCTGAAAGCAGCTATTTCGAACAAGCCAGCAGCTGATATTGCCCGACCAGTCGCAGAAAAACATGACTTTGCTCTAACTCCCCACAGCAATGTATCAACGCCTCAAGGAGCGACCCCATCGCGAATTGAAGCCGATGAAAGGAACAGGATTGCTCAGGGCGGACCTGATGCTGTACCTTCACAGGTGGCAAGCGCCACTCCCCAGAAACGGCGATTATCGCTCGAGGAACCCGAAACAGTGCGAAATTTCAACCTCTCTCCCGTTGCACCTCAGCCGGCTCGTGTATCTCCACTCGCCACTGCTCGGGCACCGGTGATATCCCAAGAAGCGTTTACGTTACAGGAGGAACCAATACTCTCCCCGATGCACGAAGCAGGAGCCAGTTCAGCAACTGGCGGAATCCCTAAGACCTCTAAGCGGGCCGAACGCAGAAAGGGGAAGGGCAAAAGCGATGACACAGGTAATAACCCAGCTTCTGCGATTGCTACCCCAGCCTCTCCCCACATAAAACCCGAACCTAAATCTCCATCGCCATTCCAGTCAGCGCCATTGCCACGTCCGCACAAGAGGCAGAGGCAAACACTACAGCACGGCGCCGGGCTCGACTATGATGAGCCGACAGAGGATACCATTATGATGCATCCTGTCGTCCCTCGCACCAGAGATGCAAGACCACGGCCAGTCCAGAGAGGCGGCGAGCGACTTGGCGAAGCAATGGAAATCGATCAACCCCAGCGTCACCGAATAGCCAGAGACGAAGCGCCCGGCCGCCGAATTGTCAGCCAAGAAATATATAGAGATCCGCCATCTCCTGCAATGTATGCGGTGCCTTATCCACAATACGAACAGCGGCCCGTGAGAGCTAGTTCACGAATGGTGGCGGATACATATTATCAGGAGCCTCCTGCATACTACAGAGAGCCACCGGCCGCGCCTGGATCTGTTATCGAGTTAGATGCGAATCACGACAGGTCATTGTCCCCTATTCTTATGGCGCCTCCACCCCGAATTGCACCCTCTCGCATTATCGTCGATGAGTACGGCCGCCAGTATTACACAACTGCACCAAACCCGCCTGGACAGTCTGTCGCACCACAGCCAAGGATTATCGATGACAGTTACTACTATGATCGTCCTCCGCCCAGAAGGGCAATTCGCCGTGCGGTCCAACATGCATATGAAGACGATGGAGTCATCTACAGGCGCGCATCCCCGCAATATGTGCCGCAGCGCCGTGTTATTACGCTACCTGAGAACCTGGCAGAACCCCAGTATCGCCAGAGGGAATACTCGACAAGGCCAGTCGCTACACGGCCACCAGCTGAAGACTACGCCGCGCCTGGGGAGAGAGAGCCTATTGAAATACGCCAAAGAGAATATTCTACAAGACCACCTCCAGCCAGGCAGCCCGTTGACGACTACGTCCGGGTCGCGGAAGCACCACGGCGCCAACCAAGTCATTTCGAGGGGCCACCACCACACGAATACCTCTCACAACGCGTAGCCAGTGCCCACCCCGAAGCATTCAGACACGAGATGCACGGGGAATACATACCTCGCGCTCAAAGCATCCGGCCCCAACCCAGACAACGTGAATACGCAGGGAGTGTGCGTCCTGAAGGACGGAGGGGGGAAGTTCAATCGCAGATTATTAGGGAGTACAGCGTGAGGCCGGGAGAGCAGGAGGTTGTCAGGCGTGAGCATATGCCTCCGAGGACGATGGATGAGTACCAGCAACCGCCGCCGGGGAGACCGATGGCGCGGAGGGTGGTGGAGGAGCAGGAGTATATACCGTGGCGGCCGGGACAGCAGGAGGTGTATGGTGGTGAGGATACCCAGCGGGAAGTGATCTACAAGTAATAGTGGAGCGGCAGTAGAGAGTTAGTGGAGGCGCCACTGGCGTAGTGTATTGTAGGAGACACTGAGGGCTTGTAGTGTTATGTACAGTACTGTGGTATAGCTTTAAGAGATAACATGGAGACTTGAGAGAAAGATTATGTGTGTATGTGTGTATGTATGTATGTATGTATGTGTGTATGTATGTGTGTATGTATGTATGGAATTGTCGTAGTTTGTGGTGGTCAATGTGTTTACAAGTAGTGTAGTGTAGTGTTTACTCTAGAACATGAGGATGGGGGGATCCACAGGTGTCACTGGCTTCGGGGCCGGGTGCAGCGAGGTCTCAAACAATTGCTTCGGTGAGCCCCGCCGTATCGTGCGTGCGTACATACGTGGGATAAAGACAATGGCATGACAACACATGCTGATTGATGATCCGGACGCGCGCCATTGTTGAGAGGGAACCCCCCAAGTGAGTGATTTGAGTAGGCTGACCTAACGAACCCAAAGTTTTGGAGTGTGAAAATACCAAACTCTGGACGCCGAACCACAGTTTTCATACACGTAGATATATACTCAGCCCGTTAATGTATTGAATAGCTTGACACTGACTTGAAGGAGAAAAGAACCGGTACAGCACCGCCTTCACCGCCGTGTACACTGGTCTACGCTCTTCCGTCGTGTTCAGCTGCCGTCGTTCTCAACTGCTGGTCTCGGAATCTCAGTGCGGTCTCTTCTGTGGCCTCTCTGTGGTCTGGGGTTCATTCCTCCGCCGCGTCAAGCTTGTCGGTCCAGTCTCTGGAGCTAGGGTTAGACAGCCGGACACAGTAGGATTAGCAGGACTAGGAGGATTAGGAGGATTAGGATGATTAGGAGGATTAGCAGGATTAGCAGGATTAGGAGGATTAGGAGGATTAGGAGGATTAGCAGGATTAGCAGGATTAGGAGGATTAGGAGGGTTAGGAGGATTAGGAGGATTAGGAGGATTAGGAGGATTAAGGATTAGCAGGATTAGCAGGATTAGCAGGATTAGGAGGATTAGCAGGATTAGCAGGATTGGCATCGTCGGCTAGTTGTTCCGCTACGGGTTGGGGCGGACGCTATTGGCTGGATTCGCTTCGTGGGCATGTCAACTTTCTTTGCTCTGGAGGGGAGGATGTGTGAGAGGATGGATGGATGGGTCCAAGAGGATGGATGGATCCTTAACTGTGTTGTATGGTTATGGGTTATGGTGTGGTTTGTGGTTTGTGGTTTGTGGTTTGTGGTTTGTGGTTTGTGGTTTGTGGTTTGTGGTTTGGTTTGGTGGTTTGGTTTGGTGGTTTGGTGGTTACACTTTACTATAGCCTTCTACCCTTCTGCCCTTCTGCCGCTGACCCGCATTCGATATTCCCAAGCGATCAAGCGAGGATTACATACTTCATATTCCCTTCTTCATATCATCTCTTGTCACTCCGTCTACCCAGCCCAGAGCCCACGCCCTTATCCACGCCCGCTCCTCTACACCCCCCATCCCATCCCGACATCCCATCCCGACATCCCATCCCGACATCCCATCCCGACATCCCGACAAATAAAAGAGCGAGAGCGAGCACACGACAACAAATCCTACAAATCCTTCCAACAAACTTCCCGACCCCAACCTCAACCCCAGCCCCAACTCCCCCAACCATCCCCATCCCCGCCACCATCACCACACACACCTCTCTCTCTCCCTCGTTATGAACAAACTCGCCAACATGCGGCATTGGTCCGAGAAGATGGGACCTGGCTTCGGCATGTCGCGACCCAACCCCAACATGAACAGCAACATGGCCCCCGGCGTCCCACCGCACACCAAGACACCCCACGGCGGCCCATCGCCCATCTCCCCCCAGACCGCCGCAGACGCATTCATCCACTACTCCTTCAACGTGCCCTTCGCTTCCGATCTCGAAGGGCCCATAATAGAGGATATCGTGCACGCCACCCCGGATGCTTGCGAAAGGTGGACACATCCCGAGTCGGCACCAGATGGGGTCCCGGTTCACGAGCTGCCGGTGCATGCGCAGAATGTGCTGAATCTGAGGAAGCTGTGTAAGGATATCACGAATGGGCCGTTGCCGATAGAGGCGCACGTTATTTGCTCGGAGCCTAAGAGGGTTAAGGGCGAGATTGTGAATGTGTGTCTCTCGGGAAGCCCGGAACTGGTGCATAAGAGCAGAGAGACGATATTGAATGATATACCGCTTGCATTGGTAGGTGTTCGAATGGGCAATCAGCTTTGGGTTAGAGATCTTACGCTAATGGTTTTTGGTGTAGCGGTGCTCGGTGGTGGATATCGATGGCGAGCTGGTGCTTGATCAGGCGGGGACGGCGTTGAAGACGTTCGTTATCGAGCATCTCGATGAGGTGTCGGAGTTCTGCGGTGTCGATATCTTTCTTCTAGGACCGAAGTTCAATACGATTGCGTCGGGGATCAACGGGAATGGCGAGGCGGGCCAGGATCAGAGGTGGAGGGTTGCGATATATGGCGATATAGAGAGTGCGGAACATGCGAAGACGAGGGTCTTGGTCTTCATCGATAGACTGCTCAGGCGAAGCGTCGACGCCATGCTGCTGGAGCTCTCGTTACACACCGTCATCTGCGGCAGGTCGAGGAAGAATATCAAGCATATTGAGTCTACGACGAATACGGCTATTTATTTCCCGCCACCGTTTTCGCAGGTCTATAGATACTGTCATCCTGGCGCGAAGCGCAGGAATCCGGAGAAAATATTCATTACGGGTGAGACGCCACAGGATATTGCGCTGGCTAAGCAGAAGATCCATGAGTTGGTGCAGCGAACTCGGTTGTTCATGAAGGACTGCATGGTCTCGCCTGCCAAGATTGATAGCATCCTGCTTAGCCGACTCGATAAGGTCCGGAAGATCATGGAGACGAACGGCACTTTTGTCTTGTTCCCACAGCTTGGGGCTCAGCGCAACTTGGTGCGGATTCAAGGTGTTGAAGGTCTTCATGTCGAGAGGACCATTCGCGATATTATGGGACTCGTAAGTGCATCCCGTGGTTTATATTCTACCATTTGCTAATCATCCTATAGACTGGCCAATTCTACAGTGCATCGTGGTGGATCCAAGCACCACACGGTGGACGCATGCCATCTCCACAAGAAACGCGGTCCATGCTACCTGACATTTGTGCCAACTCGGACGCCGACCTAACGCTGGACAAGTTAACGTTTTCCATCACCGGCTCCGATGACGCGGTCAAGGATGCACTGGCCGTTATCTCCGAAATCCCATTCGTGGCTCGCTCTCAATACCAAATCAGGGTGAAGATCGAGCTGGCAAACGAGCACAAGGAGTTCGTCAGCGGCAAGAAGAACGGCAAGATCAACAAGATCATGGGCCAGAGTAGCGTGCAGATCATATTCGACGGCTTCAACGAATACAACTTCAACATCGACGTCTGCTCGAGCCAGTACGAGGCTATGAAGACGGGACTATCTCTTGTTGAGCAAGAAATGCCCGCTTCGATATCCTTCCACGTTCCCGACCAGTATCACAAGCGCATCATTGGAATTGGTGGCCAACACATCCAGCGTATTATGAAGAAGCACTCCGTCTTCGTCAAGTTTTCGAATGCGATGGATCGTGGAGGCATTGGTCGCGACGAGGACGATATCAAAGTCGACAACGTCATCTGCCGTACGCCTGCTCGCAACGCCGGCGCACTTGAGCTCGTCAAAGCCGAGATTTTGGACATGGTCGACCGCGTTGATTCCGAGTTCACCAACCAGACTGTGAACGTCAACAGGTTGTACCATCGCCAGCTCATCGCACGCATGGGCCAGCTCGATGAGCTCGAGAAGAAGTGGAACTGCAAGATCATGTTCCCGAGCACCGAGCAGGCCAGTGACGATGTTACGGTATCTGGTCCGGAATGGCAAGTTCCCCACTGCGTGGATGAGTTCTTGGGCATGGTTCCCGATACCCATGATCTTGTCCTTGCCAGCTCGCCAGAGCTGCTGAAGTTCCTCGAGTCGGATGAGTTCGTCAAGGAGACGATTCCGAAGATGAAGGCGCAGTATGTTGTTGAGCTTCAAGTCAAGAAGGACCCAGCTGAGGTGACCGAAGATGGCAAGCCCACCGTAACCCTCATGTGGTCATTCACCAGGAACAATGCCGGAGGCGTCCGAGACGCAATGGACTACCTAATCCAGCTCCTCCTCCCCGCCGGCGCCGAAGTCAACATCGTCAAAGGTGCCATCCCCCGCCCCAAATCCGACTCCTTCGAAGAATCCCTGCGCTTCTTCGACTCCAAGCTGCTCCAGCACGCCCCCGCCCCCGTCGCCGGCACCGACTCCCCCACCAAATCTGCCTTCAACGAAGACGTCTCGCGCGAGCGCAGCAACATCTTCGACAAGCTGCGCAAGCCGGGCAGCATGACCTCCATCTCGGCCTTCCTGGACAGGCGCAAGAACTCGTCGCAGTCCCCTGCGGCGACGAGTTCGTTCTTCAAGAATGGGTCGAGCAATGTGTCGAAGTCGTCGTTGATCTCGGTGGAGTCCACGAGGAGCTTTAATGCGAATCGGGATCCGTGGAATGATAGTGGGGTTAATCTGCCGGATGATGAGGGTGGCGCGACGTGGTCGAGGCCGTTTTCGAAAGGGAATGGGAGTATTCACCTTAATCAGTCGGGGCATCATGGGGATCCGACTCCCAAGCTCAATATGAGGATCTCAACTGACAGCGGTCGACCCTCCACTTCTAATTCTACGAATTCGGGGTTCCCCGGCCCGATCGGGACGCCTCGTTAAGAATTTGTTTCTCATTCCACCATTTTTACGGCGGAAATGGTGCGGACGAGAGAATTTATTTTCACACCAACTCTCCTCTCCCCTCTTACTCTATTCTCAGTCTCTCTTACTACCGGCTGGATATACCCCTGGGAACTCGCGTACAACTCAAAATCCCCCCCCAAAACATCTTTGGTTTTTGTTCTGCTTCTTTATCTCGGATATCATCTCTTTTTCCACTCTTTGGTGTTCACTAGGGAAATCGTTCTGCTTGTTTTTCGTGCTTTTACTGTTTTTGCTGTTTTGTTGTTTTCGGTGTGTCTTGTGTTTTGTTGTGTCGGTGCTTCTACTTTACTCGTTTATACCTGGTCGTTGTCTGTCGCAAATCCTGTTGTTTTTTTGTCTTTCTTCCAAAAAGTGCAGCTGGGCGCTGTGTAGACGGTGTGGATACAAGTTGATACCAGTGAACGGTGTGTGGGTGCAGAGGGAATACCTATTTGCTTGTTATTGCGCAAGGGGGACGAAAGTGTGGGCGGATGGGGGAATTCCGCTTCGCTGAGTTCATGATGGATGGTGCGAAGGTTACGCTTCTTATGAGAGGGCGGTGATGGGGGGGGATGGGAAAAGGGATGGGGACGCTGGCTGAGAGGACATTTATGGTGATGTGCGAGCGGATGGGTGGATAGAAATGAGCACGAAATACTACTCAGTGATATAGATGCACGCCTAGACTCGTCATGAAATATAAAACCCATGTTTCGAACTCATTTCGTATGGAGCTACTTCCTGTCGCTCTCCTACTTCAATGAACTTAATGTAACTAACTCAGAGGACCAACTGAGTGCTGGAAAAACCAAAGTATACATCCACTTTATTATCTAGTCACATCTAAACTCAGAACCCCCTTCATAACTTCCCATGAAGTCTAATCCTGACAGAGATATTATTCATCACGTGCTCATCTCCCCCATCGCGACCGCCTATGACGTATACCCAACAGCGGTCCACAAACCCAGCTCTCCACAAAACCTCCCAGCCCTGTTGGGCAACCCATCCCCGAATTAAAATTGACGCCGCGGCTGTGCCTGGGTATGTGGATTGATGTGTTCTTTGTTGGCATGGCTTGGTTTGTGCCCTTCGTGATGGAGCCAGCGCTGGCCAGGGGTGAGATCCGGTTTTCGTGGGTCGTGTTGATCTCAAGAGGTGGATAATACTTACAGTATATATCTACGCGTTCTTCCTAGTTTGTGCGTTGTGACTCCGCTCTGTAATAACATTTGAACTCTGCTGGGTGTGATAATATATTTATCTATCGACGACATCTCTGCGCGCAGCTCCAAAATAAAATCCATCCCCACTAGCTCGATAGGATTCTGCCCAAGATGCGATTCTAAGTTATCATCCCCCTAGTTTGCGTCCTCGCAGCCTTCGTGCTATCGATGCTCTGTCTCTTCGCCGGCTCCAAGCCAAACTTCATGCAAGACTTCGAGATCATCACTGTACGTCTCCCCCCTCCCGCAATAAACACCGCGACTAACCCCCCCCCTTTCCCAGCTCAACACCTCCAGCCTCGGCCACACCACCACCCCAACGACCTCCAGCACCTCCTCCTCCAACCTCCATCGGGCCATGGCTCAACAACATCGCCGGCGACCCCAAGGGCAAGATCATAGGCGAATTCAACGATATCCGTGGTGATGTGGCAGATAAGCTCGCCGAGAAGCTGGGGATCCATCAGTGACATAATTTGCATATGACGGATATGTGTATGGGGACGTATACGCCGAGGGCGACGGATGGGGATACGAAGATGAATGTGAGTGGTTGTACGCCTATGAAGGCTATGTGTACGTCCCTCCCCCCCCCGGGACTCCTTTTCAAACAGCTGCTGATTTCCGACACTAGATCACTTCGATCCAACCTACCAACTCCAGAAAGAACTTGATTCCGGACCATTGGAGGGGAAAATCAACCTAGCTGATCTTGGATATTCGGACGACATCAAAAACGGCATCAAAGCCTTCAACATCGCCATGACCGCCATGTTCATCCTCTACTGCATCGGCGCCGCCGCCGCAGGCCTCTGCATCATCCTCGCACTTATCTCCATCTTCTCCACGGGCTGCCTGACTTCGTGTCTCAATTTCCTGCTGGCGATCATGGCGTTCCTGGCGCTGGCGATATCGAGCGCGATTGTAACGGCGATTATGGTAGAGGCGACGGAGGTAGTTAATCAGTATGGCAATAATGTGGGATTATATGCACACAAGGGAAGTTCTTGGCGATGACTTGGGCGGCGACGGCGGCGATGCTGTTGGCGACGGTGGCCTGGGTGGCCATCTTTTGTATGGGGAGGAAGAATCCGAGGAGGAGGGCTACTGAGAAGCCTTATTAAGTCTTTTGGAATGAAGAGCCCCAAGAGAGGAGAGTTGCTGAGAAGCCCCTTTGTCTGTCGTAGGAGCTAGATACCCTTTAGTAATTCATCAATCATGATAATAAATCATTGATGTCACCACCCCCGTAAGGTGAGGGGCCGCCGTGCACAACATATTCCTCGCAGCGCTGAGCCATCACACTCGGAGAACCTCTGTGCTGTCTCACGGGTTCCCAGTTCTCATCATACAACCCCATTTCATGGAACCAGAAAATCTCGGCAGGCTGGCAAAGGACAGACGGGTAGCCGCAAACATCAAGCTTTTCTAACTGGAGGTGTTCCTTCATCTCGTCTATAAGCTGCTCGAGGTCGGCGGGGTGGTCGACTGTGTTGCCCTTCAAGTCTTTTTTGCTCACAAATGCCCAGACACGAAGCCGTCTCAGTGTGGCAGCATGAGCCTTGAGTAAGGAAATTAGGTCTTTCGGATGCCATGCTATCTTGTCCAGTATGAGAGTATGTAGGTGTGATAGCATCAGCCCGTCCAGGAGAATAGGGCAGTCCAGAACCGCTGAGAACGACAGTCTGAAGCCGATGTGTAGTTCTTGAAGGTTTGTGGCTCCTTTCAAGGCCTTGTTCAACTTGTTTGCCCATGAATGGCGGCCGTCAGTAGCATGGTGATCCCTGAGGTTCTTGCACCCCATGACTAGTTTTAAAGTCGTCAGCCCGGTAAAAGCCGCTTCCAGATCAGGGCGGTAGCATTCCATATCCCAGATTCCGAAAGGCAAGAGATCATTCGTTAGAATTCGTAGTTTCGACTGTGAAGCCGCTCGAAGAACCGCCATGAAGTGGTCGATTTCGGCATCGCCCGGCTCTGCTTTTGATAAGCCCACTTTCCAAGCATCCCACAAGACGCGGTCATTGTATAAACATTCTTCCATTTTGATGTCGATGGCCCCCAAATTCTTCATATTAGGGAAAGCTAGCTCCAGAATATCTGGGTTGCAAAAGTCGTCTGCGAATGCCTCCTCTAGTCCTTTCTGCTTTTGATACTTAGCCATCGACTTCTGTATCGTCTCGGCGCCTCCTATACTTTCTCGGGCGCATTGTTGGAGACACAAGTTATTTCGAAAGTGATAGTCATCGGCCTTCGCCATGTAGATTTCCACGCGGTTGATCTGAGACGAGAAGTAGGGATGCTGAGAGATTTCCATGAGCTTGGTGAAGTCGTCCCTATGGGGAAGCAGTTTCAGCCGCGGGCTTAGTATGTATGGCTGGCCTAGAATTGCACATCGCTTGGACGTTAAACGGAACGATTTGCAGGAATCGATTCCAAGGTCTTGAAAGATGGCCTCTATTAGCTCGGCAGGCAAGTATTGCAAGCCGGCTGGGTTCTCATCGTCGTTGGCAATCAATCCATCCATGATACTGTTGATTGACTCCATGATGATTGAAGGTTGATAAATTCAAAGAAAGTCAAGAAGTGGAAAGAAAGCAAAATAACTCCATATACTCCTAATATGCTAAACCCACGCGCCATTTTCTAAATAATGGCGGTAGCTGGTTAGTTTGCAAATTCCGTGGTTAGTAAATACCGGCGTCATTTGGTTTGAGGACGTTGACGTAAGGTACGTTCCGTAGTGCAGGGGCATGTGCCGTTCACGTAGACGAAGATAATTTACACAGGCAGTGGTTCGACACAGCAGATGCAACGACTTCAGTGGCAGCACCCCGCCATTAGCGCCAAATTGCAATTCTAGAAACCCAAGCTATATTCTACATAGTGTCTGCTTTGAGTCCCTAACTTTTGGCCTTTCACTCTTGAGAATGCCGTCCCCAATTAGGTTCGTTCCAGCACCTGGTCCCCCAGGTGCCGAATGGGCTGGGCTACTGGTTCTAATATCTGCATTATAGTTGGTTCCGCGCCCTGACGCCGAAAGCACAAGGCCTCATCGGTATGGGCATGCTGTCATGGGGAGCCATCGGGTTGTACGCTTCAGATACTGCAGAAGAAAAACTCGGCTTCAAGCCGTCGGAAGAGGATAAGGCGGCGTTACAAGCCATGACACCGAGAATCTCTGTCGTTGACCGCGAATAATCTTGCCCTATGCTTCGACATATGCGATATTTCAACGGGTCTAAATAAAGGAAGGCGTTCATGGGTTACAGACTGGGGGCATGCAGCGGCGTTCTTGGGCCGCGCACTGAGGGGCATGAGGAGGCATAAGGCCATTCAGAGTTCGAAGCGGGACAGAACGAACAGAGCTGTATACCAGTGCGATACATACTACATGTGCCCCAAGAGAAGGCAGACAGTGACGGTGGGTGGTGGGTGGTGGGTGGCAATTCATAGATTTACATGGGCGTATATGGCGGGGCACCTTTCGCCGTTCGCATCACCAAAGGATTGGAAAGTTACATGGACACTTCATACTAGAGCATATAATTAATCATTGGAAGGGCTCTTCATTCATAATGCCGTAGTCTTTATCTCTATCGAAACACGTCAAGTAAATGCAAATTTATACCCTTAAGTAGCCTTCTTGGCAAACTCGACTCTGAGAATGAGATGCTTGAAACCGAAACCATCCATCGCCGAACATGCCTTCGCAGCATCGTCGCGGTTTGTGAATGAAATGAAAGCAAATCCCTTCGCCATGCCCGTCTCCCTGTCCTTCGCGAGGAAAACTCTTGTGACGTGGCCGAATCTCTGGAACATAGCGCGTAACTCGTCCTCCTCTGCCAGCTCGGAAACCTAAGATAAAACGTTAATAAAGGCCAAAAACAACTCGTCAAGGAGGAAATGCTTACGTTGGTAACACGGAGAGTAGCCAGATCGTCCCTCTCTGCGTACTTTCCGCCACCCATGCGCTCGCCACCAGCCGCCGCACCACCCGCGCCATTCCTCATATGTGGGGGGACATATGAGCTCTTTCCTGTCCCTAAGCCTCCTGGGCCCTCGGCCACATCACCAGCGCCCGCGGCCACATCACCAGCGCCCTCCTCGCCAACTGGTGCCATGGTGTCCTTGTAGGGACACTTGGCTGTAAAATGCTCTCCAGTACAGATTCTGCACTTGACTTTCTTGTCCTTTAGCTTGTCCTTCATGCTTCCCACCTCGACCTTCTCCTCCTTCGCATCCTTGCGCCAGTTGACGCTGGGCTTGAAAATGATGTTCTCGCCGACGGTCGTTGTGTCCACAGCTGGTCCTGCCTTATCCTTTGCCGACAGACCGAATTTGCTCCATCCTTTGCGTTCCGCCACACGAGGGTTGACGACCTCCTTCACAACGGTTGTGCGGATCCGGCGCGTCGTCTTGACCTTCTTGCCTTCATCGTTGATACGGTATGTGATGATAGTCTTCGTTCCATCCTTGTTGGTCGTGATTTGTTGCGGTGGCAGCTCGAGGGCGTTATCATCAAGCTCTTCATCATCAGCCCAGTCGGGGCGGCTTGAGGGGGGTTAGTAGGGTTCACCGGATCCAAACACGAACATATATACGTACTTTGCTACTTTAGGGGCCATGTTGGGGCTAGCTTCTGCGATGTTTGGGCAGAAATAGTCTCAGTTGTCTGTAGGGTTTCAAGGCGCAAACGATGGGTGGCCTCGATGGTCGAATTTCGGATATAGAAATGTTCGTGGGGCTCGTTAGCGGCAGAACATTTCGCGACGTGGTTTATGGTCACGTGACCACCGGTTGCAATTGTAATCCAAGGCGCTTACACATACAAAAATAACCCCGAGTCACATTTCAAACCCATGTTACAATCACAATATCATATAAAGAAGGTAAGTTATGTATACAATGAGAGGGGATTTCATCATATTATTCGTTTTTAATCTGTTTGTACACTTAGAGAGCCGTGCTCCATATCTCGAAATGCCCCCGTATGCTCTCTGTCTGTATAATACAACGCCTCCGTCCCGAGCTTGATAAACCTGTGCCCAATTGGGAGAACTAATACAACAAAGAATACCGCTTAAACCGCGATTTACGAGTACAAAATGTACAATAACCCGATGAGCCGCATCTATGCAACATCAAAGCTCCTGTGACATAAAAAAAATGGTAGTTTTCGATCCTGGTAGTGACATCCCTTACTCCTTCTTCTCACCCTCCTTTGGCTCCTCTGGCTTGGCCTCACCGGCCTGGCCAGACTCGTTACGGGCCTTGTGCATCTTATCGAACAGGTTCAAGCTGGCCATCTGGAGCTCGTCGGACTTCTCCTTGAGCTCAGCAGCGGTGGCGGTACCCTCACCAGACTGGCTCTTCGCGACGAACTCGCGAAGGGCGGCAATCTTCTCGCGGATCTGATCAGCCTCGGTCTTGTCGAGTCTGTCGGCAAACTCGTTGAGTGCCTTCTCGGTATCGTTCAGGACGCTGTCCGAGCGGTTGGCGGCCTCAATAGCAGACTTGCGCTCCTTATCAGCCTCAGCGTACTTCTCAGAGTCGTTAACCATGCTCTGGATCTCCTCATCGGAGAGACCAGATCCGGAAGCCAGTGTGATAGACTGGTCCTTGTTGGTAGCCTTGTCGGTGGCGTGGACGTGGACAATAGAATCGGCATCAATGTCGAAAGTGACCTCAATTTGAGGAACACCACGGTGTGCTGGTGGGATACCAACGAGCTGGAAGTTTCCGAGCAGCTTGTTGTCGCGGACAAGCTCACGCTCTCCCTGATAGACCTTGATCTCAACAGCAGTCTGGAAATCAGCGGCGGTGGAGAAGATCTGAGACTTCTTGGTGGGGATGGTGGTGTTGCGGTTGATGAGACGGGTGAAGACACCTCCAAGGGTCTCAATACCAAGAGACAGAGGGGTGACATCAAGGAGGAGCACATCCATAACCTCACCGGCCAGGACAGCACCCTGGATAGCAGCTCCGATAGCAACGGCCTCATCGGGGTTGACAGACTTAGCTGGGTCACGGCCGAAGATGCTCTTAACGGACTCGGCGACCTTAGGCATACGGGTCATACCACCGACGAGGATAACCTCCTGGATGTCCTTAGCCTGGAAGTTAGCATCCTTGAGTGCCTTGCGGACTGGCTCAATGGTGCGGTTGATGAGAGGGTCAACGAGGCCCTCAAGCTGGGTCCTGGTCATCTTCATGTTGATGTGCTTTGGTCCGGAAGAATCGGCAGTGATGAAAGGAAGGTTGATATCGGTCTGCATGGAAGAGGACAGCTCAATCTTGGCCTTCTCGGCAGCCTCACGGATTCTCTGGATGGCCATGCGGTCACCCTGCAGATCGATGCCAGAAGTTTTCTTGAAGTCTTGGACAAGGTGGCGAACAAGGGTGATATCGAAATCCTCACCACCCAAGTGAGTGTCACCATTGGTGGACTTAACCTCGAAAACGCCCTTCTGGATCTCGAGGACGGAGATATCGAAGGTTCCTCCTCCAAGATCGTAGACAGCGATGATTCTGTCCTCCTCCTTTTCAAGACCGTATGCGAGAGCTGCTGCGGTAGGTTCGTTGACGACACGGAGAACGTTAAGGCCAGCAATTTGACCGGCATCCTTGGTGGCTTGACGCTGGGAGTCGTTGAAGTAAGCCGGGACGGTAACAACGGCGTTCTTGATTGGCTTGTTGAGGAAGGCCTCGGCGGTCTCCTTCATCTTCTGGAGAACGAATCCACCAACTTGCGATGGCGAGTACTTCTCACCGCGAGCCGAGACCCACGCATCACCGTTTGTGTGTTGGACGATCTTGTATGGGACCTCCTTAATATCGCGCTGCACCTCAACATCGGTGAACTTCCTTCCGATCAATCGCTTGGTGGCGAACAGGGTGTTCTCTGGGTTGACAACAGCCTGACGCTTTGCGGACACACCGACCAGACGCTCACCGTCTTGCGCAAATGCTACGACGGAGGGAGTTGTGCGGGCACCTGTTGAGGAATGTAAGCACTGGACCTAATGGATGAAACAGCACAATATAATCAATGCTTACCTTCAGAGTTCTCGATAATCCTTGGGACCTTGCCCTCCATCACTGCAACGGCAGAGTTTGTGGTTCCTTTAGGTAAATGTTAGTACGTGCCGACATAGCGTAGTATCGGAGCATTCTTACCCAGATCAATACCGATCACCTGGCCCTTGACCTTCTCCTCGCTACCGGCAGCGGTAGACTCATAGCGAGCGAATTTGGATAGTAATGGTGCGCGGTTGGCTGTGCGTGTGAAGGAGGTGGTTGCTCGAGGAAGCTGGAAGGGACTGAGTCAGTAAAAAAAATTCGAGCCAGATGTTCCAGTTACTTACAGCTCTGGAAAATTTAGAAGCCAACATCGTTGATGTTAATATTATCAAAGATATTATTACAAAATTAGGATGAAATGGTCGCAAGGTAGAAGGATGAATTGGCGATGGAGTTGAAGATTGAAGGGGATGATGGGAGGAAAAAGTTCAGAACGTCTCGAGAATTTTAGAAGACGAGAGAACGCGCTAGTCCGGCACTGGGCCCGCTGCATGCCTTAACCCGAGGGGCCTGGTACATAATTTAGTAATTTAACGAGTTAGCGGATTTGACGCACGTGACGGGGTGGTTAGTTCTCCGGACTTTGCGGGTAGTGGGTTGACGGTGGTTGACGTAGTAGGACCAGCACGACCTGCATATCCGACTCCAATGATCATGATCCATTTCATGACTAGAGCATCTTAGAAGTACCCTCATCTCGTTGTAATGCGCCATTTGAAGCTCCAGACTCCAACACCTCTCCCGACGTAACCAGACCAACGAACTCAGATCGCGCATACAACTTCTTCGGATTGATCAGCTTCAGCAGAACAAAGACAGGGGCCTAAATGGCTTCATGTGAGCGCGCTTCTGCCCTCTGAGCTCCGCAATCTCTCTCTCACATGCACATTGTGCTATGATTTGATCCATGATAACGGCCATACTGTTGGACGAATGGCAGCTATGGCTGTGAAATATGACTCCTTGTGAGTTCATACTGGGCCCTGACCCTAATGACCATAGCCTCTGCTGACTGCGAAAGATACCTTGCCACCGACAACTTGATATTGCCCTGTCCGAGGAAGCAGTACCGTGCGTTTATGTTCGCCGGCCATTGGCAGCTTCGATCGTTTGTCCACTCGCCCAGCTTGGGGAAGATCCATTATCTAGGCGTCCGAGATATTTATGAAATCGACACCTCTAAACAAACCCGGCGCATTGTGGATACATTATCATTTAAACCGAAATGCCTCGTGTCCTCAAACGGATGGATATGCTGCGGGGGTGAGAAGGGGAGATTTACAGCTCTCCACCTGGATTCGAATGAAGGTGGCGTTGGTCCTCCCAGCGAGGCTGACGCCCGGCTACCTCTCGACCTTGATCCGTTCAGACGGTTGCATCTAAGCTTGCAAAATCGCGATTCGAGGCCTGGGGCCGGCGCTGATGCAAACCGGAATCGATCTCAAATGAGAATTATCGGCGACGAGATCCTAAACTGCATAACATTATGGTTTCCCAGATCCGACGTCGCAGAAGGTGCATACACAAAGCCCGTTGCTGTTGTCGCAAGTAACGACCTTTCCGCTTATATCGTCGACCTGAAAACTTTGGAAATAATAGAGAGTGTGGAGCAGGTTGACCCAGTTAACCTCGGCCGAATTTCGCCCGACGGCTCCGTTCTTATCGTGGTGGGCGATGACCCTTACATGCACGTGTATAAAAGGTCTCTTGAAAGCGGCTCTAGAAAGGACGAAGATGACTACTCATGGTCCAAATGCCATGCTGTGCAACTCCCGGGGCAGCGCATTGGTGATGAAGGGGACATGCGAGGAAGCTTTGCTGGCGATTTTTCTGACAGATATCTGGCGGTTGGGACACAACATGGAATGGTTGTTGTCTATGAGACTGCCCATCTTATTCGACCGGAGAAACCACGCCCAATCGTAACTTTTCCGACAACGCGCCCAAACACGAAACATGGTGCAGTGAGGTCGCTTCAATTTAGCCCTTCAAGCCCATATGACCTCCTCGCAGTCACTGAGGATGGGGGGCGAGTAATAGTGGCAGACGTCAGAAGTTTAAATACTCGTCAGGTCATTGATGTAGGCGAAAGTGTTGAAGGATTTGAACTTGTCACCCTTACAGAAAGTACTGGTGACAATGCCATTGACCCACGCCTTCAGGCTGATCTTGATGCTAGAGGTGATGACTCTACAGACTTCTTTGATTCCTTCCTAGACAGTGGTCAGCGACGTGCGGCTCCCCAATTGATTAATCACGGCACTCATCAGCTCACTCGCGACGAAACAGCGGTCTTGGAGGCTCTGCAAATCGAAAGGAGGCGACGGGAAAGAGAAACGAACCCAACCGCCTCGAATAACCCATGGAACAGTGTTGCGGATGAACTTCGCGCAAGAACTCGAACTGGCGAGCGCAGATCGCCCAACATTAATCTGCCGGGGCCCCTCAGAGACCTACTTAGCAGCAGAAATACTGATTCACTGCGCGCCTTGGTCCTGGAGCGGAATCAAGACCGAGAGCAGAGAGGGTTGCCGCCACGAAGACGCGGTGTTTTGACCGCCGCTCGCTCGGCACTAGATCCTGAACCAAGAGACCCCACCAGACTTCCCGATAACCAGCCCATTGATGACGCACCGCCCCGAATATCCCTCCACTTGCCATCGTCACTAAGCATTCATTCGTCACCAAGTTCGGCTGAAGTGGATGCAATCTATAGCATGGCCATGGACTCCCAAGACCCATCTGCTCGTCTGCAGCTCGGAGTCGACGATGAAGTCCGCAGAGAAACCATCAGGCAGGCTGATGAACTAGCCTCGACGCGTCGACGGCAGAATGAACCATGGACTAGTTCTCCCGTCCAAGCAAGGTACTCGGGACAGCGTGATCCACCAGAAGAGAATCAAACTACCGGCTGCTCGTGGAGCCGAGATAGCCGCACATTGTAAGTTGCTTCTGGAGCGACGTAGTGTTGATTCGTAGCTAACCAGGATAGATATGTCGGTACAGAAGGATCAATGTACGAGTTTCCGGTGAATATCACTAACCGCAAGATCTTCCCCAGCATCAAATGGAGATAGGTCTAATGCTTCGAGTTTGGCGTACGGCGAGGGACAGGCGTGACTTCTGATTGCTTTTGGATGACGGCTATGAATGCATGGACATACGGGAATACATGAGCCATTAATGGCTTCTACTAGGCGTTACTGTGTTGGCTTTGGGATACCTCGTACCTACTTTGGGAGGAGGGGGCCTGGCGCAGTTTGGACATCTTTATGAGCCCGACGACTCGGGCAGCAAGGTCTGATTGAGACCTACTTTTGAGGCAATGAACGAATATATATTATGACCCATGCTTTTGCTTTCATCGTGATCATGTTTGTCTCCAAAGGTTGGATCAGTGCAGTAAATATATCATTCTTGACTTGATCTATGCTACATATGTTGCAGATGCCTCAAAACTCCAGTATCAGCTTGAAGACTTTGTGCACATCGTTAATAGGTAGGTGGATTCATGCCAGTAAATGGAGCAAGTGCAATAATGCCAGGTTGTAAAAATTTGAATAGACCACAGACCTCCCCCAAATCCAACCTCAAACAACACTCCAAGCATAGCAAAACCACCGTAAACACTCCATCCCCCACCATAACAGTAATCCTCCAGCTCCGGGGTTTGAGGCGCTTCTATTTACAACTGGCCCAATCTTCGTAATGGCGTTGAGGAAAATGCTCATTATAGCACCGCCTCACGCAGTGCCTGGCCAAACTTGACGTATAATCTGGATGTGTGGTCATACTTTTGTTGTTGATGGCAAATACTTTGTATCTCTATCCATGCAAGTACGCCACTAGCCCATGGGCAGGAGAAGCTTAGAGCAGAACCGCAGCTCGTAGCACCTTGAATCCGCAGGGTCAAATGTTGCATTATTTTGTTTATCGAGAACATCCGCATCTAACAAATAGTCAGCATTGATACCATAACAATCAAAAACACAGGTGTAGTGAGTAGTGAAATGTAGGACTTACGGCTCAAATTAAGTTTCTCAAAGTAGTTTTGCACCGTCGAATCCAATTCCGTGGCCAGTATTCCATCCGGCAGCCTCGCATAAGTCTTTGGTGGGATATTCCGCATCCGCAGCAACATCTGCAGCATATCAGTGATGCGATCACCCTGGCTCCCATACCATATCGGAGTCTTGTCGAGCGGCCAGCGAGCCTTCAGGTAGTCCTGTTCCCAGGACTTGAAGAGCCACGTCGACTTCTCGACGCAATTCAAGAGGATGATCGCGACAAGGAATGTCTCGAAAGATGAGGTAGAGGAGCGCTGGAGCAGACGTCGTTCGAGGTCGTTCAAAACAAGTTTGCTGGTCTGCGCGGCTTTCTTTTCCACTGCCGCGCTGAGCTGCATGCAGAGCAGCTGGTAAGTAGTTCCTTGCGGGTCGATGGGATGGCTTTCCGAGCTTTCATCGCCCATAGTTCTGCGTTCCGAAAGGCTCCACTTCAACTCGTGGTCCACAAGGATGTGAACCGTGGCCCAGAGCTCGAGAGCGCGACTCAAGAGACTGTCCTGCTTTTGGATGGAGAGCTCCATGGCCACACTGAGCGTGACGTTCATGAAATGCGAAGGCTCCTTCTCGAAGAATACCGGAGACATCCGCTGCGCATACCCTTCAATTTTCATTGGCAGATCGTCATTGTCATTATCGAGGATACGAAGACTCTCGGTGAAATCTATGTTCAAGCCTAGAATCGGGTCGATATTCTTCTCTGAGGGCAAATCTTGACCCTCCAGAGCGTTGAATCCTGCGTATATATTTGTTTCCGGATAATGAGAGGCCTCGATCTGGTTTGCAGAAGCTGTGAAATTGACTCGGCTTTTTACAGCGTTGACCTCATGGTACGCTAAAACAGCATGCAGACCAGCAGAATACATGTCCAATTCATCGGCGAGGCGTGTTCTCATACATGGCTGCTTCCATAAGCGCGCACTTTCAACGTTTCGGCATGTATTACACGGGGTCTCTCCGGAGCAAGGCTTCTTCAGCATTCTGCAGCGGATGCAGGCCCCTCTTTTCCGGACTTCCTGTACCTCCTTCCTGCGGTTTGGAGTGAACCTGCCCCGAACCTTTGGTTTATTAGCTCTTTGGCCATTTCCATATTCAGCACTAAATTCCGTTGTCATGCTCGTGTTAATGGCGATAGCCCGAGGGAAGTCCGGCTGCTGCTGGGCTCTAGGTTCCTCCACGTGGCTTTCGAACCCTTCTGGATCTGGGTACATGTTGCCGCCAGATCCATCCAGCATTGGCCAAGTTGGCTGATCTGCTGGACGGTGGACGAAATATTGGTCGTTTATAGTGCTGTCTTTCAGGCTGTTTATGTCCGACGCAAGTCTTTCTGAGATCTCCTGTGGAAGGCCTTCGCCGAACAGCTGTGGGTCGACCATAGACGATGTGAATCTGGCCGAGGCAGCAACAGCCATACTGGTTGCTGCCGCCATGTTCAGTGGCGGGGGTGGGGACGTCGACGGAGCATTTTCTTGGGCAAAATTGACGGGAGGGAGCGTGGATTCGCTGTCTCGACGAGGGGTAAGTTTCTGGCTCAAGACTGTATAATTAGTATAGCTCTTGAAGATATTGGGGGGTAATTCTTACGTTTCTTATCGCGTTGAACGCGGGCTTCATAGCTAAGTGGTGGGTTGTCTGGTGTCCATTGTTCTTGTAGCTCGAATCGATCAATCCTTGGTGTCTCCTCAGGCCGCGGGTCGGCACTGTGGTTATGCTGAGTTCGATCATCTTGTTTCTCGCTCAGATCAATCTGTCTTGATACCTCTGCGAGTGTTTCGAGAGCTGTCCAATTGCGGTTGTCGACGGGTAACTCGACAGACGACGGGTTGGCCTGGTTTCGTGCGTCGGTGATGTCGGGAAGGTCGTTGAGCTGGAGCAGAGCCTTCTGTCTATCCCGGAGAGAAATAGCAGGGCATTTTTTAACAAGGTGCGTAGTGAGGCTGTCGATTCGTCCCTTGGGGAACTTTTCGCCGCATGCTCGGCAAGTGTGCTGGTATCGATTACTCGAGTCCTCGAGTTTTTGGCCGCGTTCGAAAAATTCAAGGATAAGCTGGTTGGGTTTCCGACCCATTTTGAAGGCAGAAGCAACCAGATGAGACGGTTATATCGGATATGCTAAGAAGATTCGAAGTATTTCAAATGGGTTGTGCTTGGTTCAGTTCGAGGCTTTCCCAACGGACAAGGCCAGGATGGTGGTACTGCACACCTTCCACGAGTCAATTGGGAATGCGGTTAAGTCGAGGATTCGAAGCTCGAGCGTCTGACAAGTATGCAACCCCAAACATTCGGAATAGCTCTTCTGTGGACGAGTATGTTGCGTCGATTATGATGCTCCTAGAAATTCGAGTGGCCACAAAGAGTAATGCCAGTTCTATGTAGGCGGTGTCGTGAGATGATGATTAGGCGGTGTCGAAAACACGCTAGTGCAGAAGTAATATGTCCGTGCACGGGCCATCGTTCGACGATCTTTTTTCGCTCTCCATGAAATTATATCAGACCACTATGAGAGCAGTGAAGTTTATAAGGATGTTTAAGATAGTTGAGGGGGTATTCAGGTAGTTTATAATATTATATTGAAAAAGATAAATATTAATAATGATTGGTTGAAATTTAATTTTTAGTTATTAAATTGACGTGATTGTACACCGAGTCGCGCACTACTGTCGCTGATCCAGGTGGAAATGATAAACCTTTACAGATGGCTGTAGTTCTGGAAGCTGACAGACGCCATGCAATGGAGAGAGAAACTGTTACCATTCCCGCGAAACTTGTTCCGCGAACTGATTATTTTAAGGTTCTATTATGAATGGAGGATGTTGCTTTCATCGAAGAAGTGCCGGACGCTTGTACGGAAGAGGTACGGCATTGGACGGAAGGCGGCAAGTTTTATCCCTTGCCTAGTTGGGGGCCATCGTGCATGAGAGATTGATCGACTGGTCGTGGTAGTGTCAGTATCGGCAGTCCCACCACCTCTCCCACCTCTCGACCTCCCTCTCCTCCTCGCAATCCCTGCGTTGCCTGACGCCTGAGGCCCAAGAACTTTACTGACTGTTGGCAGTATAGGAGTCTCGTCATTATTTGAATCCTCAGCAACCCCCCAGAAACACTCTCAGCAGCAACTCCAGCAGCACCATCAGTTATTTGTGGACGACTTCCAGTGTTTCCTCCCGCCCTTCCGCTCCTGCTTTCCCACCCCCCCTGGCTCTCCTGGCCTCTCTCCATCTGCTGGGTGGCGGTGAGGCATTGATGCCAAGTGTTGAGGGTAATGGAGTCTGGGCATCATATAACTCCCTAAAATCATTAACCTGTAAACCACCACCAGTTAGTGCCCAAACCTCTTCTGGCCACACAGTTGGTCCCAAAACATCCCCTGGCCACACAGTTGCCAAGGCGGCCCCAAATTCTTTTATCCAAGCTTGTGTACGTACAAGTTTCTTTTCCTTGTGGATTTTCTTTTGCTCCTGTTGAAGTGGACGCAACGCCGCCGCAATAACAGCTATGATAAAATTCGTAATAATAACTCCCACCTGGCTAGCAACAAACTGGTAAGTTCCTACACACTGATCTCCCATAGCAGCCCAATTGCCCCTAAGTCGCGAGGAGGTCGGGGTCGGTGAGAGAGTATACATCATAAAATGCAAGCTCTTCTGAGAGGCCAAGTTTGTACGCAAGCTGGTTCATCACCTCTGGGTTGTTTTCTAGAAACCGTAGGAGGGCCTCCTTGCCCTCACCCAGTGCGGCACGCTCAGCGACAAAACGGAGGCGGTCGAAGTTCATGTTCGCGCCAGATGCGATGGCGACAAGCTGGCGTCTGGTGTTAGGGGATGGGTTGGCGGCGACGTATTTCTTTAAGCCGGCGATGGAAAGTGCACCAGCGGGTTCGACGACGGAGCGAGTGTCTTCAAATACATCTCTAATAGCAGCGCAAGTCTCATCTGTTGTGACTTGGATAACTTCGTCGACCACCTCTTGGCAAATGCGGAATGTCTCTTCGCCGACTTGCTTGACAGCCGCGCCGTCTGCAAAAAGTCCGACCTCCTTCAAGACCCTCTCTCCCTTTGCAAGCGACTAGACCATTGCGTTCGCGTCGTATGTTTCGACTCCAATGATCTTTACATGTGGTGCAATGCGCTTGACGTAAGCGCCAATTCCTGCAATCAAACCTCCACCTCCCACACAACAGAATATAGCTTCCAACTGTTGAAGATTTGTCTGATTCAACAGCTCCATTCCAATGGTTCCTTGGCCTGCGATAACATATGGATCATCGAGTGGAGAGATGTTCGTTAGGCCATGAAGCTTCTCTAGGCGATAGCATTCCTCCTTCGCAGCGTCGAAATCGGCTCCGTGAAGCACAACAGATCCTCCCAGTCTTGTAACATTCAGATGCTTGATGCTTGGGGTGCCCTATGGCATGACGATGGTCGCAGGTATCTTCAGTTTGCGTGCCGAGTATGCTACGCCTTGAGCGTGGTTCCCTGTTCATGTCAGTGCTTTGTTCATATTGGCCATTGTGGCAGTCATACCGGCAGAGCATGCGACGACACCCTTCCAGCGCGTTTGCGGGTCCAAATGTGCCATTTTATTGTATGCAATTCTCAGCTTAAAGCTGAAGACGGGCTGCAGGTCTTCTCTCTTGAGTAGGACCTGGTATTCTAGCCGGTTGCTCAAGTTGGTGGCGTGAGTCAGCGGCGTCTCATTGACAACTTCATAAAACTCGCGAAGTAAGAGTCAATCGTAAATACTACTCTTAATTAGCTTCATTTCAAGGGAACCTTTCGTGGTGACCAACATCGGGATACCCAGTAGGCAACATGAAATCCAATGGCACTACACTCGTCACTTTCTCCTTCCCCTCTTGCCTCCCTTCTCTCGGCGGTGAAGGGTTGGCGGCATATTCCGTCAGAGATAAAGCTTGAACGCTGGGAGTACACGGTATGGTGGGCGAGCCGCCGACTCCATTTGGAGTCTCCATCTCTGCCGTCATTACTTGTGGTGTTGTTCTCAATTCAAAGTTGTTATTTTCATGGCAAGGGAACTTTTTTGGGTTCGGAGTCTTATCGGATTGTGGGGTCACTGATAGGTGACCATTACTGGGGTCGGGAAAACGTTAATCCTAATACCGCGTCACAACCGCAGAATCTCCAATGAGCAACTGGAGCGCATTAATTAATAAGGCTGCGATCAGGAAGGCTCACACCACAATTCCGAGTGCGCAGCCATGTCGTCCACCAACCTGCCGTCGTCATTTGACGGAGACACGTATGTTTGCTGGTATATTAATTGAAATCGCACTGACATAGCTCAGAGAATTCTACGAAGAGAACCGATGGCAGAAGCTGACCCGCCGGCTGAAAGAAGAGCCCCTCGTGCCTCTGGGTAAGTCTCCAGCCATTCTACCAATGTATTGTCTAACATTCAGTATAGGATGTGCTCTTACGTGTTGGGCACTTTACCATGCCTCCAAGTCAATCCGCTCCGGCGACCAACAACGCACAAACCGGATGTTCCGCGCCCGTATCTACGCCCAGGGTTTCACAATCGTCGCAATGGTTGCGGGCTCAATGTACTGGAAATCCGACCGCCAGAAGCGCAAGGAATTTGATGAGGTGGTGGCGGAGCGCAAGGCCAAGGAGAAGAATGACCTGTGGATCAAGGAGCTAGAGGCGAGAGATGAAGAGGAGAAAGAGATCAGGGCGGAAAAGGAGAGAAGATCGAAGCGTTTGTCTGATAGATTTGGAAAAGGCGAACAATCGAAGGTGCTTGATGAAGGAAAGAAACCGATACTAGCGCAGGTGAAAGCAGTAAGAGCAGCGGAAGGGAAGGACAGCGAGGACGCAAGCTCGGTGGTTGATGAGAAGGAGAAGAAGCAGAAGTCAACCCTGGAATCCGTGAAGGAGATGATCATGGGGAAGAAGTAAAGGCGGGGGGAAGGAACCTTGTTGTATATATATAAGTGGCAGCGGGACGGATATGTCTGGCGTTAGGCTGGATTTGAGGGAGTGGAATGGGATGGGAGAACAATGTACAGTAACTGAACTCAACCCACTCACAGCAACGCATCAAGCATATAAATGTTGTGGCATGATTCTTCATAATAAAGTCGTCGGGCTTATATTGTCTCAGAATGAGCAATGTGCTCTCGAAAAATGGTTTATTAATACTATTATTACAGAGCGGAAGGTAATGTTATGCAGGCAAGTATTCGCTGCTGAGCATCAGACAAATACGTGTGTAAAGCTCAAACTGCCACAATGAAAACGTGTCATGCCCCTACGCAGTAACACCAGCCGAACCCTCAGTGCTAAAGTAGAACTTAACGCTCTTAGCTGCTAGATCTTCAGTGAAGGCAGCGAATTTCAGACAATCCTTGCATGTACAGTCCAGATCTTCTTCCGGCAAATCCACCGGACTCGGTTGCTGATGCTGAGAGATCACACTCTGAGCACGATGGCCATGTGCTGAGGTCGAGGGGTCATGTGCTGGGGCTGAAGGAAAAAATCAGCATGCAGTTTTCGTAACTTTTCTGCAAGCTGGTGCGCCATGTGTTGAGACTCTTGAGTAATAGTACCAGGAGTTTGACCTGGAGGCATCTCGTCGAATCCCTTCATGAGCGGCAGAAAAAAGCTCTCAAAGGTCATCGCAGACTGTCCCATCCACAGTAAGTCCAGCTTTTCGACGGACATTGTGCCTAAGTTCTAGGGAAACGCATTGGCGAATAAGCTGCAAAATATCATCTGCCTTCACAGGGATGGGATCGTGCTTCTTTCCGTCACGTTCAGGCCGAAAAGGGGCAATCTTGATTCGAGGAGTGAAAACCCGTAGAACGGAACTGAACACATGCCGAGCAGTTTCATGCCTGATTTTGCCATTCCTTTGGCCGTGCAATAGCCACCAGGAAGCTAAGCACAGCCGCAGATTTCTTGTTATAGAATTTCTCGGCTTTTACAACATCATGTACAACGGCAGGCAAGAATCTATTGGTTGGTATGTGTTAGTATCAGACTGATTGTAGTTACAGTAAGGGAATGCAATCTTACGTTTCCTTGAGATATGCTTCGCTACATATAACACCAAGTTGCGCGACAGAATCTCCATCTTCTGCAAACATAATGTGCTTGCTCGCAAACATTTTCTCTGCGTGAGATTTCATCCGAATTATAAGTCGGGTGTTTCTGGGCACGGTGGACAATCTAGTGGCAGAGAGCTTGTGAAGGAGTCGAGGGAGGCGACGCGAGCTTCGACGGCGCGAGTTTCGACAAGCGGCGGAGCTTCTGTAAGCGGAACTGAAACTGAAACCCTTCCAGAAGTTAGATGGTGTTCTGCCATAGAAGGTTGAAATGAAAACTTACTGTGTTTCTGACTTAGAGCTGAGATATTTCCATGTAAATCCCCCAGCCACAAGGATAGCACAAAAAATACCGAAACCTATCAATGCCCCTAATCCCCACTCGGTAACAGTCTGCCTAAACAAAGTTCCTCTTTTAACTCTCCGTTGACGCCGGGCGAGGGCTGTTTCAAAACGCCGTTGTTCCGTGCGGATTCGTTGTTCTTCAAGAAGATTATCGATATGAAGTTGAAACTGAATTCGTCTTTCTTCGTCTCTAACGTCACGGTTTGGCTGATTTAAGTCCTGTAGCTCGATCGCATCGTCTATGACTTTTTCGTAGCCATATGTGTACTGCGGTGGTAGGTGTGATGGAAACCCCATTGTAACGATGATAGTTTGTTTCTTGTTATATTAGACGTTCATAGAAGGCAGGTACGGGTGCTTCGCTCAAGTGGTAAGATGAAAGTAAGACAGGACCGATCGTTCCTTTTCGCTAAATTTGGCAAAGCCCCTCACCACCATCACTAGTCCCTCGGAGCCGTTCCGGTGGACAGACGAATGTGAGGATGCGTTCGAGGAATTGCGACGACAACTTTTAGCGGTACAGGCACTTCACCACTTCAACCCCGAATTGCCTACGAAGCTAGAGACCGACTCCTCTGATGGAGTGGTAGCTGGTGTCCTGTCTCAAGAACACCCTGACAAGCGATGGTACCCCGTAAGCTTTTACAGTCATGTCCTATCCGGACATGAGATCAACTGGGAGATCCACGACAAGGAACTATTCGCAATAGTAAAGGCCTTCGGAAAATGGAGGCCCGAGTTGGCTTCGGTGCGCCACCGAGTCGACGTGTACACTGACCACCGTTCGCTAGAATATTTCATGTCTACCAAGGTTCTCACCGCGAAGCAGGTTCGATGGATGGAGCTACTCTCCGACTTCAACTTCTGCATTACGTACACCGCGGGCAAGAATAACCAGAAGGCAGATATTCTGAGCCGAAGAGACCAGGACTTGGTAACGCAGCAGAAAGTCAAGCTTGATAGTAGGGCGAGGGTATTGTTAGGTCCAAGCCGCCTGCACCCCCGAATCAGCACCGAACTCGCTGAGAGCTACATAGCATCCATTAATTCGATGAACACCCCCAAGCCCCAGGTGCCCTTCAATTTAATAGAGGCGCTATGTGCGGACAATCGAAAGTCGTTCACCGAGACTCGCGCGAAACAACCCCTACCGGACGGATTCGCGATGAACGACCAGCTCCTCCTGTACAAAGGCCGCCTATGTGTAAATTGCCACACCGACCTATGTACGAAACTGATCCGGGAAGCGCATGATCAAGTGTCGTCAGCACATCCAAGTGGCAGGAAAACCTACCAATTGCTCGCTCCAAAGTATCATTGGGTCGGGATGGAAGCGGACTGTTTGCAGTATGTACGAAACTGCGTGACATGCCGGCTTTCTCACACCAATGTCACTAAGCAACAAGGATTCCTACACCCACTACCTGTACCTGAATACCCTATGCAACACCTCACCATGGACTTTAAGGAGTTCCCAAGGGACAAGCATGGATATGATAGCATCTTAGTGTTTATGGACCGACTTGGTAAGAGTTCGGTGACCATACCTTGCTACAAAACCACAACTGCCCGCCAGATGGCGCAATTGTTCATCGAATGGATATACCGATTCGGACACACTCCGGAGTCGATTGTAAGCGACCGCGGACCCCAATTTGTATCATCCTTTTGGCAGGAGTTCTGTTGAATTATCAGCGTTAAGGTTAAGCTGTCGACTGCCTATCATAAACAGACCGACGGGCAGACGGAAATCATGAACCGATACATCGATCAGAGACTGAGGCCTTTCGTATCCCATTATCAGGATAACTGGAGCGAACTCATCCCCATAATGGACCGCGTGCAAATGACACTCCCCCACGCATCCATTGGCATGACCCCCTACCGACTCAAGAACGGAACCGATCCGCGTACGAGTTGGGATTGGAACACTCCGAAAAGCACCAACCCCCGGGAGACCCTAAACTGAGAGGAAGCCAAGGCGGTTGCAGACCGAATGCATACCGCATGGGTCCATGCAAAGGAAAACATGGCAAAGGCACAAGAGGAAATGTCTAAGCACGCGAATCGACGCCGAAGGGCCATCAACTGGGACGTAGGAGACAGAGTGTACCTGTCGACCAAAAATTTAAAAAACTCTCGTCCTAGCCGCAAGCTGGGCCAACAATGGGTCGGACCATATATGGTGTTGGAACGGATTGGGCACGCATTTCGATTGGAACTACCTACCGGTTCTCAAATACACAATGTGTTCTCACCAGACGTCCTCATGAAGGACCCGAACAACCCCCTACCTGGTCAGGATCCGCCTGAGCCTAGCAGCAAAGTGATAGACGGCGTAGAGGAATGGGAAGTGGAAAAGATCCTCGCTGTAAGGCTCCGCTGGAAGCAACTACAATACCGGGTGTCATACTGACATTCGTTGCACTCAGTTTGCTATCAAACTCAAGAGCAAACTTAGAAATCTCCTCCTCAAACCTACAAGTCACCATACATATCTTGGCTTATCACACCAACAACAGAAGCAATACTACTCAACGATTGCTGCAAACTCTTTTACTACATCTGTTTATGCTACATACATCACAGCATATCATTTGGACACTCATTGAACAAGTTATTAAGAAAATCTCCTTCCTTAAGGGGGTGGGCCAATACTACCACATGGCATATCTCTACCAACTAGAGGCCTAGGAACATGAACGATAGCTCTAGAAGCTTCTACAATCCTCTATGATTCATTACACGTCATCGCTCCTTAGTTACCCACAAGATTGGTTAAGTTATGACATAATTTGTCTATAGGTACTCTGACCTTGGACCTCCTTTTCACTTCCTATAGGCTAGGAACCCAAGAGATGGTTCTATGGGATTCTCTTACGTTCACTACATGATTAGCAAGCTAGTTGTGGGTCGCACTTGATTTCTAATACATTTACCAAGCCTGGTTAGTCATGGAAAGTCATGGAAAATGAGAGAACTACACTCCTTTGGCATAAATAGGATTGCCCTTTCCTTAAGAAAGGGCAAGCAGGCAATACAGTAAATCGACTAGCACATACTTCTACGTCTTTTCCAAGCTTCCAAGCATTGATCTTGTTATTCTCTGTTTCTGAAAAGTCAGTGAGGTGCTAACCTCTGACTTACCCCTGAGTTCTCAGACTCGAACATTTGTTGCAACTTGTCTAAACCACTTCACCACATCATACACCTGATTGCTGTGTTGTGGAATAGTCTAAGCTACAACCCTTTGGCTCTGTTTCCTAAGACAGTGTGTTGTCTTAGTAAAATCATCCCTTCCTTGGGTGGCTAGATTCTCACATCTGGTGCACCCACCATTACATTCCCCCATCATCTTTTTTGTATCCTTCGTAGTAGACCTATAGGATAGCATCCGTTTAGCCTCTGACTCGCACTCTCATATGCTATTACTGTCAGCTGGGTGCCCTGTGTCCTTACAATTCTCGTCCACCCAGATCGACTAGGAATTACCTGGATTGACTTTGAATGAGCTGAGTTTATACGTCCACGGGCAGTATTAGGAAGTCTATCCCCAAATCGGAAACGGAAAGGTAGCTGGTCTCACGAGGAAGGAAAGTGTCAGTATGGAAAGGACAGCAAGACACCTGCATCAGAGATACGTCAAGCTAAGACGGAGCTAGCGAGATTGGTGGTGAAGCAGGGAGTAGTCACTTCTACAGATGCCGACCTCACTCGGCCCGGAACGCGTATGAGGAGCGGAAGAAATCTGATAGCAGGATGAACTCGCTCCGGAAGTCGTCACTGATGAGCCTCGTCACCGACATTTACGTACGAGACAGTGCTAACTCAGCTCATGAGTTCAATAGACACAAATCACGAGTTCGACGCAGGAAGCCACCTCTCATTCCACAATTTCGACGTCAATCTCGGATGTGAATAACGCGGCGAGATCCGGTGAATACTCGCCAGGCGCAGCCTCCGTGGAGTGGACAACGGTGGGGAGCTTCGATATGCGCTTCGATGGTTGTTGGGGTCGAACGAGGGTTACTAGATAGTATCGCGGGTTGTGAACAATGGAATCCACTTAGCGCCTCAAAACTCAGGATAAGTGTCTGGATCGTTTTGTCACCAGCCTTCGATCAATATCACGTGACAAGTACGCATCTTTGGTAGCACGTGACCAGCAAGTTGCACAGGGATAGTCATCCAACCTGAAATGCAGCAACTAGCACAGTGCAACAGACACTGCAACATCCACTCGAGAGGCATACATCTTCACGATGGATCACCGACCATTTTGATAGAACGCCGCCAGAAACCGACCATTTCCAAGGGCATAAATCCCAAATCAAACCATAAAGAGGCATGTCCAACAAAGCGAGTATGTAAGTAGGCTGCGCACTACTCGCTCAATACTCGGCTCACTCGCTCAGTGGGTTACTCAGCTGGGTGAGTAGCTGAACCTTTTACTCGACTCGGTGAGTGAGGTCAATACTCAGTTACTCTGTAAAAACCCGGTGAGTACTCGGCTATCACGTGTAAGATTTATGCATCATGTGAACAGTCCCTCATACGATTAATACTGTTTTATGGTTAAGTTAAAGTATTACATCTATTAGCATCACTCTCGCCATCTCTAGTAAGCTGTGAGAACGAATCATGTATATTCCTCTATCTAAGTACCATGATTATCAGAAGATTATTAGAACGCTATTATCTATTATATATGCTTAAGAACATCCCTCCACCTTGCTTGATGAGGCCGGCCAGACCTACTAATACCTAAAGTATTTATAGGGTCTTGATGAGGATCCTCGACTGAGCGGAACGAGCTATGAGTCAAGATAACTGTGTATAGAACTTGTTCATAAAATGTCTCTTGTGTGAGAATATGATCTTATTATAGGTATTAACCTACATAATTCTGGTAATAATCTGGTAATCCTTACTTGTTGAGGTTGCATTTGATTGATTCGCATTTGATAGAGACTATCCTTCCCATCTGTGACTTCTTTTTGCAAATGTCTGATGCAAGATGTGTTGCCATAGACTTTGGGCCAGCAGACTTGATTGCAGGATGCGTAAGGGCCTTCGAACAATAAGTACAAATAACACATGGTTCTCCAGAAAGCCGGTCTGCTCCTTGGTGATAACTTCTCCAGTATTGAGAACTCCAGTTGGTTGAATCCCATGCAATCTTCATAAGGAGTTTTGTAGTATGATCTGAGTGTTGTTCATACCATCGTGATAGCTTCCACCACTCAATGAATATATCGTGTGTATCCTTAGTCCATTTGACGAATTGGTTTAACTTGCCAATATATTCAAGGCCTGCAGGGACTTTGTAAGGATGCCTGTCCCTCAGTGATGGAAAGGATCTGAGTCGGGCAGGTTACGGTCACATGATAAGAGTTAAGGCAGGTTAGCTGAGTCGGACCCGTTTCGGGTACTTAAGGAGATTGACCCAACGGGGGTTCCTCTCTTCATCTTTTTTGTATCCTTCGTAGTAGACCTATAGGATAGCATCCGTTTAGCCTCTGACTCGCACTCTCATACGCTATTACTGTGAGCTGGGTGCCCTGTGTCCTTACAGACTTGATTTAATGAGGATAGTCGTTGAGAAGACGGAAAAGAGTCTGAGAATACTGTCAGAATCAAACAACTCTGAGTATTGAGATGGCATTTGGCAAATTGCTCGATTATCAGAAGGTTACCAGAAGTCTGGCTACGATGAAGTACTTAAATACCTGGTTTTCCAACGCGAAAGGTACTCCAGCGCTATAACTTTAGCAACTCAAGTTCTCCTCTACTCTAGCTCCAGGAACAACATATCCTGTGCAGCTGATACCTTAGCCCACTTTTCCTTATCAAACTTCTTAGAGTAGACAAGTAAGAACGCCTCTTTGAAGCTAGAACTATGAGTGGATATTTGCAACCATCCATTGTCGACAAGATTGTAAGACTTTGGGTACCACTGCACAGGTCCTGGTAATTAGGCCCACTTTCCAAACTGCCTGCTCGTACAAACAGAAATATTTATGTGGTGGGATAACCTCGTGAAAAGTGCTATAATAAACAATTAGTATTGCCAGAAGATTGCTAGGATGATCAGAGACGTACCCTTCCTCTACATCAATCCACGGCATATACTCAAAGAGACGCTCAGGCTTCTTTCTCAGCTTTCCAGCCTTTCTCGTATATGAGTGGATACAGCTATCCCAGAAATGTTGCCACTTGCGGAAATTGGACTCTTCATGGGCCTATCAACTATTAGTATCACCAGAAGATTACCAGATTATGAGGTAGCATACATCAATGTGCGCTTGAGTTAAGAGAGCCTGGGTGCTAGTGATCTCTTCATCGGAAAGCTCATCTGGTAGAACAGCCTCGTCATTTAAAATATCTCGCGCTGTAACATAAGCTCCAACTCCAAATCGTCTTCAACCTCAGTATCCTCCCATTCGCTGTTATGATTGTCATCGATTGGAATACTTGAGATACCCTCAAATGCAGCAAGCTCAGACAGAAGTTGTTTGGGCGGAGTAGATGGTGGGGCTTGTGGAGAAGAAGAGGCGCTAATATTCTTGACTTTCTGATTCGCAATGCAAGATGCATGGGTACCCTTCTCAGTCCTGTTTATAGTTAGATTGAGGCTACCAGAGATTACCAGAAGGAACTTACCGAACACAAATACGCTCAACCTTCAATTCATTCTGTAGACGTGTCTTGTCTTCAGTAGAGGCAGCGATATACTTTGTGTAATGACACAGGGCACCCAGCTCACAGTAATAGCATATGAGAGTGCGAGTTGGAGGCTAAAAGGATGCTATCCTATAGGTCTACTACGAAGGATACAAAAAAGATGAAGGGGGAACCCCGTTAAGTTTGTTTCCTTAAGTACCCGAAACGGGCCCGACTCGGTTATCCCAACCCTAGCCCTGAACCTTCCACCGCAACAGGTCCGCATCGACCCTGAACCCTACACCCTTACTGTCCCCCACTATAGTGTAACTCGCTATGTCCTCCTCTACTGGTCCGAAACCACACCGAGTCGGATTTCATGCTTGTGGTGACCGTAACAGCTCTGAGGCGGGTTCTTCGAGTATCTAGGTAAGGAGGCATCCTTACACTTTGCAGACTTATATAACTTCTTTAAGTAGTAGCTCAGATCAGCATGGTCAGCCTTGAGTGCTAAGTGAACAGCCTTCTCATCTTCAGTAAGGTTGGAGACGCAGTTGCGAGCTTTGATAGTATTCGCATTAGTGGAGAGTTCTTCATGTGCCTTGAGTTTCGCCATACTAACTAAACACGTGATTAGCAGAGATCTCCAGAAGTTCTGGCTATAGAATCAAGATAATAAACTTAGTTGAAGTCCTAGTGAAGAGGTAAAGGCTCAAAAGGGAAGAAGAATGTGTAGATCGGAGAGTAACCAAGGAAGGTGGTTCTAAGGTCGTGGTTATTTTAAAGTTGCAAACAAAAATATTTGTGAAGGAATATTCACCTACAAAGAATTACTGTTCCAAAAACAACACCACAATGCGCACCTTCATATAAAACACATACCTTTCAACCTCTACCTCTTTACTATACTCTTCTTCTGCAATATTCTTTCTACAAACTCACTGTAAGTACACATATCTTTTGATCTACTTCTTTATCTTGTGTTTACTTTACTAACTCACCTTGATATTAGCAAATGACTCGTACCAAGCAAACTGCTAGGAGATCAACTGGCGGCATAGCACCAAGGATGCCACTTGGATTACGGGCTGGCTCTGGGCTTGGCGGAAAGGGACAGGAAAAGGCTGTGGGCACAGCAAGAAAAGCTCCAGTTTGCTCATCTCAAGCTAGCAACAATCATGCTCAGAAGGCCACGCGCTGCACAAAGTCTAGTAAGAGGATTACCAGAGGATTACCAGAACTCTCTAATAAACATATAGGCACCAAGGCTCTCCGCGATATCAGAAGACAGCAACTTGATACTAGCTCCCATTCCAGCGTCTTGTTAGGGAAATCACAGAAGACTTCAAGTCCAATCTTCGCTTCCAGCAATCTGCTATCCTAGCTCTTTAGGAAGCTGCTGAATGCTTCCTCATTCGAGAATTTGAGAGTATGATGTTTAAACATAGTGACAGGGACATACTAACAGTTATAGTGACAAACCTCCTCGCTATTCATGCGAAGAGAGTGACAATTCAGGCAAAGGGTATGATATTGGTTCGGCGTTTGCAGGATATGATGTTTAAGCTGTGGGCTTAATCGATGGAAATGTCTCTCACCCAGGAATGAAGGTCAGATGAGTTCTGGCAACCATCTGGTAACCTGGTACCTAAAGGCCAAAGGTTATAGTGTGGAATAGGACATCAACAATATGGGAATGGAGTTGGAGTTATGGCGTCTTGATCAATGAAGTCGCACCCCGTTTTTAACATAAGTAATGGCTAATCAAACACGTGATATAACTGAGTTGCCAAGACCCATACTAGGTACTCAGCAAGTGAGTAATCCTCATTCAACAATACTCGGGACATGAGCGAGTAACTCAGCTGGGTGAGTAAAAATTCTACTACTCGACTCGTGAGTACCCAGTGCGCAGCCTATATGTAAGCACCTCAATCAACGGACTCTCCGGTGGAGCTGGTCGAAAGAGTCAATGATTTGGTAAGTATGGTAAGATTGAAAGGTTCACACTGTATGTTCGATCTACACTCAAGTAGTATGGGAAGGTAGGCGACGGTAGAAAAGAATAAACTCGCTGATGGCGGCGCGGGAGGATAGATGATAATATCTCCCATACATAGATAATATCTACCGTACATAGATACTATGAGATCATATCTGCAAAATTAGTTTAATTGTCTGCGATGAAAAGAGTCGTCCTCTGAAACGCAAACACAAATACAAATACTAACAACGCCGCCAGGGCGTTGTTCGAACTCTCCTCTCCCATATAACGGAAAGTTAGCTGGTCTCACGAGGAAGGGAAGTGTCAGTATAGAGACGGAGCTAGCGAAATTGATGGGCAAACGGGGTATGGCCTGGGCGTTGACAATTAAGGATAATGGCCAAGGAGTTAAATAGGGCACAAAGGACTATAAATAGTAGCGCATCTTGTGAAAAGCAGGGTATGACGCAGGGTATACAACATTAAGCGGGGGATCTTGCCGAGCGAATATCATATACCGATTGTATTGTACCCTATTGGGTCCAAAATTGTTCAAAATTACTTATAACATGTGGGAGGATTGTTCGCGGATATAAGTAATTGGTCGTGGTGCAGGTCATGACGGCTCAAACCACAATACAAGAGATCAACAGTAGTAATCCAGCATGACAGTACATTGACTAAGGACTGGAGAGCTCTGTCTCCAGTCAGGGGCTTCCTATATATCCAGTTGACAGTCCACTCTGTGCACTTTATCATCGGCGGTCGAGCTTCCCCCGGCTTGTAGAATGAGCCGTCAGGTTTCATTTGCTCCGTCTTCATGGTAGCAATGTTGAAGTGCTTTTGTTTTGGGGGCGGGGGCTGGGCCTCCAGAACTCGATTCATTTCATGAGGATAGTCGGTTGCTTTTATTGTGCCAAGGAATTCCTTCGCGAAGAATGTGTCCGACACTTCGGGCCGCTTGCCTGGCTTTGTATCGTAACGCATTCCAGAGGTGATGTCGCCCGTAACGTGATGAATCATTCCATCACCATCGGCCTGCGTTTGCACAAAGATAACATTGTGGTACCTCGGACTTGGCATATCGGGATCTGGCATAGAGATGGTATACTTGATTTTATAAACGTTGTTAGACATGATGATCCTTACTTGGCAAACTGGAGCTGCAATCTATCGAACTCAGAGGTAGTTTTGTGGGCTGATTTGAGGATTTTAGCTACGTCGGCAGGAATGAGATGTTGATAGCCTAGCAGTTTTGCACGAAAGATAGCGAGACAGATTTGAATGCGAGTAATGAAGAGGCTTCGGATTTGTTGGGTGATCTGGGAATGGTATTTTGAAGATACAAGAAAAAGAGAAATGATTGAGCCTTTATGTACCTGAGTTGGGCTTGGAGACTTGCATTCCCCGTTGACGCCGGTTGATGTCTGGGGAGATTGTTTTAGGGTGTGATTGGGACAAACCATGTGGCCATAGGGAATGGTCATATTCAAGTGCTTACGTCGCAGGGGCTTGTTAGACAGGTGTTGGTTCCAGCGCATATAGATTCTCGAAATACTATTTGCAGCCGTTTCAGCAAACGCTTGTTCAAGGAAAGCCCTGTCGCACTCCGGAAGTGCCGTTCCATTGGATAGCTAAGCGCCAAGAGATCACACAATAAAATGGCAACAACTGCTAGCATCTTCATATTGTATACACCAAGTGTTGGTTGGATTTTCGGTGGCGTGTGGGAAGCCCGGCTAATTTGGTTCCACTTGGGAATACGGGTTTGGGCACTCAAGGTGATTCACGAGCAGCAGCAGTAGATGGCACAGTAGGAATAAACAAAACTAAGCCCAGCCCGAAACTTGTTCAAAAACCATGACCGGCTTCGGTCCGATGTTCCTCCGGCTTGTGGAGGTCCAACAAAGAGCGTGATCGACTGTTATGACATGACGTCTGCTAGCTTATTGGCGAGGTTGGCGCTGGATCACTGACTTAGCCGATCGGCGTTTGAGCGCAAACCAACCTGTTGAATTTTAATTGGGCCGTAGCCCCGGAAGCTACGTACGAAACTACTCCGTAGTTTCAGGATGTTGCTGCCTAATATTTAAGCCAGATTACACGTTAGGCAGCCTCGATCCTACACTTTGTCCAGCGTCAACATAAAGAACAAAAGAGACTTACACGTTTGAAATAAACTAGGCTAGTGTTGGACTAAATTCTCATCTCGAAATACATTCTTTGGTTGGCGGTAGAGAAGGCTATTATCACGACAAAAATCATTTCAGGTGTCTGCTGTTATCACCAAGGATCACATTTCACCGGTGTTCACAATGGCGCAGCCTTTCCAACTTCCATACTTCAGGGATTCCAAGGAATTACCTGCACCTCTTCCCTCTGTTGATGAAATTCATGCGTCACCAAATATCCTTAAGGGACTTGAAGCTTGGGCAGACAGGAAAGTTGTGAGGGTTGGTGAACATTTTATCGCAAAATACAGTCCTTACAATGATCAAATAGAAGGAGAGAACCTTCTATTCATTGAGCAAAACCTTCAAATATCGGCTCCTCGATTATATGCAATGTGGAAAGAGCCTGATGGAAAGCTTTATATTGTCATGGAGTATCTTCAGGGAGATACGCTCCAGTTTCTGTGGCCAAATCTTCAAGAATCTGATAAAGTCCTCATTCTCTCAAAGCTACGAGCCATTTTTAACCAAGTACGCACCCTTCAGTCCTCTGGCTTTTTTGGGAGCATCAACAAGAGCCACATGCCACATCATCTATTCTACTCTCCAGCGTACGATCCGAAGATATCCGGCCCCTTTGGAAGTGAGAGTGACCTCGTTCTGGGGCTAATATCGAAATCTCGGCTTAACGCAGAGGACCGCAAAAGGCATTCTTATCTGGCTGATTTCTTCGAGAACCAGCTGTTGTTGGATCTTGTTGAGGACGATCGCACATCTACATTTACCCACTCTGATTTGCAGATGAAGAATATTCTAGTCAGGGAGATTTCGTCACAGGAGTTTTCGCAGGGGAAAGACTATGATGTGTCAACTGTGGACTGGGAATCAGCGGGGTGGTATCCTAGCTACTGGGAATACGTCGCAGCCTTTTTTGCGTTTACGTGGGATAGTGACTGGTCCAACAGGGTGGCTGATATTGTGGACGCCTGGCCCGCAGAAGCGGCAATGATGAAGATGATATACCAGGATCTGTGGCTCTAGAAGCCGGGTCATCATCGAAGGCTATTGCGGCTCCCAGAAGAAACTGTTGACCGCCGCCCAGATACGTTCCGAGCAGTTCGGTGCCTCGACGGCTCTTTGATACTTTACCTGATCCACAATTACTATATATTGGCGCCATGCCAAACAATGGCTCACCTTGTTGGCGGCCCGCCTCGGTTACTCTGCCACTTGTATAGAGCCAATCATGGTCGAAGCCGAGAGGATTCCCAGAATAGCATAAATCAAACTCACGTTCGCATCAATCGAGATCCACACGCACATATGTCCCGTCACGCTTCGTGCTACAGTTATTGGCTGCATGCGCCCTCCATGAGATCCAAGCGCATGCATATTGACCCTTTTTGAATCACAGTGAACGAATGGAGATCAATCCATTCCAAACCCCATCTGGGAGTGCGAAAGCATATATCTTGTCACGAAGTTCTTTCGGGAGCTTGAAGAACATCGAGTCCAAACCGTGGATTGTATCAATTTGCAACTAGATACCGATTCAGTTCGTTTCCAAGATGCCCTGTAATATCTACAATAATAAAGTCGATTGTAGGCTGTAGCCAGCAAGCTTTTGGTGCTAACCCTACATGTTCCTAAACCCCAGGGCGAGTGGGGACACTGCGCCACCTGAGGGATCGACGTCACGGGGGCTATGTTGCCCCGCGCCATTTTCTTTGGCGGAGATTTCGTACAAAGCCAGATTCTGCATCACCAATTCTGTCCCACGCCATCTTCCCACCGTAGAATCGGGTCTAAAGCCAGTTTCCCTCATCGGTTTTACATTCACAACCACATTGTCCTCGCACGATTTGGTTCAATAGATTTATCTTGCTAATCTGAGCTGTACATCTCCTCAGTTTCTTTAAAAAACTATGTTCACCCAGGACCCGCCGAAACTCAAAGTGTTGCTTGGAAACGGGTATCTTGATATCGAAGATGCTGTAAAACGGGAATATGACTTCGTTCTTGAGACACTCATCAGTGCCTTTCTCTTACTTCCACTCAGTCCACACACTCTCACTCGGCTTCAACTAGGGGACTGTTTTCGCCGTTCACTCCAGTCTAGTCGGCAAACAACACCGTATCGCCTCCACACCATTGTTACCGAGTGCAAGGCCGGATCAGTCGACACATCCTCGCTGGAGGCGAAGTTTTTCGAGTACGGAGGAGTTCGGACTGTCACTGCTCTCGCCGCTGCAGCAGCGGACAATAAGCAGATAGTGAGCCTGCTAAAAGGTCTTTCAAATGCTGAATTCCAGGCCTTTCTGAAGTCCATCGATGCCATTGAACCACACCGTGATCTTCTCTTCATCATCGAGACGCTCGAGAGAAAAAAACCCTCGAGACTATCAAAGCGAAAACACGTCCCAGGCCCTCGCCCTCCTCGCCCTCACCCTCGCCCTCGTGACCACTATTCTCATATTCCCGGCAGTGTTCCACAGGCTCTAGAAAGGTTCCAAATGGTGAATGACTCTTCTATCAATAGCCTACCGGCAACATCACATACGCATCGCTTGAATGGCACTGCAGCACACTTAGCCAGTCCTTCTACAGTTGGTAAACCCCAAGGGGGAGGGACTTCCATCACATCGGACCTTGGACAAACAGCGGAGAATGTGCTCGCCTCGGGATTTAATACCCTTGTTGCGGTCGCGTTCCAACAAAACGATGGCGCAGAAAACCATACTTTTCCACAAGGCAAGTCTAGGTGTCCATTATCCGTGATAGTTGCTTATCATTTATAACACTTAGACCACAATACTTTCCCTAACATAGCATCAGGCCTGACCGGCAGCTGGCAGTGTGATGGTAAGTGCAGCCATGTCATTCCAAAGAGACGTTAACCGACTGCAGATAACTATAGGATTGACTTAGACAACCTTCACAACACTCCAAGTTATGGGATTGATGGGGACAACCCCAACTTTGAACATTATGCTATCGATTTGGAGAGCTTCAACGCTTTGTGAATATCACGATCAATAGCAGCATATCTCCAGGAGCAACATTTATGCTAGCGGGCTGGGTGATTATTGTCCGTTCTCCGACGATTAACGGTTTCCCATCCATGGTTAGGGGGAAATCTTTGTCGTGATATAACGTCAGGATTTCGCCCGGGAACATTTCGAGCGATGTTGGTTCAAGAGATTCGCGACTCGGTCCGCGACACCTCAGGAGAAAAGCCGCTCGACCTTTGGTCTAGAGGTAATAATTAGTATCGAAACAAGTGCGGCGGGATATTTGAGCATACTTCAACGTTTCCTGCACTGATGAAAGGCCTGACCCTACTTGTCCGATCTGGATGACTACACTGTTCAATCTCGACGCTGCCTCGGTACGGTCGCCAGTGCTCTTCGTCCGAAATCTGTTGCAGCCAGGCTGCCAGGACATCTGCCTGCTCCAGAACTTCCTTGCTTGCTGGGGCGACGCTCATGAGGCCGAATGCTTCATGCTATGCATGATACAACCTCAACTTGTTAGAAGTGGTAAAGTCGCATCAATCAATCTTCTCGCTACCTGATTTGCGGAGAAAAAGCCTGTGGGGTGCATGTGACCTCATTGGCTCGTCTTCATCGGCGCGCTGCCGTTGGACTACGGAGTACCACCGTAAGTTCCCGCTGTCACGTGCATACAACTTTGCCCAACTTTAGACCAGATAAATACTCTTTTCATTTTCAGTCCGTAGATGCTGATACCAGGGTCCGAGGCGGCATTTTAGGAAGCATGGCAGCCTTCCATGCAAAAGTTTTCCTCCGCGCCTCAACAGGCAATTTCTTGGTGAGTTTCGAAGGGTGTCTCGGGCTATCTAAAAGACGTGCTAACGCCAAGTTCTTCGCAGGTGCATATCAATGCAAAATGGAACGCTTAGATGCATTCGATGTCCAGCATGCGCACTTGATTAGTATTTGCCGCGTTTTGCAAAGTCCTAAGGATTTCACCAGTACAGTCAAACCTCGCCAAGACGATCCTCTTTTAGCCGATAACCTCTTTTGTGCGATATTTTTCCACGGACCGATACTTTTACCATACAAAATACGATTCAACGATCATCGTCTTTTCCAACCTGTTCATCGTCTTAACGTGGCCATTAGACACCCAATTGCCTCGAAAAAGGCCGATTACAGTCGACCAGCGGCGTGCCCTTCGACACTGGGCCCACCAACAAGTTCCAAAGCCAACTCAGCGGCAGTGTATCGAATGGTTTGAAAGACAATATCATCACAAGTTAAGCCAGTCGACTATTTCTGAATCACTAAGTAGCAACTTTGAGGCCCTTGATAAGAACCAAGACACTGGAATTCAACGCCGTCGACTAGGCCAGTGGCCAAAGCTAGAGAATATCCTTTGGGAGTGGCAGAATTGGATTGAAGAAAAAGGAGGGTTTACAACTGGCGATATACTACAGCAGAAGGCACAGCAGATCTGGAAACGACTGCCAGAATATGCTGGCCAAGAGTGCCCATCGTTTTCTACTGGCTGGCTCGAAAAATTCAAAAAGCGGCATCATATACAATCACGACAGCGGTTTGGAGAGGCGGCATCAGTTCCGGAAAACGTCGAGGAAGAAATAAGGGCACTACGGACAATAGCAGGGGAGTTTCAAGAAGAGGATATATACAATATGGACGAAACTGGACTCTTCTGGAAGATGATGCCATCACGAGGCCTGTCATCGCAACTCCAATCTGGTGTGAAGAAGAATAAGACTCGGATCTCCCTGGTTTTCTGCGTCAACGCCACTGGAACAGACCGACTCCCTGTTTGGGCAATTGGCCATGCAAAAGCACCTCGAGCACTACAACGAACCAATATACCAACACTGGGGGCACAATGGAAAGCGAATAAGAAGGCTTGGATGACTGGAATACTTATGAGCGAATGGCTTCAAGCCTTTTATCAGCATATTGGAACTACTCGGCAAATACTCTTAACAATGGACGGCTTTTCAGCACACTATACAGGGGCTGAGCTTAACCCTCCTCCCCCTAATATCCGCATTTGTTGGCTTCCAGCTAACAGTACCAGTCGTTTCCAGCCTCTTGATCAAGGAATTATTCAAAATGTTAAAGCTTATTATCGACAACATTGGCTTCGGTTTATAATCGACACTATCGATTCAAATCAAGATCCACAGAAACTTATGAATCTTCGACTCACTCTTCGCTGGATTATTCGTGCTTGGAATACAGAAGTTTCAAACACTACGATATACAACTGCTTCCGGAAATCTACACTTGTTTCAAATCCAATTAGCCTTCCAACAATAACGATGCCTACTGGAATACAAGAACTCTACAACCAAGTGTAATGGTGGGTGCACCAGATATGAGAATCTAGCCACCCAAGGAAGGGATGAATTTACTAAGACAACACACTGTCTTAGGAAACAGAGCCAAAGGGTTGTAGCTTAGACTATTCCACAACGCAGCAATCAGGTGTATGATGTGGTGAAGTGGTTTAGACAAGTTGCAACAAATGTTGAGTCTGAGAACTCAGGGGTAAGTCAGAGGTTAGCACCTCACTGACTTTTCAAAAACAGAGAATAACAAGATCAATGCTTGGAAGCTTGGAAAAGACGTAGAAGTATGTGCTAGTCGATTTACTGTATTGCCTGCTTGCCCTTTCTTAAGGAAAGGGCAATCCTATTTATGCCAAAGGAGTGTAGTTCTCTCATTTTCCATGACTTTCCATGACTAACCAGGCTTGGTAAATGTATTAGAAATCAAGTGCGACCCACAACTAGCTTGCTAATCATGTAGTGAACGTAAGAGAATCCCATAGAACCATCTCTTGGGTTCCTAGCCTATAGGAAGTGAAAAGGAGGTCCAAGGTCAGAGTACCTATAGACAAATTATGTCATAACTTAACCAATCTTGTGGGTAACTAAGGAGCGATGACGTGTAATGAATCATAGAGGATTGTAGAAGCTTCTATTATCGTTCATGTTCCTAGGCCTCTAGTTGGTAGAGATATGCCATGTGGTAGTATTGGCCCACCCCCTTAAGGAGGAGATTTTCTTAATAACTTGTTCAATGAGTGTCCAAATGATATGCCGTGATGTATGTAGCATAAACAGATGTAGTAGAAGAGTTTGCAGCAATCGTTGAGTAGTATTGCTTCTGTTGTTGGTGTGATAAGCCAAGATATGTATGGTGACTTGTAGGTTTGAGGAGGAGATTTCTAAGTTTGCTCTTGAGTTTGATAGCAAACTGAGTGCAACGAATGTCAGTATGACACCTGGGCGGGACCCTCATCATCGGAAGAGCCGCTGTCCCTCTCTGGCGACACCGAATCGTTAGCATCAGGAACAGGCACCCGACCCCAAGCACGAAGCTTCAACGGCATAGTTTTCCGACCTTTTAATGCTCTTTTACCCTCATCGGAATTGTGCGCAGCCAACACTTCATCCCGGTTGTCATTCAAAGCGTCTGCGATGACCTGGAAGGATTCGGGAGAGCGGAGTTTTGTCAACACATCAATGATGCTCTTGTCGACCTGCTTAGTTTCACGCCAGGCGTCGTGACTGTTGACTACAGAAAGTCGCACGATGGTGACCTTCTCCTTTTGCGACACCTGCATTTATATTAACACCATCCTCTGTACATGTTTAGGGAGGGGGCACTTACTCGGATAGGTCGATAGTGTACCTGTAGCTCTGACGGCAGGTTGATCGCTGTAGTGACCGAGCATACCCGATGGCATGCCCCGTCTAAGTTGGCGCCCTGTGATGACACCTGATACATCATAACTAGGACAACCAAGTCCGACTGGGGGTCATTGAACTCCTGAATGAGCGCGATTCGCTGGAGGTCATTCAGACCGGCATGCAACACCTCTGCCCGGATGTATATCGACTTCAACACTGTCTCAATAAACCATGCTGAGACGGGGATATCCTCAGAGCACAGCAACTTGTTCCGTCCTCCGTCTGGTCTCCTTTTCACGCAATGATCCATCACGTCTTTTAGAATCCAACGCATCTTCGGAGAGCCGAAAGTCAAGTGGTGTATCAAATCGGCAGCGTCCTTGATCACCCGATCACCCTTTCGCACAGTAGCGTGTGCAAGCTGCAGTCCCGTGAAGCCTTGGGCTCGTAGTACATTGATAGTTGCAACAGTGTCATCAAGGCGCTTCTTCCGAACCTTCGTATTATCCAGGGTGTCGTGGAATTGGCTTAGTATAGTCGAGACTGCATTTACCGTCATCGCCCGTAGTGGGCCAGTAATGCAAGGAAAGCTTTTGACTTCTGCCGTTGGGTCGATACGGCTTTGTTTCTGATTTGCCCATATCTCAAGGCCTTCTTCGTAATCCTTGACAAACGACTGATGGAAGAACTGGTACTTTGCTGCTTCTGCAGAACTCATCTTCAACTGCACTGTGGTAATTTCGTATGGTGGCATTAGGTTAGCCAGTGACAGCCGCTCCCCTTGACTATTTAAGGGTATGGAGGTTGCCGTTGATCGCCGAAGGAGTAATAGTCTTTCCATGCACCTGTAAAGCTTGTTTATCGTCGACTTCTCCTTGCTGTTTAGGAGTGTTCGAATCCGATATGGGTCAGCAGCGATTAGATTCTTCCATGATGAATGAGGGAAATCCTGCGAGACCAGGAGCTCAAAGTCCTTGTAGTTGCCATCAAGTTTTTGGATTCAGTCGCGCCTAGTCTGGTTCAAGTAGAGAGACTTGTTGATCTGTGGCCACAATATGTTCAAGGGGCCAAGAATGTCCTTATTCATTAGCTAGGCTCTGTACATGTATAGGAGTAGCTTGACTTACCGTGCTGTGCCTGTAATGAACCAGTGATGCCGCGCATTCAACCTCGCCACTGCAACATGGATATTGGTCAATGGGTTGCGAATCTTATGACCCTCATCTAGAATCACTGTATGGAACACCCCCTTCCACTTCCCAATCCAATCGGCTGGCTTGAAGGTTTTCTCGTCTCCTGGCTGGCGACGTGGCTTCTGAAGGGTCCGGCCTGCGAGGGTGCCGTACGAAGTCAATATGACGGTCTTTGCAGCCGACTTGTTATCTGTGTCGAAAATAAATTGAAGGGCGGCAGGGAACTTCTTCGGGGATTTGGGATAGCTCTTCATAGCTTTTGAAGATATCCATTTGAGGAATGACGCTCCGTTCGGTGGTGAGTCTCCATAGGCGAGGACCAGATTAATTCCCTTGAAGTGCTTTGTAATGTCCTGACGCCATTGTTCGATGACAGGTCCAGCCGGCGCTAGTATGAGATGGGGCCTGTAGTTTCCTGGGGCATCAGGAGTGAAATATCGGAACACCCATTCTAGGTATAAACATGAGGTGAAGGTTTTACCTAACCCCATGTTGTCGACCAACACCCCTCCAAATGTGTGGGCCGTTTGAAGTAGGTCAGCTGCAGCCTGACCTTCTTTTGTTGGAGCAAGTATATAACCATACGCCTTTAGTACCATCCATAGGAAACCAGTGATTTGATGTCCTAGGGGTCGGATGCCGACAGTTGGAAGCGACTTTAGGGCGTACTTGGCAAGCGTGCGCTGCTTGTCATGCCAAGTATCAAAATGCGCATCGGCAATCGTAAGGCAAGCATCGAGTGGAGGACCAGTCTGGGATTCGTCGCCGGTAAATAGCTTCTGCATCTTGTAGAAGCCTGCCATGCTTGTGG